AAAGGGGCGATTTACTTAACATCTCGCATTAAAATGATCAGTCGTTAATTTTACCTTTAATACTTGACATCATCTCGCTAAATTCTGCTCCAGTTATCGTTAATAGTACTTTTAAAGGGGTGCTAATACTTGATATTTGACATCTCGATAAAATCGGCTCGAGTTATCGTCCACTTTACCATTAAAGGGGTGTTCATACTTTAATATTTGACATCTCGCTGGAATCTTCTAAAGTTGGTCGTTATGTAGGGATATTGAAATGGGCTCCGTCCGTTCGTCCCGATTTCGTTTCCGGTGCATATCTCATAAACCGTTCAAAATATCTTTTTGAAACTTTACACACTTCAACATATTACAGTAGTTTTGTCTTTTACTGATAAGGAATTTTTTAGATTGATATTTGACTTACTTTTTGGTGTACAATTTTGTTTCCGGGGCATATCTCATAAACCATTCAAGATATCTTCATGAAACTGTGTATAACCATCAACCTATTACAGCAGTTGTGCCTTTTACTATTTAGGAATTTCTGGGATTTATATTATTTGTGTTTCCATGGAAACATATATCATACAACATTCAAGATAGCTTCATGAAACTTTGTACAAACATCAACCTATTATTTGTGCCTTTTGCTAATTTGGAATTTCTCGGATTTAATAAGTTTTGTGTTTCCATAGAAACAAAACCGTTCAGGATATCTTCAGGAAACTTTGTACAGACATGATAGTAGTTGAGCCCTTTGCTAATTTGAAATTTCGCGGGCACAATATGTATCACCAATCAAACGACAGCAGGTAAAGCCATCAGACTCCGTCATTAGTCCAATTCTCGTCAATATCATTATAAACGATCTTCCAAGCTAAGGTCGACAGGATGCCGAATCGGCACTCTTCGCTGAAGATAGCTCCTTGTGGAAGTCATCAAGATATTGGGAAAATACGACATTCGTTACAATATTCGTTAAATTTCAAAATGAGCAAGTGATTGGGGTTTCAAAATATCGAAAGAGAAACAGTAGAAATGTTGTTCCATCCGAGAGATAACAATAGGAAAATAATTTGATTAAAATACAGATCTATATTTTGCTTCGTTTTTTATACTTTCGATGGCCTACACTACATGAAGATCTGGCCGGTTGTAGCGATAGGTCGCGTCAGAGGTCATACGAGCAGCTTTTGACCCTATGACGTCAGACATTTGATTAACCGATCAGCGTTGATGTTACTAGTGGATAACCCACAGTTCCGTGCAAAACACGCCAAGAACTCGCCGTAACAGACCGTTTCATTGGCTAATCCCTCACACCATTCAGAACACGTCAATGATAACAAATCTTCCAGATCCTAGTGTAGTAAAGACAAGTAAAACGAAATTTTGAACTATAAAAACGAAACGAAATAGGATCTGTGTTTTAATCAGATTGATAGGAAAATTGTGTTAAATCTGAACGGCACAAGACTAGAATTTAAATCGGAGACCAAGTTCCTTGGTATGACCTTTGACTGACATGGAAGCCACATATCGATGGCATCGTTAGCTGCACACCCAAATCCTGTAACATGATGACATACATTAAAGGAATACAATGGGGACCAGACCGATGCACTCTTATGTTAATATAAGGATCATGCATCCGTGAGATAATCGACTACGGATGCTTGGCGTATGCTAATTGCTAACGCTGGCGACAATCGGCTGGATAGACTCGATAGAATACAAAATAAAGCTATAAGACTGACAACTAGTGCATCGATGGGAACCAAAGCAATTGAAGTGGGAAAGCTTCAGCTTAATCTCAGGTGAGAAGAACTCTCATTCAAGTAAGTATAATACCAGTACGATCAGTCGAGAAAAGTAAGTAAATTATACGTGTCATCAATCAAGAAACAGTCACTTGTTACAAATGATGCAGGAACGCACTATGGTACACGATTCGTGTACCAATGGTAAAATGTTTATTTTGTCTTAAATATTAGATATCATAAGCCTACCCTTTCCCGGCAAGATCACAACATCAATGTTGATTTGAATTGACAAATAATTCGTGTTTTCATGATTCGTGTTTGGATGATATTGAGTTAGAGACTTGGCTACTTTAAGTACAACCAACATGAAACCTTTGAACTGTTTCATGATTGAACTTTGTTAAGCATCATCTGTGAGATTATTCCAGGACGAAATAGTAGAAGGAAAAAAGACTGTTTATATGTGGTTTTGGCGCGAGTATGTTTCGGTAGTGCGATTGGTTACGCGTCAGAGGTGGGAACTCGGACTCGAGTCCGACTGAAGTCAGATCAATGACCTGCTAGTAGATCTATTTCTGAAGGCCACCTTCAGATTTCGTCAAGGTCGTTGAGATGTAAATAAGGTTAGGGTATGTGATTGTTGGCGAGATTGTAGGTTAGGGTTAGGATAAGCGATAGGGCTATGTCCAGGGTTAGGGTTGGGATTAGTGCTAGCCCTGTTTACATCATAAGTTGGCGTTGTGAAATAGATCTAAACATCAATGACCTGACTTGTAACTTGAGACTCGACTTGGACTCGGTAGTCATGACGACTCGGGACTTGAACTTGAAAGACCTTAGGGTGCATAACTCCAACTTGCCTTATTCGCCATGAATTGTTGACTCATTTGATGAACTGGCGACTTGATCGAGGCTCCGGCTTTGTGCAGACTTGGACTCGACTCGGTACTAAAACTAAAATCAGCGACATGGGACTCAAACTCAGACTCTAGGTGCGGCGACTTAGTACACGAGACCTCAATTTTTTGTTACTTCCGAACGACTATACGTTGTCCCTTGTCAGACCCTTTGATCTGCACCACTGAAAACGAGGAACCACGCCGAAAAATCACGATGAACATTTACGTCCAACACCGGGATCGTTCATGGGTCCTTACTAATTGAGGCACCTCGGCTACCGGGCACCTGCTTTATGATTGAATAATTCATATAGGTAGCTAGTTTCAGTTTATTTATCTCGAACCACTGTCTCTTGATGGTAATAATTCATATTGGTAAGTAGTTTCAGTTAATTTATCTCGATCCACGACATGTTGTAGTTTATTTATCTCGAACCACTGTCTCTTGATGGTTATACTAACCTGATAGACGTAAGAGATATTCAAGTAATTATTGATATTAAATTCATATATTATTCTTATAATTGTCTTATAATTGGTATCATAAAAATGTGAAGAAAGGTATAGGGTGATATGTGTATACGTAATTAACACGTTTTGACGACACGCCCGTTTTGTTGTATAAATGTTTTATATATATATATATATAAGAGAAAGAGGAAGTTCATATAGATCAGTAAACTTATTTTGTATTACACACGTGCCCCATTCACTATATTATATCTATTGAAATATCTATCTACGCATTACAACCCTAATGTAAGAACAGCATTACACTCCGCCTGTAGTGATAGTCGAGACTAATGTAAGAACAGCGTTCCACCCCGTCTGACGTGATAGTCGAGACTAATATAAGAACAGCGTTACATCCCGTCTGACTAATGTAAGAACAGCTTTATAGCCGCCTGTAGTGATAGCCGCGACTAATGCCAGAACAGCTTTACACGCCGCCTGTAGTGATAGTCGAGACTAATGTAAGAACAGCCTTTTGAAACCAGGTACCATGGCAGGGGCGGATCCATGAATTTTTGCAGAAGGGGGTTTGCCAGGCACCTGTTAAGGAGATTTGACAGTTGACAATGCATGATGCCATCATTGTCTCTAAATTACGTGGGTATACATACACACGGAGCTTTTTAAAGAGAGAAATCCAACACCCAGTTTGATGTCAATTTTATAATGAATTAATAGGATCACATTGTGATTCAATTTCATTCATTGATGCAAAGCATTAATTGTGATATAACACCTGTCTATTTCATTATTTCGCGCTTTGAATGCCCATCGATATCATCATCTGATGATAGAAAATAAAGCACACGACCGTAACACTTTTCTCATTAAGTATTGTTTTATAATTTGTTTTATGTAGCTAAGCAGGGTGGGGTTTGACCCCCCCCCCCCGCCTGTTCCGCCCCTGACAACGGTTAGCTGGCATGTTAGCCCCCATTTATTGGTAGAAATGAACTATCCTTCAATAAGCCACTATTAGATTATTACTCGAGGTACAACCGGGGATTCGAAACCACGCCAGTCATATTGTATAATACACAAGACTTAGTGGTCTCTTTAACAGTTTTTATTGTCTGGGACCAAGTCGTATGTTCTCTTTACTGCTGGAGCACATGTAAAAGAACCCTTGTCAGCTGGAATTTGATGAAGGAATTTGTCAAGGAATAGCGCACTTAAACATACATTATGCAAGAGCTAAATATGTCTATTGAAGGTCTTTCTTTGGGCCTGAAATGTTATCCTAATTATTAATTAGACATTAATTAAAGACACATTATGGGAGATTAGATAACGAGTTGGCAGTTCTCACTATAATAGTTAAAAACTACATAATGTAAAGGCAACTTGCTGAAAATTTCAGTCAAATTGATCCACTATGAACCGAGAACCAAGCGGATGAAAGTTCCGCTTAGCCTCGATCATCATTACTGAAGTCGATAAGACAAAACTAATAGTCTTGATTATCCAGTTAATCGTTAATCACGAAGGAAAGTTTTGCAGCAAATCGGACTGTAATCCAACAAATATTGCAGGCAAGCCTTGACATCGAGAGCTGATTATGGTCTGGATAGGTTAATTAATGTCTAATTAATAGTTTTTATAACATTTCAGGCCTAAAGAAAGACCTACAATAGGCCGATTTTGCTCTTGCATAATGCATGTTTAACTGATCCAGACCATAATCAACTCTAGATGGCATCGCTAGCCTGCTATCTTTAGTGGATTATGAGCCGATTTACTGCATAACTTTCATTCACGATTTAACGATTAAATGATAATCGAGACTTGACTATGCTGTTTATCGTACTGACTTTAGTAATGATGATCGAGGCTAGGCGGAAATTTCAATCATTTAGTTCTCGGTTCATATGTGGATCAATTTGAATGACATTTTGCAGCAAATTCCCTTTACATTATCTAGTTTTTAACTATTATAGTGAGAACTGTCAGCTCTTTATCTAATCTCCCATAATGTATCTTTAATTATGGAGCAATCCTGTCTTTATCAATCCGTTTGATGCAGGTGATCAGTAGCAGTCGAACTAACTCGTTTGATGCAGGTGAGTAGCACAGCTCGTTTGATGCAGGTGAGTAGCACACTAGCTCGTTTGATGCAGGTGAGTAGCACAGCTCGTTTGATGCAGGTGAGTAGGACATCAAACCCCATTTATTTTCGGAGGGGAGGGGGGCATATCTTTTCGAGGGGGGTGGGGTTGCCTGTTCAACCTTGTGGGTTTTCTCCGGGTCTTCCTACAATTAAAGCCCCTGCACACAAGCGAAAAATTGAAATGAGATAAAGTCCCAAAAGTTAGCGACGAATTTGAGAAACTTTTTTTTGTTTGTGCAGAGAAAATTGTAGTTTGTTCATTTGAATCTTGGTATAAAGAAATTTTATACAAGTTAGGAGATTTTCCGTTTATTATAAATGTAAACCACAACAACAACAACACGTGTTTTTGTTTACATTCTCACAATTTGAGAGTTACCCCCCTTTAATCTCCATATTAAAAGACTACATCTGATTGGATTGCCTATCTATCTGGTGTTATAATTTAGCCAATCACAAGGGTCTGTACAACACATGGCATGATTATTAATGGTGATTTTATGTAAAAGGTTTCATGACTTTATTATCGAATGATTTCTATTATCAGTGAGTTATTTGATAAAGTCAGCTAATTACTAACGACTGTTCCAAAGTCTGCTAATCGTAGTTTTTTTTATTGAAGAAGCGGAACAAAAGAAAGAAACTGCCGGCTTAACTTCAACAAGACCAAAGAAGCCGGAACAACAAACTGATTTTTTTGACGAGTGAAAAAAAATTCGTCTGCTAGGCTAGTGCTGAGAAAATGGAGTTTGTGAAATCTTTTGCACACCCCGATGAAGTTATGGCTCTAGTAAAGTTTAAGATGGGAGGTTGTCAAGCAGTGATGCCTAAATGTGATACGGTAATTGTTAGTTTTTAGAAGAGTTAGAATATTTTGTCTGGTAAGAGATTTGACTTTGACTTTGACACAATATGAATGATTAAAGGAGATAAATCGCTAACATTTGGGGCCTAGAAATTGGCAAAAGTGGGTCGCAACGCATATAATACTGTAATATGAATGTATATAAACTGATTTACATTCAATAGTTTCCGTTTTTACTCCAATTTCAAATCAGTTGTGTTCGGCGAAATAAGCCAGCACTGCAGCAGTCTCAAGCGAGTGCAAATTTCTAGCGTATGGTTATTCTAGTCTACATACGCCGATTGATTTGGTGCAATGTGTCTAGCCTCGTCCCTCGAGTCTCTTGATACAACTGGGGCTGAAGCGCATTATGGTACACGATTCGTGTAAAATGTAAAATGTTTATTTTGTCTTAAATATTGGATATCAAAAGCCCATCTTTTTCCGGTCAGATCACAACATGAATGTTGATTTAATTTGACAAATAAATCGTGTTTTCAATGTTGAAGATTTTGGATGATATTGAGTTAGAGACTTAGCTACTTTAATGATGAAATAAATGACACAGACGTCAGATGGTGATGGAACACCTCAATTACACAGCTAGCTATTACTATTTTGAGCTTTTATTATTCTCGTCTGTAGGCTTTTGATTTTGTTTTCTTTCTAATAAATGATTTTTTGGCATTCATGTTTGATGTGACTCCCATTTTTGTGTCTCAATATTTCATTGTTGTGGCACCATTAGGTTTTAATCTTATATACCTAACCCTTACAATTTTGTGGGGGTTAATAAAAAAAGGGGGATTTCTTTTTTGGGGGGTTAAATGTAAAAGCGATGGAAATAGAAAAGGGAGTCAGATCAAACATGATTGCCGATTTTTTTTTTATTTTGTGAATTTGACAGTGAACAATATTATATTTTTCCAGAAGACTATGAGTGAAACATTAAAGAAATGTTATGTACATCTAACCAATACGAGTAGAAGTTTCGCAGCTGTAATACAGGCCATTGATGATGTCGCACTCAGGTAATTCATTCACAATAAAAACACATTACCTTATTAGAAGGACTCTCGCATATCGCAAGCAGGGAACAAAACCCTGGTAATCTATAAAGTTGTGAATCATTTTTATCAGATATAGTACCTTAAATTTCAACTTTTAGTGCCTCAAAATTCCGGTGGCAATAAGAAGAAAACCTTTGACGGATACTCCAAAAGGAACGCGAACCTTTCCTTTCTATACGGTACTACTTCATTTTACACTGGTCACTGCTCCACAAATGACCAAAACTGCTAATCACAAATTGACAGTTGACAGTTATTTTTTCCCCTGATCACAAGTATACAGTAGAAGAATTTGTATGAGCAGCCTCTCCTTGTCACCAACATCTCCTTGTAAGCTGTGAAAATACATCTCCTCCGCCCCTACCCCCCCTATTGAAATTCTTCGGTTTCATCTCTTTAATAAACAGTGCTCGTTGTATCATAAGATCTGTCATTGAGGCCTACAAGACAAGGAATAGTGTCGTCTGTTCAACCTTGTGGGTTTTCTCCAGGTCCTCCGGTTTCCTCCCACTCCTAAAGACCCCTACACGCAAGTGAATCATTGAAATAAAATTGAACCATATGTTATTCCTGAAATGACCTAGATTGTGTTGAGTGGCCGTTAAACCCCATCCCAGCATGAACAACAAAATGCACTAGAGGAAATAGTGCAGGTCATTTTAAAAAATATGCAGTGATTTTACGTTAAGGCTTTGTGTTTTAAACCTTAAAAACATAATTTTATAAACCCCATTATCTCTTTAATATTTTTTGTTTTGTAGACATGCTACGTGTATATTTTATCTGGTATTAAGGGCGTTAGATACTGTAGAAGATGATATGACCATTCCTAACTCTATAAAAATACCCATGTTAAAATCATTCTATAAAAATCTACAAGATAAAAACTGGAAATATATGGACAGTAAAGAAAAAGATAAACTCGTGTTAGAAGATTTCCCTACAGTAAGTAATAGTATAGAATAGGGGGAAGCATGGAGTAGGGGAATTAATAGAATGGAGAAATTGATAGAATGGAGGAATTGATAGAATAGAGGGAATGATAGAATGAAGGAATTGATAGAATGGAGGGAATTGATAGAATGGGGGGCGGGGGATTGATAGAATGAAGGAATTGATAGAATATTGATAGATTGAAGGAATTGATAGAATGGGGGGAATTGATGGAATGGAGGGAATTGATAGAATGGAGGGAATTGATAGAATGGAGGGGATTGATAGAATATTGATAGATTGAAGGAATTGATAGAATGGGGGCAATTGATACAATGGAGGAATTGATAGAATGGGGGAATTGGTAGAATGGGGAATTATGGATATTTGAATTATCTTATAATAATTGGATAAATTGAATATTTAGACAATTCAACTCTTAAAGCATTGTGAATGGAATTGTAGGGGGGTGGTTGGGTTTAATGTAGAAATCATGGAGTTGGGTAATCATGTAATGGAGGAATGATAGAATCGGGTAATCATGGAATGGGGGAATGATAGAATCGGGTAATCATGGAATGGGGGAATGATAGAATCGGGTAATCATGGAATGAGGGAATGAAAGAATCGGGTAATCATGGAATGGGGGAATGATAGAATCGGGTAATCATGGAAGGGGGGATGATGGAATCGGGTAATCATGGAATGGGGGATTTATAGAATCGGGTAATCATGGAATGGGGGAATGATAGAATGGGGTAATCATGGAATGGAGGAATGATAGAATCCGGTAATCATGGAATGGAGGAATGATGGAATGGGGGAATCATGGAATCATGGAATGGAGGAATGATATAATCGGGGTAATCATGGAATGGGGGAATGATAGAATGGGGGAAAACAGTTTTTGCAGTTTGTATCCATATCAACAAGTTATATCTATATATATTATATTACAGATATCGTACGAGTTTCGTCAGTTAGAACCTGTTTATCAACAAGTTATATCAGATATATGTAAACAGATGGGTGCTGGTATGACTGTATTTTTTGAACGAGATTTAATAACTTTAGCTGAGTGGGATGAGGTGAGTAATTCTTGGCTCGTATTTTGTCCATGAGTTTCGTTGGATCTGTCCTATTTTACAATTGAAATAAAATGCACCGACTGTACTATTAAAGATGTCCTACTCTTATTAAAATTCCAACTATCAACGGTTCTTTTACGTGTACACCTACACAGAACCTCAGTTTTTTTTTTGTCCCATTCGAGCGACTAGACATTGTTCCTGGTCAGGCCCGTCTTCATTAGTCCAGTCGGAGCAGAACAGTAGGATGTTAAACCTCATTCATTTCCTTGTCAGATTCTCCATCCTACTCCAGTGTGTTCTATCAGGCCCTCCATCCTACTCCAGTGTGTTCTGTCAGGCCCTCCATCCTACTCCAGTGTGTTCTATCAGGCCCTCCATCCTACTCCAGTGTGTTCTATCAGGCCCTCCATCCTACTCCAGTGTGTTCTGGCAGGCCTGCCTCCTACCCCAGTAAGTTCTGTCAGGTCCTGTGTGTTCTGTCAGGCCCTCCATCCTACCAGTGTGTTCTGTCAGGCCCTCCATCCTACCCATGGATTCCAAGTCAGCCGTATATGCTGGTCGGGACCGAGGGCTGTGGAAAATGACCGTAACTAGATCTGACCCAGTGTGTTCTGTCAGCTGGAAAGTAGATAGCTTTGTGTAGAAATTTCTACAAATTGTCTTTGTTATATTTAATTTACAGTATTATCATGTTATATTTACAGTATTATCATGTTATATTGACAGTATTGTCCTGGTATAATGTTATATTTACAGTATTGTCATGGTATAATATGTTATATTTACAGTATTATCATGTTACATGTATATTTACTGTATTATCATGTTATATTTACAGTATTGTCATTATGTAGCTGGTTTAGTTGGTATAGGATTATCAAAGTTATTCTCAGCATCAAAACAAGAAGATGATATAGTTGGTAAAGATACGTATCTGTCTAATAGAATGGGATTATTTCTACAGAAGACCAATATAATACGAGATTATCTGGAAGATCAACTAGAGGGTCGAGCTTTCTGGCCTCGCGCTGTAAGTACAATAACCTCTTTTATTGCGTCCTGCCTTTAGGGGACAATTAAAAGGGGTTCGTCCTACTTCGCTGCACTGACCGACCTAATGAGGCAGGTGTCTCCCATGTGGTGTGCTATTAGTGAAATTTTGACTGGACAGCAACACTACAGCCCACTCGTTATTTCAAATTCAATCTGGCATGGGTTCTTTTATGTGCAATCCAAGTTTTTTCTTGTAGCCAAACAACTAGACACTGACAAGGGGAAACTGAACCGTAAAATGTTGAGGAACATGCCTGGCCAACACCAGGAGCGAACCCGAGACCTCCTGGTTAGCGAGCCAGCGTCTTGACTCATTTAGCCACTGCAGCTCCCTCTCAATTAAGCTAAATAAACTTTGCCACGGTGGCTAAGTGAGTAAGATGCTGACTCTTTAGCCTGGATGTCGCGCATTCGATCCCGGTGTTGGCCGAGAGAGTTCATCGGGATTTTCCGGTGTGGTTTCCCCCTTGTCAGTGGTGCATGACGGAGGGCCTAACAAAGACATTTTTCTAGTCAATTGGGTGGGATGAAAAGCCGAGGCCCTGTGCACACATTGATGTGCATGTAAAAGATCCCTTGGCAGTTGGAATTAGATACAAGAGTAGGCTGTAGCACTGCAGTCTGACGAAATTTCCCTCATAACACACTTTATGGCATATACCCGTATTCATTTGCCCAGTTGGAGCAGAACAGTAGGACATTAAACCCCATTTCATTACATTAGCCCAGTCGGAGCAGAACTGTAGGACGTTAAACCCCATTTCATTTCATTAGCCCAGTCGGAGCAGAACAGTAGGACGTTAAACCCCATTTCATTTCATTAGCCCAGTCGGAGCAGAACAGTAGGACGTTAAACCCCTTTTCATTTTATTTCATTTATAATTAAAGTAAACTTGATGTTTGTGTGTTGATTATAGGTATGGGGTAAATATGCCAGTGAACTGGGTGATCTAGCTAAAGAAGAAAATGTAGACAAGTCCGTCCAGTGTTTAAATGAGCTGATAACCAATGCTCTAGAGTTAATACCTGACTGTATTAAATATATGTCACGGTTAAAAGATCAAAGTGTTTTTAACTTCTGTGCTATACCACAGGTAAGTGTCCTACTACTCTGTACCATACTCACAGGTAAGTGTATTGAACCTATTACCCTCAGTTGTTTTTAACTTCTGTGCCATACCACAGGTAAGTGTATTGAACCTACTACCTTCATTGGTTTTAACTTGTTCCATACCACTGGTAAGTGTATTGAACCTACTACCCTCAGTTGTTTTAATCTGTGCCATATCACCATGGCTCGAAATGTTCGAAATGTTCGCCATTTGAACTCTTTACATTTCGCTCTGTCGTAGGCAACAGTTACTCACACAGTTTGGAAGTAGACAATTTTATAATAATGAATTTCACACCATCTACGCTTGTTTTCATCTGCTTAACTCTAGTACAGAGCGAAAAATAAACAGTGCAAATGGCAGCTTTTTTGCAGTATTTGATTTTTTAAATTTCTTATAAATTATTCATACCCTTTATTTATGGAACTTGTTTTAAACTTTTTAAATGATTAAATACACCAGGCAACGGGCCGTGTGCATTTCCATTCCAGCTACCACTATATTTACTGTGGTGTCGTTACGATAGAACTATTTTAGATGACCTTGTGATGGGTTTTAATTTATTTAGATATAATACTTCATAATGCCATAAACTAGAGTCTACATGTTATAATATAATATTATATACTGTCTACATGTTATAATATAGTATTATATATTGTCTAGATGTTATAATATAGTATTATATACTGTCTACATGTTATAATATAGTATTATATACTGTCTACATGTTATACTATAGTATTATATACTGTCTAGATGTCATAATATAGTATTATATACTGTCTAGATGTTATAATATAGTATTATATACTGTCTACATGTTATAATATAGTATTATATACTGTCTAGATGTCATAATATAGTATTATATACTGTCTAGATGTTATAATATAGTATTATATACTGTCTACATGTTATAATATAGTATTATATACTGTCTACATGTTATAATATAGTATTATATACTGTCTACATGTTATAATATAGTATTATATACTGTCTAGATGTTATACTATAGTATTATATACTGTCTACATGTTATAATATAGTATTATATACTGTCTACATGTTATAATATAGTATTATATATTGTCTACATATTTTTGATATAGTATATTGTCTGTCTATAGGTAATGGCTATAGATACATTAGAAAGGTGTTATAATGTACATGTATATTGTCTGTCTGTAGGTTATGGCTATAGGTACGTTAGAAAGGTGTTATAATAACAGTAAAGTATTTAAAGGTGTTGTGAAGATCAGGAAAGGTGAAGCAGTTAAAATGATGATGGGATCCACAAATTTAGAACAAGTTAAAGCAATCATGAGTCATTTCACATCAGAGGTACGTTGAGTTATATACGTCACAGGTACCTTGACTGAGTTATACATCGCAGGTACCTTGACTGAGTTATACATATCACAGGTACATTGACTGAGTTATACATATCACAGGTACCTTGACTGAGTTATACACATCACAGGAACCTTGACTGAGTTATACACGTCACAGGTACCTTGACTAAGTTATACACATCACAGGTACATTGACTGAGTTATACATCATATCACAGGTACATTGACTGAGGTATACATCACAGGAACTTAAACTTCATCTTAAAGAGTTACTATCACTACTTAATGTTCTTTTGACAATTTGACTACAATCTGAACAACAGTACCACTCTACGAGCAGAGAAGTGACACAGTCGATAGCCATAATACCCATACCACTTGATCAAAACATCACAAATCTGAGGAACACCAAAGTAAAATGGATCGACACCCAGTGCTGTGGAAAATAATACAGATCCAACCCATTTAATCCTTAACTAACTTTGAAAAGTTCACAGCTACTCAAAATCCGTCTCTATGGAGGCAGCCATCTTGTGTTTAAAAACGTGAAATTTCTTCATTATTTTATTTTGACTTGAATGAGCTTTAAGATATGTATTTCTTGATATGGAGGAATCTTGAAAATAGACAAATTCTGGCTGGGATTAAGGAGTCAAATGGGGATTCATTGCATTCGTGATATAAAAATGGCTGTCAACTTAGTTTCGAGCGATTGTTGATATAAACATGGCTGTCAACTTAGTTTCGAGCGATTGTTGATATAAACATGGCTGTCAACTTAGTTTCGAGCGATTGTTTGACATATATTTGACTATCCATTACTGCTAATCTGTGACTGAGATTCCTTAAGCAGAAACATTATTATACAAGCAACATTTCCCTTATAGCACACTGTTTTGCATGTTCCCGTCTTCATTAGCCCTCTTCATTAGCCGGGTGCAGGACAGTAGGAGGTAAAACCCCATTTCATTTATCTCTCTCTCTCTCTCTCTCTCTCTCTTACATAACCATAGAAATGAGATTATCATAGTATTGTGTTGACAATACATTCATAACATCATCTTTCTCTCCATTCTTTAGCTTTAGCGAATTATGTAAATAAAATTAAACCATATGTTAGTCCCGAAATGACCTAGTTTGTGTCGAGTGGACGTTAAACCCCATCTCTCTCTCTCTCTCTCTCCATTCTTTAGGACAGAGGGCCTGGTGCCTGGTAAGGAAAACATAGTCGTTCAGATGACACCAGAAACTAAGGTCCTGTGTACACCGCTGTCCGGGCAAAATTTCCCTTATAGCACACTCCATTTCATTAGTAGGATGTTAAAACTCCATTTCATTTCATTTTATTTCTTTTCTTTTCATTTCTTTTCATTTCTCCATTCTTTAAAGTATCTTTATTGATTATTTTTCAGATTTTACGAAGAATTCCAGCCAATGATCCGACAGCCAATCGAACGAGAGAAGTTTGTCAGCAAGCACTGAACGTCTGTCAAACTAAACACGAATACACAACATCCAGTATCTTTCCTCCTCTATATATGTCGTGTGTCTTGATGATTGGAGCTATATCATATAAATATTGGTCGGAGATATCGTCCGTTTACGATTCATTTGTTGATAGTTATACTACGTGAGCGTGTCTAGTCAATAAACAATGTGAACAATCGTAACACTCGATCTTGTGAAAATAATTGAATACCCGGTGTGTGATACGGCGGCCCTGGATCCTGACAAATACACTGTGATGTTTTGGTGACGTGGTCATCAAGACTCTTGAATTGATATGGAAAAATATATCTTGAATTTCTCATAAAGAATACTGGATGATTTTATGGTTTCACGTACATGTAGCTAAGACATATATTTGACATTTTCATCTGATAGGAAATTTTTAATGCAAACCACGTTTCATATGACAAACGGAATTCTATATAGAATAGGCTTGGTTGTCCAATTCTATATGACCAACTGAACATTATATAGTGCTAAAACAACAGTGATTTTTCCAAAGCCCAGAATTGCGGGGCCCCTTAAAGCAATGAAAAGATTATTTCATATCCTTTTGAATTGCATGCATGCGTAACACACAATTTAACGGTCTGTAATACAAGAATAATTACAGAGAAGGTTGAGGGATTGCAGACTCACCCTGTCTCTGCCCATCGCAACGCTAAAAGCCTATACCGATCACTGAGTGGAACTTCACAGAGAAGGTTGAGGGATAGCTCAGTCTCCACCCTCGCGCCGCTAGATCAATTACCATCAAACTTAGATCTGGAATTTGAATTATTTCTCTTTTTGCCATGAACCGTGGGGCCTTGGGCCTGGGCCCCTCAGGCCCATGCCTATGCTGAGCTTTGGATGTTTCACTTATTGATGCATGGAATGGAGAAACATTTCATGCAATATTCTGTTTTCAGACTTCCAAAATATGTATGTCAATTGACGAATATTGAAAGTGCATTATGTAAAATTTAGATAAAGAGCTGACAGTTCTCGATATAATAGTTTAAAAAAAGATCATGAAAAGGGAATATGTTGAAAATTTCAGTTAAATTAATTCACTTTTGAGTGGACTTATAGTCTCGATTATCAATGCTACCGTTGTTACGATAATAAAGAAAGTCTTGATTATCCATTTTTAAATTAAATCATTAACTGCCAATCATATTTAAATCTGTTGAAAATCAAAACCATCCGAAGTTCCAGGGAGTTATATAAAATCGTAGGTCAAACGAAAGATCTTCACTAGACAGATTTAGCTGTTGAAAAATGCATCTATAAATGAATTAGATGACTCATTGAACATTTGCTGTAAGGGTCTGGGTATATAGATATTTATATTTGGTCAGTATATATTTATAATGTTTATTCTGTTAAATAAACCTATATTACCACTGAGAGCACCTGTTTATTTATATGTACAACTGTATGATGTCATCACTGCCATCTTGGAATTGTAGTCTGTCAATGGGTTTTCAGTTCTATACTTTGAATGGAGTTCTGTAACAAAATAAAGATCTTAATTATTAATCTATCATTAATCAGAATCCCTCTTCGTTTGGAAATCCGTCTATCGGTAATCCGGGCTTAGGGATTAAGTTAAGTAGCTCCTAATATTAAAGATGCATTATGGGAGATTTAATAAAGAGCTGGCAGTTCTCACTATAATAGTTAAAAACTAGATAATGTAAAGGGAATTTACTGAAAATTTCAGTCAAATTGATCCACTCTGAACCGAGATGTTAGCGATTGAATTTTCGGCCTAGCCTCGGTCATCATTACTAAAGTCGGTACGATAAAAAAACATAGTCTCGATTATCCATTTCATGATTAAATCATGAATGAAAGTTGAGCAGCAAATGGGATCCATAATCCAGTAAATATCGCAGGCTAGCGTGGACATCGAGAGTTGGTTATGATCTGGATAAGTTAATTAATGTCTAATTAATAATTTAGATAAGATTTCATGCCTAAAGAAAGACCTGCAATAGGCAGATTTCGCTCTTGCATAATGTATGTTTAATGTTTAACTTTTTTCTTCTGTAAATCAAATTAAACAAATTCTTTAAATTATTAAGAAAAAAACAAATGCATTGAAAATATAATATAATAGGTCATTTCGGGACTAACATGGGGTTCAATTTTATTTCAATAATTCTCTTGCGCACATAGTCCGTGGGCTAGGAGGGGTAACTGTGCATCCCCCCCCCCCCCATAAATAAACATTTTTGGTATTTTCACATTGCCTATGATCTGGCCTTTCAGAAAAATAATGTTAACAGCAAAAATACTGGGACTCTAGTTGCCATGGCAACCGTTTTCCGACCACGCCCACTTTTTTCAACAGTTTCAAAATCTACTTGTAGTGCAATTAAAAAAACCCGTAATACCCCTTACAGTGGACCAAATTCGATATATTTTATATCAGCATATTTGTTTTTCTTCCTTTTTTTATAATGTGTGTATTTTCGTTATATGACTGTGCCGTGTATGACCTGGACAGAGGTCAAACTTAAACTTTTCTGAAAAATACCCTAAATAATACAATTTCTGCCGGTAACAATGCACCTAATAAAAAAACATCCTTTTTATGTTAGTTACTTCTGTTATTTTAGTATTCATTGATGTATTGCCTCTTCAGAAAATCAAGTTAACAGTAAAATAATAGCTTTTGTAAGCAATGTCAGCCTTCTGTTGACCACGCCCATTTTAGGTGTTTTACCCAAATCGCACCAATAGATGGAAGTTAAATGCACACAACTTCTGTCATAGTGAAACAATCTTTGCATATTTGGTATCAATATGTTGCTTTTAAAGCGAGAATTTCATATTTTCTAAAAAAAACATGTCATTTACATACGCATCAAAATTGTCAGTCTGAATGGAAAACAAATGGAGAGGATGGATTGCGGACTATATTAAGGGGCAATAGACACGATGAGTTTTCAAGGGCGACAACGATCGCAGTTTCCAATTCAAGTAAGAATGAATAGTTTTCACAATGACCCATACGGTTGATAAGGAAAATCAGATCAGCACTGCGAAACATATGTCTCAAGGTCATTCCTAATATCACATGCTTTCGTAACTTCCATTTCCCATTGGTAACTGCTCTGCATATATCCTGGCCAAGCGACGAGACTAAGCGGCTTGTTTTCCTAGTTGGTTCTCTACCGCCACTTAGAACACGAGTCAGAAAATCTTCAAGGACTTTAGGAAGAAGAGAAGATGTAAGATTGAGGTCATTAACTGTAATTGGCCATGGCATTTCATCCGTTTCTTTGAATGTCTTGAGGATTTCACTTCGAACATGTTCTGCAACATCAAATACTTTGTTTGTATTTCCAAGCTCATATGCAGATGTTATTGCATCTTTAATCTCCATTTTCAAACTATAGACAATCATTGGTTGAGATTTCCCCAAACTACCAACAGTACAAAAACCTATTAGACCTTGTAAGTCTTTGCATTTCTCAAGTTTCCCTCTCAACCTCTGTGATCTGTATTTTGGATTTGCAAAGGGGGTGTTTAAAAGATGTGCAACATATAACCTTTGGAGGTCACTCAGGCGTAAAACTTGCTGATTTGAAATTACAGTTTTATGGACAAATTCCACCACCTTTTCCAGGCTCTCCCTGTGGGCTTGCTCTAATTCTTCTTGGGATTTCACATTGTTTTCATACTTTGATCGCCAATTCTCAGGAATTTTAGCGGTATAGGACCTCTGACAGCTTGGGTGACATTTTGCCTCACAGGAGAAAAGATCAACACCAGAAATCCTTCTCAATAAGTCAAAATCCCCTCGTCCTTCTGCCACTTTGATTATAGTCCTTCCTCCACCACGTTCAAAACTTTTGGTGTCTTCAGTAGTCCACGCCCCTTTCAGTTTTACTTTTTTTCTTCCTTCCTTTCTGCAGATAATGCAATCAGGATTGAATAGGGTCCTGTCTTTTTTTTCCGAAGATCTTGTTGAGGATCTCGCGTCACTTGATACTTGGGTATCATCAATCAAACGCTTTAGGTTTCCAGTAAATTGTGCATAACATTGTCGATGATAGCCATGATACTCTTGATATTCTTCTGGAATTTGTGAACATGCGATATGGAGATTCAATATGTTGATTAAGCCTCCTCCTTTTAATGTCTTTTATATAATTAAATCGCCCATCCGGATCTTTTGTGTTTTTGATATAGATGAAATCATCATGGTGGATTACTGTATCTTTTGCATGAATAATACAAATTTGATGGTCATGTTTTCTTTTCCTTTCTTGATCCATTGAAGAGGAATAACAACAGTACCTGAAACAAAAATGGAAAATGGAATTACATACTCATTCATTATATTATTGCTCTTAAATATTAAAACTTTGGAATGTAAAAATTAAATTTTGTTGAAATTAGTACATATCATCTATAAACTATTTTATCGTTTAAATAATAATAATTTTATTTAACTATGTTTTATCGCTTTCATTTGTTAATTTTCAAATAAATTTTATGAAAACATTTTAAAAATCCCTTTTTCAATTATATAAGTAAATTAAACAACGACTGGTCCCTTGCTCGTGAGAGTAGTCTCCCTTTAAATGAAGAAAAATTGGGCCTGAATTTCCCTTTAATTTTAGTATTTTTCCCAATTCAACATACAAATTATTGTTAATATTGGACTCTATGGTTGTTATAAATTACATATATCAACAATAAATAAGAAATACATACCTTAATGTCGACACAAGAGCTGTTTTGTATTCTGTAGAAAAAGCTGTCTGCTATTCAGAAAGGCGGCCATTTTTATAGAGGGGGAGCATAAATTTTTTAGTTTTAATTTTTTTTTTTTTTTTTTTTTTTTAATTTTAATTTTTTTTTTTTTTAATAAAGCTATAGAAAACTGTTGACTTAACAGGCTAATAATATCAATTCCATGTTGATTATATGAAAAACTTCATGTGGTGTCCTCACATTAAACCTTTTTTACATAACTTGGTTATGGGCCAAACAAAAATGAAATTTAATGGAAATTTTCACCCAAAAATAGAATTTGACCTTTCTCAAGGTCACAAATGAAAATATAAAATCACAAAATAATTTCAAGGTTAAAGACTTACTTAAAAGCAACATATTGATACCAAATATGCAAAGATTGTTTCACTATGACAGAAGTTATGTGCATTTAACTTCCATCTAGTTAAACTTCCATCGATTTGGGTAAAACACCTAAAATGGGCGTGGTCAACAGAAGGCTGACATTGCTTACAAAAGCTATTATTTTACTGTTAACTTGATTTTCTGAAGAGGCAATACATCAATGAATACTAAAATAACAGAAGTAACTAACATAAAAAGGATGTTTTTTTATTAGGTGCATTGTTACCGGCACAAATTGTATTATTTAGGGTATTTTTCAGAAAAGTTTAAGTTTGACCTCTGTCCAGGTCATACACGGCACAGTCATATAACGAAAATACACACATTATAAAAAAAGGAAGAAAAACAAATATGCTGATATAAAATATATCGAATTTGGTCCACTGTAAGGGGTATTACGGGGTTTTTTAATTTCACTATTTTGGAACTGTTGAAAAAAGTGGTTGTGGTCAGAAAACGGTTGCCATGGCAACTTGAGTCCCAGAATTTTTGCTGTTAACATTATTTTTCTAAAAGGCCAGATCATATGCAATGTGAAAATACCAAAAATGTTTATTCATGGGGTGGTGGTGCACAGTTACCCCTCCTAGCCCAAGGACTAATAGGGGTTTTTAGCAGTGGAAAGAAACCAGAGTACCCGTAGGTTGGACTGGCCACCTACTCCTTGTCACGTACAAGCGGGAATCGAAACCATACGACTTGACTAAATGACATACCTTCTGATACAATGTGCAGGTGTTAACCATTTATCCCCGCCCCTTCTTCCCTCCTGAATACTCTTTGAAAGGTCGCCCCAAAAAATAAGTAGCTGTTTTTCCATAAGTATGTGTTATTATGTATTGATGTATCAAATGACCAAATGAAATGGGGTTAAACGTCCTACTGTTCTGCTCCTATACTTGGCTAATGAAGACGGGCATACGCTATACAGTGTGCTATGAGAGAAATTTTGCCCGGACAGCGGCACTACAGCATACACTTATATCAAATTCCAACTGTCAAGGGATCTTTTATGTGCATGCCAATGTGTACAAGGGACCTCGGTTTTTTCGTACCATCATAACGACTAGACAGCTGTCCTTGTCAGGGCCTCCATCCTGCATCACTGACAAGGGGGAACCAAGCCGGAAAATCTGGATGAACTTTCTCAGCCATTGCAGAGATCGAACACCCGACCTCTAGGCTAGCGAGCCAGCGTCTTACCCACTTAGCTACCGTGATCCCCTGACTAAATGACAGACCTTCTGATACAACGCGCGTTAACCATTCATTGCCGCCCCCCCCCCTCCTAAATACTCTTAGTATGTGCTATAGTTTAATGTTCTATCCAGTTACTAAATACCTCTAAAAGATCATATTCCTGGATTGGCTTCTGATACTTGAGCTTTTGAGGGAGTTTGTCTATTCTTCCTGTTCAATCAAAACAGCCCTTCGTTTAATCTGGGTCTTCCCTAAAACTTTGGACAGTGATTTAAGGTATTAAAAATGATGAAAGTATGTTAGTCTCCAAACAGTATTGTTTACATTGTTTTAGATTTGATAGCCTCGTTTGTCAAGCAATTAGTTTTTCTGCAATATTCTGCTATGCACTGGTTAATTGGGCATAATAAAATCCTGAGTCATGACGTAACGGTATTTAAACATATTTGATCCAAATTGGAGCTCTGTTTTATGCTTTTGTAAGGCAGTTAGCTATTGGTTGTTAATCGAACCATTGACCAGTCATAATTTGCAACAGAAATTTGCTTTCGTTAAAGCAGTGTTAAGTGGGATTAGGTGTAGGTATAATCAAACGAAACACTGCGAGGAGTATGCTAAAAGATTTGCTATAGTATTATTAAGTTGACTAATTTATTTCATAATTTTATTTACAAATAATACATTAATCAATTTTATATTAAATGATAGAAAAGTATACTTCATTCTATATAAACACAATCACAAACTCTATAGTGTGAACTGTAAGGGAAGACAACTCAGCTTGGAAGAATGGCACAACTGGGGTTTAACATCCACTCCACACAAACTAGGTTATTTAAGGACTAACATATGGTTCAATTTTACTATCAGAGAGAGAGAAATATGTTTTTAACATCCACTCGACACAAACTAGGTCATTTCAGGACTAACCTATGATTTAATTTTATTTCAATAATTCGCTTGCGCGTAGGTGTCTTTAGCAATGGGAGGAAACCGGAGGACCCAGAGAAAACCCACGAGGTTGGACAGGCGACCCTACTCCTTGTCACGTACAACCGGGGATTCGAAACCACGCCAGTTGACTCAATAACAGGTCTTATGATACAGCATACATGTGCTAACCATTCGGCCATCCAACCCCCAAATTTTATTATCAATAATTCGTTTGCATACAGTTGTCACTTTAACAGTGGAAAGAAACCGGAGAACTTGTAGAAAACCCACAAGGTTGGACAGGCGACCCTACTCTTTGTTAGGTACAAGCTTATATAGGAACGAAACCACACCACTCAATGACAGACCTTATTCAGGACCCCACAACCCTCGATAACCATTTAAACAATAGTTTGCTAAGTGAAACAGAGAGAGAGAAATGAAGTCGAACATCCACACAACATAAACTATGTTATGTATATTTCTATTTTATTTATATTTCAATAAATCGCAGTAAGAAACTAGGTTAAGAACAAATTCAATCGGATTAAAACACAGATCCTATTTCGTTTCCTTTTTTAAAGTTCAAAATTTTGTTTTACTACACTAGGATCTGGAAGAGTTGTTATACATCCCGCATTCTGGTTGATGTAAGGGATTAGCTAATGAAACGATCTGTTGCAGTGAGTTCTTGGTATCATTTAATCTTACATATTTAGTCCTTATTTTTATTCACATTCATTCAGTATCAATCTTTGTTTGAAAATTCATAAAGATCATCTAAAATCACCCGGGTTACAGTGTGATAGTCATAATAATTCCAATTTGACAAGAAGGATTAAGGTCTGGAAAAGTGCAATCTATGGGTATATGGTAACTGGATGTCTTGTTGTTCGTGTATACAATTCACACAATGAATTATGTGAAATGTTGTCTCAATCCACCAGTTAACAATGCACTCTGTGTATTTAAAATGCAAGACAATTTTTCCTCTCAACCAATCAAAAGATGTATAAGATTTTCCTTATGATCTTTGATACAAATCTAGCTACAGTATATTTTGTCCTGACTAACACAGACTGGAATGATCAAGACTAATTAATGATGGTTTTAAGACACAAAAGGAATTTTCAAATCAATAAAGGGGAGATAATAGAGATGAGTTGTCTCCCCTTAGACCACAAAAGAACATCTGATATCATTCCACATATATTTCTCTTGTACTTCAGTGCCTCAGTTTTAAATCAATAAAGGGGAGATAATGGGGATGAGTTGTCTCCCCTTAGACCACAAAAGAAGTAATTCATACAAGTATATCATTCCACATTTACCTATCTTTTACTTCAGCACTTCAGTTTCCGTAGTAACTTGACATTATTTAAACATACATTATTCAAGAGCTAAATCTGCCTATTACAGGCCCTTCTTTACACATGAAATGTTATCTACATGTAAATTATTAATTAGACATTAATTAAGGGGGTGGACAGTAGAAAATTTCAGTTTTTTTAATAATTGAGGTAAAGTCACCATTCTTACACATCTAAGAACACATCCATTGAATATTACAAAAACGGCCGAAAAATTTTCCTGGGGGTACCTGTTGCTATGGAAACGGCGGCCATCTTGGATTTCTGCGTATAATTTTAGTCATCCAGTTTCTCAGAAACTATTCAACAGAATGTTTTAAAATTAAGCAGAGAGGTTACTGACATGTTCCTTTGTGCAATAGGCAAGTTTCATTACAAAATAATAATTAGAAAGCAAGTTATACACATTTTAATGTTAACTTCAAAATTCTTTCACGTGTCACAGTTGCTATGGCAACAATATATCAGGAACTATTTTGCAGATTTCAATCAAATTCTCCTATTGCACAAAGTTATTATATAGGAAGTTATATTCCAAGTTTCAAGAAAATCTGACGATAATTTCCAGAGATATAGCATGACTAAAATTGGTAACTCTAGAAAAAAACTGTTTTGAGAAATCAACAACTGAAGTTGAAGTATTTCAGTAGAACAACTTACGCCGATCTGTTCAATTCATTTATTTAATATTAAAAAACTGACTTTTAATATATATATTTTCTAATGTATTTCTTATCAATATACAGTATTTTCTTATTTTATTTCTTGTGTGTAAATTTACAACCGAACATTGGCATAGGAATAGATGTTATTCAAAACAACCATAACTATAATAATCACTGACAGCAGGCCTACCTGGTAATGGTATTGCAACCATACCACTACTAGGTCTAGCAGACGAATATTCATCTTCATTTTGTTTATTATGAGTGTCTGTCATACTTATTTAGTCATCTAAACAATTTCAAACGCATTTTATTTGAAAATCTTCAAAAATATTGATAAACAGTGACGTACGGTTCAGCAATATAGCAACCAGGATTGATTTGGGACCTGAGCTTAGTGCGCATGCCTATTGACCTGACCTAGAGGATTGCCCGCTTCTGATAGGACACCTCACCATTGACCTATGTGACCGACCAATCAAATAACGTAATCTTGAAACAACCTCATTAGGTATGCAAAACTTGTTCTTGCTTGCTATTTTTATCTCAATACAGAAGAAAGGTTTCAAGACACCCCCAAAAAACGTCATTTCCTTTCAATAGGGGAAATCCCAAGCTTTCTAACAGTATCCAACATGGCGACAGTTTACCGGTCGGAAGCCAAGTATTTCACGTATGAAATGCCTATTGTTTTTAGATTTATATCAATAGTTTTAGCGGAATTAGGGCAAAATAAAAAAGGGTGGGATCATTCAGAATCAAATTTTGTAGAAATAAAGAAGAATTTTGTGAAAAAAATGACTGGTATGTGTTCCTAGATAGTGTTACTCGCAGATAATCATAAAACCTCAAAAACGATTTTATTGTTAAAATTCACCAAATGAAGTGCGAACGACGGCCTTAACTTATCCAGACCATAATCAACTCTCGATGTCAACGCTAGCCTGCAATGTTTACTGGATTAGGATACATTTTGTGATGGATGATTTAACGTCAAAATGGATAACCAAGACTTGTTTGCCTGCGATATTTAAAGGATTTGAATACATTTTGTGAGGGATGATTTAACGTCAAAATGGTGTTTTTCATCAGACTGACTTTAGTAATGATGATAGAGGCTAACCTAAAATTAAATCGCTATTATCTCGGTTCAGAGTGGAGCAATTTAACTGAAATTCTCAGCATATTCTCTTTACGTTTTCTATTTTTTAACTATTATAGCGAGAACTGTCAGCTCTTTACTTAAACTCCCATAATGCCCCTTAACACATTACCATATTATTTTTTTGCTAAGTAACCTGACAGAATTCTATATTTTTTTTAATTTCAGTGGTTTTAATTTTAAAATAATATTTAAATTTTTTGACTTTGAAATTCCTCAATATTCATTATTCTCATTAGCTGTGACAAGTTGTCTCCCCTTAGACCACAAACTTAAAATGCAATGTCAGCAATAATAAGAAGTGATATATGTCATACAGGAACACATGATACCACTTCTCATTAGGATGTTCACACAGCCAGTTCTTGTTCTCATCAGTAGTGATAAGTTGTCTCCCCTTAGACCACATACACAAAATGTCAAGTAAGCAAAATGAAGTGATATACAAGAACATCTGGTACCACTCCTCATTGGAACATTCACACACCTTTCTTTTGTAATTTAACAATTTGCCACATTATTCGTTCTTAGTAATCGGACATAATTTAAAGTATCTTTCTGTTAAATTAAATTTCATCCTTTTCTGAATTACTCAATATTCCATTTTCTCATGAGTACTGTCAGTCCTAGATGTCCAAAACCACAAGACAAGGCAGCACTTTTGTTTACAACATCGCATCTTTACGTCTCAACTTTTTCTTGATACCTGTCGCGCGATAAAATGTTCGTTCTTCTAAATATTCTTCTTTACACTGTTTCTGGAACTCTTCATTCTCATACCTGTAAACAAAGAAAAGAGAGAAATTTTGTCTAATGTCCACTCGATTTAACCAGGTCATATCGGGACTAACACATGGTTCAATTTTATTTCAATAATTTGCTTGCACGTAGAGCATCCTGGAGAAAAAAGTTGAACAGGCGAACAAATACTAAACTTAGGCTGTCTGTCTACAGTTAGCTCCGCTAGTTGACTGACATTTTAGCTTCTAAATTGACGATCTTAGTCGAAAAAAATATGCATCTTTCGAGAATTTCGAGAAGTATGTATTCTGTTTTCATTTAATAAAATTGAAAAGGTTTAATTAGTCTTTTTGTGTGAAACAGTATACTAATTGTTGAATATCGCTGTAGTGACGTTTCCTGGAAGTATGAAGTTGATGAGATGGATCTTTGTGGGCAGAATGCTGGGGACACTAATCCTTTTCTGGGATCGAAACCACAAATTGTGAATGAAAGACCGATCAAGATGAAAATTCTATACAATCACATTTCCTTGTGGGAGTATAAATACTGTAGCCTCTATCGCGTTAACGATCCAATTGTTGACATATGGACATGGGTGACAACATAATACGTCACCACTACAATATTAATACTACTTACCAAGCTGTCAGACATTTTTCTAATATTTTTGCTTGACCTCGACACTTAAACGGCATCATAAATCCCTGTTCTTTAGAACACTTTCCAAATGCTGTAAAATAAACCAATAATAAATAATTAATACACCAATAATATACCAATAATATACCATTAATACACCAATAATACATGTTTACCATTAATACACCGATAATATACCATTAAATACACCAATATTATACCATTAAAAATGAAATGGGTGTTTAACCTCTTACTGTTCTGCTCCGACTGGGCTAATGAAGACGGGCTTATGCCATACAGTGTGCTATGAGGGGAATTTTGCCCACTACAGCCTACTCTTATATAAAATTCCAACTGGCAAGGATCTTTTATGTGCACTCCAATGTGTACATGGGACCTCGTTTTTTCATCCCATCCAAACAACTATAGCGAGAGAGAGAGAGAAAGAGAGAGAGAGAGAGAGAGAGAGAGATGGGGTTTAATATCCACTCAACACAAACTAGGTCATTTCAGGACTAACATATGGTTTAATTTTATTCAATAATTTGTTGCGCATAGGGGTCTTTAGCATTGGGAGGAATCCGGAGGACCCGGAGAAAAGCCACGAGGTTGGACAGGCGACCCTACTCCTTGTACAACCGGGGATTCGAAACCACGCCAGTCGACTCAATGACAGACTTTATGATACAGCGCATGCACGCTAACCATCCAACCCCCCAAACAACTATAGCACCACTGACAAGGAGGAACCACACAAGAAAATATTGATGAACTTTCCCGGCCATCGCAGGCCAACGCAGGTATCAAACACGGGACCTTCAGGTTAGCAAACCAATGTCTTACACACTGAGCCATCCTACTGCTTGGGGGGTTGAATAGCCGAATGGTTAGCACGTGCGCGCTGTATCATATGGCCTGTCACTGAGTCAACTGGCGAGGTTTTGAATCCTCGGAGTAGGGTCGCCTGTCCAACCTCGTGGGTTTTCTCAGGGTCCTCTGGTTTCCTCCCACTGCTAAAGATCCCTACGCGCAAGCGAATTATTGAAATAAAATTTTTAAAAAAAACATATGTTAGTCCCGAAATGACCTAGTTTTGTGTCAAGTGGACGTTAAACCCCATTTCTCTCTCTCATCTTACTGCTTGTCACGTACAAGCTGGGAATCAAACCCTTGCCTCTTGACTCAATGACAGTTCTTACGATCTAAAATATGCGTGTTAAAAAATTACACCACCTAAGGCCTGGCCTTGCCAAGGACAAAACGGTCTGACGTATTTGCTCTATCTGCTTCTAGAATTCATTGTTTTACCCCCTATATAATTTACCAGGCCTGGAAATAACGGTTTTACATGAACATGTACCTGACAAAATGTCAGCCACTAATGAAATAGTACCTAATATTTTCAACTTAGTGCTGGACATGTATTAATAATATCAATAAAAAAGACAAATCAGTGCCGGACAAAATGACAGGCACCAGAGGTTTAGTGCCTGACAAAGCCTGAATCTGTGCCTAACATTGTCAGTGACAGGTGCCTTATTTCAAGGCATGATTTACCTATTATTTCTTCTTGGCATTTTTCTTTCTTTGCTTTTTCCTTCATCTTGGCAGGTATCATAATGGTTTCTTCAACTTTTCTTAGTGATTTGTCATCTGGGTCACCTAAAATAACAATTATGAGCAACAGAATTACCACTAAAAGTTAAGCAATAATGCAATTGAAAGTTATAATTAATACAAACAAATGTATAAAAAGCTTTTTTATTTCATAAAGAAATATATATAAAGCTTGATACAGCTAAATATCTGTAATTATTATAACTGTAAACAGTAGAGTTTGGCCCAGTTACTGGAGATCGCAGGTGGATTTGAGTCACGTATGGTATGGCACGAGTTTCACGAGGCATTGGAAAAGGGTGCGCCTAAACAACGCATTATTTGTTTTCCCTGAAACACCTCTGCCAAAGTCGCCCTGCGCCTTATCTACGCATGCGCCTAATACACCGAAAAATAAGGTAAATTACTTATAGATTTTATGTCATTCCAGTAATCGCTACAACATCAGGCTTATACCGATACTAGTCATCCTCAATTGCAGGAAATATTTTGCCAGTCTCTCAATTTACCAGTAGTTTGTTTAACTCAAATTATCCAGCAATTTGGGGCCAATCAAGTACTCCTCAAGATCGGCACCCACAGTTGCTACACCCAGACTCGTGCCGAAGACTTCAGCGCTGACTGAGACGACCCCTCTACTTGTCTCAACTTTGGTCAATCCCTGCGATGGCCGGGTGTAGGCTGCATGCTACAGCGCCATCCATTTTCAGGGACCACCAATTTGGCAGGTGAGTTGTTACACACTCCTTCACAGGTACCGACTTCCATGATCACCGTCCTGCTGTCTTTACCGATGGATGCCTTTTGTGGGTTCTGCTGAGTATGATGATGGGGTGTCTTAACCCGGCGTTTGGTTCATCCCAGAGTGCTAGTTCTGCATGAACAAACGAGTACCGATTTGCATTTAATTCAAAATTTTCTTGTTTCTGTCCAACAATACCATTTTCAATAAAACCAATCAATTAAAAGAGATGTAAGATAAATAATACAAATGTTACCAGTACAGAAATGAATGTAGGCCTAAATGAGGGACAGAATCTGTCCCTGGGTGAAATAACAAATGTTCCAGTCTTATCTTTGACTCTCCTTGGCTGTCTAAATTCACAAGAAAAGCCGCCAGCTTAGGCATGGGCCCGAGTGGCCCAGGCCCAGGGGCCCATGGCTTTGGGGCCTCCGTGGTTCATGGCAAAAAGAGAAAAAATTCAAATTCCAGTATATGACAGTTTTACGGTAGCGGCGCGAGGGTAGAGACTGAGCTATCCCTCAACCTTCTCTGCGAAGTTCCACTCGGTGATCAGTCTAGACTTCTAGGCTTGTATATTTTATATGTGATCAGATATTATGTAATTATTCTTGTATTACAAAGCGTTAATTGTGTGTTACGCATGCGTGCCATTCAAAAGGGGCCTCCGATTGCAGTCAGGCCCCAGGCCCCACTCCGGTTAAGCTGGGTTTGTTCACAAGCGCTCAATAAAGTTGGAAAAGAGAACCAGTGCAATCAGGGTCGGTAGAATGATAATCGGTAGAATGATAATCGGTGGAATGGTAGTCGGCTGATTCTGGCCATGGTTCATTTGGAGCTGATTCTGTATGATTCAGGACAATTTGGACATTCAATGGGTCTAAAATGAATATGAACAATTTCTCCTCATTCATTTCATTCGTCCTAATCTTTGGGAAAGCCCTATCCAGTAATAAAAGAATTAAAGCCATACGGGATAGTTTAATTTTTCGTTGTCATCCCTATTAGTAGTATTAGCCTCCTAATGTCTAGTAGTAATGAATCCTGCGCAATTTCATCATTCAGATATTCGCTGTAAACAGAACGTGGATTTATGGAGAAAAAATTGTTGTCATTGTGAACAATTAACGGACATTCTATGTCGTAGATGTTTGTCAATAGTTACCTAATCCATGAGGTCCACCACTCAACTGTGGAGGAAGGACACTTCTTGTTACTCGTTTACCCTTCGGAACTTCTTCAGTGGAGGCAGCCATCTTGTTTGTTATGCCGCTTACAGTATTGACAAATCTTACCGGCGTATTGTCTCTTATATCAATGTAAAGAGAGAAAGAGATCAGAGAGAGAAATGGGGTTGAATGTCCACTCGACACAAACTAGGTCATTTTGGGACTAACACATTGTTCAATTTTATTTCAATAATTCTCTTGCGCCTAAGTGTCTTTAGCAGTGGGAGGAAACAGGAGGACCCAGAGAAAACCCAAGAGGTTAGAGAGTCGACCCTACTCCTTGTCATGTACAACCGGGCAATGTAAACCACACCAGTTGACTCAATGACAGACCTTATGATACAATGCACAATGCACACACGCTAACCAATCGGCCATCCAACCCCCCCAATGTAAAAAGAAATGAGATGAAATGGGGTTTAACATCTTGCTTATCTGCACCAACTGGGGATAATGAAAGCAGGCTTTGAGAGTAATATTTCCTGGATAACAATTGAATTCGAACTGTCAAAATTCTTTACCTTTATTCAAAGGTGTATAAACCTACACTGTCACTACCTTGTTTTTTTCATCCCATCCAAAACGATAGACAATTTTCCTTGCTAGGCCCCACGTCCCACACACTGACGTTAAATCTTAAAGTATTCTGCAGGGTTTTTAACTTTTTAGGTCTATGACAACTTATACACTGAACTTGGTTTTTCGAATGACTTGTCGCTGTTCCAGCGTATGTCCTCAGTCTTAAACCACTGAAAGATCGAAATAGGAACCGTGTGGTTAGCAAACCAACGTCTTACTAAGCCACTGCGGCACCAAGGAGTAGCCTACACTAAACAACCATCCTTCAACAAACAACAGATGTGGTTCCCCCTTGTCAGTGGTGCAGGACGGACAAGGACAGCTGTCTAGTCGTTTGAAGGTCCCATGTATTTAACCTCCACTTGACATAGATTAAGTAATTTTGGGACTAACATACGGTTCAATTTTATTTCAATAATTCACTTGCATGAAGGGGTCTTTAGCAGTGGAAGGAAACCGGAGAACCCGGAGAAAACCCAAGAGGTTGGACAGACGACTCTACTCCATGTCACGTACAACCGGGGATTCGAAACCACGCCAGTTGACTCAATGACAGGCCTTATGATACAGCGCGCACATGCTAACCATTCGGCCATCCAACCCCCCTGCACGAGGTTGGACAGTCCACTCTACTCCTTGTCACGTACAGGTGAGAAATCGAAACCACGTCACTGCACTCAAATGACTGACCTCATGATCTAAAGCGCATGACAACCAGGCCTAGAAATAATGGTTTTAGATGTACCTGACAAAATGAAACAGTAAATGACATTGTCAACTTATTGCCAGACATGTATTAATAATATCAATAAAAAAGACAAATCAGTGTCGGACAAAATGTCAGGCACCAGAGGTTTAGTGCCTGACAAAGCCTGAATCTGTGCCTGACATTGTCTGTGACAGGTGCCTTATTTCCAGGCTTGTCGACAACCAAACAACAACAATTTCTTTACAAGCTAAATGTTTATTATACATTCAATAATAATAATAATAATAATAATAAATATTTTCATAAAAAAAAAAAAAATAAACGAAAATAAATTCAACAAATGTAAAAACTAGTGAAATCAGAGCATGAAAAAAATGTAATGCATTTGTTTTTGTTGTGGATTTAACAATACTGGTTTGTGAGGTTTAATGTCCTCTCGACACAAACTAGGTTATTTTGGGACTAACATAGGGTTCAATTTTATTTCAATAATTCGCTTGCGTGTAGGGGTCTTTAGCAGTGGGAGGAAACTGGAGGACCCGGAGAAAACCCATGAGGTTGGACAGGCGACCCTACTCCTTGTCATGTACAACTGGGGAATCGAAACCACGTCAGTTGACTCAATGACAGACCTTATAACACAGCATGCATGTGCTAACCATTCGGCCATCCACCCCCCTGCTAGGAATGAAATATTAAACTAATGTATATATACACATGTAATATTGCACAAATAGATAAAATAATTAAAACATCTACATCTATAAGCCTGGATATACATGTCTACCTTTTTCTTCATGTACCATCTACAAGACTGGACATACATGCCTAGTACAAAACATAGTCTCAATTATCCATTGAGTTTAATCATCAATAACATTGAATAGCAGATTGGATTCAAATCCAGTGAAAATCTGACACATAAGATAGCATCGAAAGTTGATTATGGTCTTTTATGTTAATAAATATCTAATTAATAATTTATATAACATTTAAGGCCTAAAGAAAGACCTGAAATAGACAGATTTACCTCTTGCATAATGTATGTTTAACAGGAAGAACATTTCTAATTTCTATATGGTAAAAACAATTCAGATCTATATTATTAATATATAAAATGGATGCTGGAAGACTAGACATTTTTAACTTGAAATTAATAACATGAGACTATATAATATTAACAGTTTGAGAGAGAGACAGAGATGGGGTTTAATGCCCACCACTCCACACAAACTAGGTCATTTCAGGACTAACATATGGTTCAATTTTATTTCAATAATTTGCTTGTACGTCGGGTTCTTTAGCAGTGGGATGAAACCGGAGGATCGGGAGAAAACCCAAGAGGTTGGACAGGCGACCCTACTCCTTGTCACGTACAACCGGGGAATAGAAACCATGCCAGTTGACTCAATGACAGACCTTATGATACAGCGCTAACCATTCGGCCATCCAACCATTCGGTCAACCCATTCTCCAGTTTGTGATAGAGTGACCTACATTATTTTCATCAGATACATATATCTTACATCCTTTACATTTAGGGGATCAGGGTACGTAAGATGCTGGCTCGCTAGCCTGGATGTCGGGTGTTCAATCTCTGCGTTGGCCGAGAAAGTTCATCCAGATTTTCCGGCGTGGTTTCCCCCTCGTCAGTGATGCAGGACGGAGGGCCTGACAAGGACAGCTGTCTAGTCATTCAGATGAGATGAAAAAACGAGGTCTCGTGTACATATTGGCGTGCACGAAAAAGTTCACTTGACAGTTGGAATTCAATATAAGAGTAGGTGGTAGTGCCGCTGTCCGGACAAAATTTCCCTCATAGCACATTGTATGGCGTATGCCCATCTTCATTAGCCCAGTTCGGAGCAAAACAGTAGGACGTTAAACCCCATTTCATTTCATTTACATTTACCGAACATGACACATGACTTAACAAAACCAATTTAGATGATACAGGATGGTGGTGTTAATTTAAAACAGGAAATTGATCTATAATTACATGTTCAGATTTTCATATATCATCACTGTAACCCGGGTATTATTTCATTTTGTGAATTTAGCTCTAAATTCTTTAACATTCATTCAATGTCAATTTTTTTTTTAGAAACTTAACAAAAATCATCTAAATTCACACAAAATCATCTGATTAGACCATTTAATTCTTAGGTGACTTTTGAGGATTTTAATGAATTTTCAAACAAAGATTTAATATTGAATGAAACTTAAAAGAAATTAGGACTAGATACGCAAGATTAAATAATATTAAATGTCGGGGGTCGTACGAGTGGCTTTGGAACGTATGACGTCAGACATTGATTAATCAATCAGCATTGACGTTTCTCGTGGTTTACCCACAGTTCCGTGCATGGCACGCTAAGAACTCGTCGTCACAGACTGTTTCATTGGTTAATTCCTCACTTCAACCAGAACGCCGGTAATATAACAACTTTTCCAGATCCTAGTGTAGTAAAGACAAGTAAAACGAAATTTTGAACCATAAAAAACGAAACGAAAAAGGATCTGTGGTTTATTTAGATGAATTAAATAATCATTAAAACCACTAGTAGCCAATATGATTGGTGTAAAATATTTTTGTCCAAAATGTCTGTCAATGTATGGCTAGCTGAACAATCAATTTGGCTCAATTTGACACCAACTTGTTGTCAGATCTAACTGTAGTGTAAATGTGAACAATATCAAAATGAAAAAGAAATGAAAATAAGGTTTGAATTAAAGTGTTCAATTTGAGTTTATCTGCTGTGTTATTTCGACAATTCAAGTTTATCTGATGTGTTATTTATCTTATGTTATAAACATGAGTTTATCTGATGTGTTATTTGGACAATTTGAGCTTACATGTATCTGATGGGTTATTAGAAAATTTGAGTTTATCTGATGTGTTATTTGGATAATTTTATTTCATAACACGTGTTATTTAGACAATCTGAGTTCACAACACATGTTATTTAGACAATTTGAGTTCATAACACATGTTATTTAGACGATTTGAGTTCATAACACATGTTATTTAGACAATTTGAGGTTTGGGTTTAATCAAAGAGATTTTAGCCTTCTAATGAATATCTACAATCTACTGGACATATATTAATTATAATAGCACAAGATACTTATTGTAGACCATATACAACAACATTTACTAATACATAGTAGAGATCAAACGGACAGTAGCATTCCAGATAGCTCCTGGGGGTGCTGTACAAGGGTGTCCACTCCTAAACACACTTCAAACAATGAGACAGTCCAAGATTTTACAGGACACCGTAAATATACTCGTACGTAAACGAAACATCACAATGTGATAATAATATCCTATAAATCTTGTCTAAAAAAATCAAATAGAAATATTGCACTGTATGAAGTCAGCTCAGAACAACTGGACCACTAGGTATGGCAATTTATCCTAATGGGCTGTCCTAGTTTTTAGTTTCCACGAGACACTGTAAATAAAAGTCTTTGATGAGAGGATAAAGCCTATTTCAGATCAAAATCAAAATATTCCTTTAAAATTGACAAAGATGTCTAAAGAGATAATCCTTTTTAGGGCAAGTTTTATCATTTTTGTCTACAGCAGTCTAGTGTGTGTTTTCCTAATGAAGTTTGCGGACACCCTTGCTGTCCATACATTTCCGAATTTAAAGTTTTTTAGTCGTTGAACACCATCTCCAGGACCAAAGAATGTGGGGATATTCCAGCACCCTCCAAACTATCTCCTCTGGCCATGCTACTGCTTATGGCATACTGACGTCATGTCGTCTCCAAATTTCACAGATGTGACGTCATATGACGTGTAAGATGATGTCGCTCCTTGAATGTCTCATTACAAATGTCACACTTCAGTTTGTACGTTTCCTCGCGTTTCTTTTTCACGGGGTCGAACTCTCTCTTGTGGTGAGAGCGCATATGATAGACCAAGTCACTTGTCATTCTAAATGATGCGTTACACTTTGCGCACCAATTTTGAGACAGATTAGCCGCGTTAATTGGCGAATGGATCAACAACGGAGAAGTGTTTTTATGAATCAGTTTTTCCACCATGGGGTTTATAATTTGGTTGAAGGGAAAACGATTTTTCAAATTACTGAACGTAGGTTCGTCTCCAGATTCTGACCCCTTCACATTAGCGAAACTTTCCGTCAGAGGCGTCGGCATGGCCGAGACCGATCTTCCAAAAGCATCAAGAAGATTCTGATCGTTAAATATTTGAGGTTTGTTTGATAGCATGGACGTGACGTCTGCTTGTTGGAGCATGTTTAAGCCGAGAAATGGATTAAACAAATTAACGCCTTGTTGAGCAAGATAAGTAGGTGGGGCAACAGTCGGAGGTAGCCCGAGCGATTTACGTTCTCCGTCAACACCCGACGAAACTCTTTCCCAATGAGAATTGACAAGCGCTTCAACATTATCATTTTCTAAATTGGTCACGTTCTTTCCGACCTTACGGAAAGCACTGGCGTTATATTCTGGTCGTTCTAGACTTTGTTCGTTTTCTTGTGATTTCGATTCGAGTCGCATCTTTTTGGGTGATTTTCTTTCATCTTCTTCGTGTGATCGACGTTTAGCGGGTATAACATCATCTCGTATGTCATCATCAACTTTCCTGTCGTAATCTATCGGAGCGCTGTTTTCAGATCCATACACTGTTACCTTGGAAACTGGTTTTTCTATAAAAAATAAAGATTTATTATAAAATTAGTGTTGCCAGACAATGATTGAATAAATGAAATGAAATGGGGTTTAACGTCCTACTGTTCTCCTCCGAACTGGGTTAATAAAGACGGGCATACCCCATACAGTGTGCTATATGGGAAATTGTTCATATCTGCCTTACACACAAAGACCAAATAAACCTTTTTAATGATATTAAAGTTACAATTTCATATTTTCTAATAAAGTCAAAACATAATTATTTCTATGTCTATTGCTCAATAGGTTGTCAACTCACTATTATACGATCATAGGTGTCATTCTCACACTTAAAACTCATTTACACCGGAAATAATAACACATTTACCTCCCTTGTTTTCTTTTCTCCACCATGGAGTAGTTATCTTCAAACGTTTGCATTTGAAGATGAAAATGATATTTTTGCCAATTTCTCAACTGGCAATGGTGAATTATAGGATTAATAGGATTATTCTTTAACAAGAGAGGACCGTTTATAGATACCATCTACTTTAAGGCTTCATTTTAATAAATTTTAAAAATATAACTTAAAAATGTAAAATTGCAATTTTAAATTGAAGTGGATAAAATATTTCTCAAAATTATCCAATTATACTTAGAATATTAGACTTAAATTTGTCGATTTAGGAAATGAAATGAAATAATGTGTTTAACGCCCTACTATTCTGCTCCAAGTAGGCTAATAAAGATGGGCATAAGCCATACAGTGTGCTATGAGGGAAATTTGTCCTGGACAGCGGCGCTACGGCCTACCCTTATATCGAATTCTAACTGCCAAGGGATCTTTTATGTGCACGCCAATGTGTACATGGGACCTTGCTTTTTTAGTCCCATCCTAACGATTATACATTGATCCTTGCCAGGCCCTCTGTCCTGCACCACTGACAAGGTGGAACCACGTTGGATCGAACATGAGACCTCCAGGTTAAAGAGCCACTGTCTTACTCACTGAGCCACCATGGCTCCAGGTAATAAAGACAGGTATATGCCATACAGTGAGTAATGACAGAAATTATGCCCAGACAGCAGCTCTCCTGTCAAAAGGCAAAACCTAGTAACTCACAACTCACTTTTTTCTTATTTTGAGAAAACAAAGGAAAACGTAATGAAAGAATATTAAACCCCAGCCCATCCATTGATTTGACTATTGAGTTACTAGGTTTTACTGTGGTATACTAGGCAAATGAAGGAAGTTGCTAGGTTGTGTCATGGGTGTAACTACTTACAAAATCACAAGATTGGAATATCTAGTACAACAACAGGAAGAACATACCCTAGTAACTACAAATTTGGTCCTAACTCAATTTCGATAAAAAAATGAGTTACTAGGTTTTGCCTTTTGACGGGAGAGCAATGCTAAGGCTTACTCATTATTTCAAACTCAAAGTCCAAATGTCAAAAGTTGTTTTAGTAACAGCCAACAACATGTACACAAGACCTCGTTCTTTTGTTCATTCCTGGAGTTTTACGACCACTTCCACTAAGGGTGATATCGTAGACAAAACAAACAAGACCTCGGTTTATCGTACCATTGAGCCCCCAAATCCCTCCTCTGGATCCGCCCCTGGGGTACTGGTCGATTAATAGAATTCTTCACTGTCTGGTAAGAACAGAAATTGACTAGCCAAAAGAGTGAAGGGGGGGGGGTAACAAAGGAGGAGGAAGAGAGGGCCCAATCCCCCTTCCCATGTTAAATATGCAGGTGAACTCAGCTAGAATCATACCTTGTCTAATATCCTCACTCTTATTTTCTGACTTCAACTTTATTTTCTCTTCCATTTTGAATTTTCTTTCGTCAACTTCACCTATAAATAAATTAAATAAATACAATTAATAATAATACGCCAAAGACTGCCATTCAATTTGGACTCTTCGCATAGGACCCGGAGAAAACCCATGGGGTTAGACAGGCGACCCTACTCCTTGTCACATACAACCTGGGAATCGAAACCACGCTATCTGACTCAATGACAGACCTTATGATAGAGCATCCACGTGCTAACCATTGGGCCATCCAACGCCCTATTGGATATTAAACATGCATTATGCAAGAGCTAAATCTGTCTATTGCAGGTCTTTCTTTAGGCCTGAAATGTTTTCTAAAGTATTAATTAGACATTAATTAACTGATCCAGGCCTTAATCAACTCTCGATGGCATCAGATTTCTCCGATATTAAATAGATTAGAATGGTTCAGCGATACTTTGATTTAATCAAATATGGAGGACAGAGACTTAGCTTCGATCAACCAGTACGGTGGTTGAAATTATTGCACACGTCTTGTCAAACCTTCAAAGGCTGATATCTTAGCTTCCAATAGAGTAATTTGAATGAAATTTTCAAATTATTCATTTTACATTATCTACTTTCGAACTATTATAGCAAGAATGGCCAGCTCTTTATCTAAATCTTACATAATGTATCTTTAAAGGAGCTAAATCGCTAACATTTGGGACCTAGAAATTCACAAAAGTGGGTCGCAACGCATATAATACTGTAATATGGTTGTATATAAACTGATTTACATTCAATGGTTTCCGTTTTTACTCCAATTTCAAATCAGTTATGTTCGGCGAAATAAGCCAGCAGTCTCAATCGAGTGCAAATTTCTAGCGTCTGGTTATACTAGTCTACATACGCTGTTCGATTTGGTGCAATGTGTCTAGTCTCGTCCCTCGAGTCTCTTTTTACAACTGGGGCTGAAGCGCATTAAGGTACACGATTCGTGTACCAATGGTAAAATGTTTATTTTGTCTTAAATATTGGATATCAAAAAGCCCATCTTATTCCGGTAAGATCACGACATCAATGTTGATTTAATTTGACAAATAAATTGTGTTTTCAATGTTGAAGATTTTGGATGATATTGAGTTAGAGACTTAGCTACTTTAAGCTATTCTATATATACTGTGAGTTATTGGATATTAGGTTATTCAATATCTACTGTGAGTTATGGGAGAACTGTGTATTAAATAGAATGGGTTATTCAATATCTACTGTGAGTTATTGGAGAACATGTCTGAGTTATACAATATCTACCATGAGTTATTGGAGAAGATGTATTAAATAGCATGGGTTATACTATATCAACCATGAGTTATTGGTGATTGTTTATTGGAGACATACATGTATTAAACAGTTGTTTCAATGGCATTTCCTAATTGAACTGGAGTATACAGGTCACAGTTGTACTATACATGTACAATGTATATTATAGTAAATACACTAGAGAATAGCAGAACACATAAACAGATAGAAATGTAAATAGGCCTACTATCATCAGCATTGCCATTCATGTTTGATGTGACCCCCATTTTTGTGTCTCAATATTTCATTGTTGCTGATTTTGACCACGTTGATTTGGACCTAGCTGATTTATACCTTGTTGATTGGGACCATGGCTGATTGGGACCATGGCTAATTTGGACCTACTGTGTGAACTGTGGTAAATAATAAACGGATTTCTTCGATTATGAACAAACTACTATACTTTGGTTATTATAAACTTACCTGTGTGTTTGAAATTACGTCCGGTTATATAAAATCCATTGTACAACTATATTTCACAGCGAATAAAAAAGTTCTCTCTTGTAAAATTGAACTCATCACAAACTTTGACACCGAGAAATAACCAAAATGGAAGCTAATTACGTCACTTATTGGGATAATATATCATTTCGTATAGGGGGGTCAAAGCAAGACTTGTCTGTCGTAACGGTTGTGTATGAATAAGCTATTCCTCTCGGAACCCAGTAATGAGTTTGGGCGTTTAAAAACATAAATACGCCCGTAGTCCGGTATTTTGTTTCCCTGTTGTATTATAATTATTTGGTTAGGGAGTTTGGTGGGATTATTTCTTTTGAACTATATTTGTTTTACTGACCTTGAATTAATTTCACCCTTGAATATTTTTAATATTTCCTGATGAACTTAAGGAGTTCTGTCAATTAACCTCAGCAATCAGCTGTAGCCGAGGTAAATGCCGATGTATTTTACATTTGCCTAGACAACATTAATAGCCGAGGCCATTGAATCATTGAATAGGTATAGGCCTATAACGTTATTTTTTTATTATATAAATTATAAATACCAAAGATTATTACCAACAATTAATCATACCGCTCACCGGATTAATTATCAGCAGATAGTTCAGTTTCTTTCTATTTCGCTCTGAATATTATTTCCGGTGTGCAAAAAACTGTTTAGAAAAATTTATAATCGTACGTGATCGGTAACACAATTATTTTGCAAATTCTCGGCTTTATTTTGAAATTCACAAGGCAATGTATTCAATATACAATTATATATACAGGGTGAAAAACAATATTATATTTACGAGTATTCGTATAATTGGTGATATATTCATTGTGAATAAAATTTAGTACACTGACAATCAATTGTTTCCAAATCAATGTCTTTGTCTCAGTTGCTATTGTGTTGCCCAAACTCAAAAAATCGAAACTGTCGTGCGCTGTTGTGATTACAACACACGTGATTCAACCTTTACCCCCTTCAACATATTATGATGGTTTAGCTCATGACGTGACATGTGTAATGTTGTGATGGACACTGTCGAAAATACAAGCAAAAACATTGACTTTTCAAGAGAGAACTTTTGTTTTGGTTTGGATATTTAATTGTGCAATGGATTTTATTCAACCGGAGGTGATTTCAAACACATAGGCAAGTTTTTAATAACAATTATTCAGTAGTTTGTTCACAATCAAAGAAATCTGTTTATAATTTACCATGGTTCACACAGTAGCTGATTTGAACCTGGCTGATTGGGACCATGGCTGGGACCATGGCTGGGACCATGGCTAATTAAGATTAGATACTTGGCTTAAGGGCAATTTAGATCATTATTTGAATGACAATATTGACAAGAATTAAAATATGCGCACATTATTCAGTACAGTGGAATATAACAACAAAAATAAACCCAGTAAGATTAAGGCACCTTAAATTTTCAACATACCGAGCTGGTTCTATCGAGATTTCTTTGGGTTTTTTTTCCTTATTTTTTTGTTTAAATAAAAAATACCATAAAATAACAAAACGTGAGATAAATGTAAATGAAACATTTCTTTTAATAAAAGAATATCTGCATTTAAAATCATGGCTAAATCAATAAATATGTTCGATGACCAAACAGGCTAATCGTTAATCCAAGCCGATACACTAACATCGCTCATAATAATATTCAATGATTATGAATGAAGCGATGAAAATTATAAATATGACAGCACCCAGTCTGCCTCGATTTCTCCAAACGTTTCGTCCATATTCCAATTTTTATTTAGTTCTGATGAAAGACCAATTAAGAAGGATAAAATATCTTACCCTTTTCGGGGGATTCGTCAGTTAAGCATCCCTTGAGCACAGAGTTAATATCAAACGCACGTCGGCCTTCCTTCGACGTAGCCATCTTGGATTTATTGTCAAAATTTACTCGTCGCTTGTGTGTATGGGTCGATGGTCGCAGTTGACCAGACTCAAGTTTCGTTATAAAATCATAAGACGGGACTGGATATACAAATCTATTTACCAGATGCTAACAAAAGGTCGCATATGTCGCTAGCAATGGAGTAACGGAAAAACTCTATTGTGAGGAGCTCTCGAGCCATCTGTCAAATTTTTCTGGCCATACGTTAATTTTAGCTGTTCTATTTAAACATGTTTCCAGCCCCATACGATTCTATTATTGTCTGGCTCGGTTTATCGTAGAATGACTTGATTGTTTGGTTGTGAAACACGGAGGCTCATTCGTTCACAATGCTCTGAAAATCTAATATGCTACCAAATACACCAGCAATATTTTCCAAGCAAATAATGTAATTAAGAGCTTTTGTCAACTCCTGCAGCCATCCGCCTTATGTCTCAGAAATTAACAATAAAGGCTTAAGTTGTTTGGTTTTTTTTTGTTTTTGTTTTTTTTTTTGGGGGGGGGGGGGGCTGTACGATATTTTGTTTTTTCGTCTCAAATATTAATTTTTCTTTTCAATTAAATAAAGAAGTACGTAACTTTGACGATTTATAAAATCTAATTTGAGGTGGTCAAAATTGTGAAATGAAATGGGGTTTAACGTCCTACTGTTTTGCTCCGAACTGGGCTAATGAAGACGGGCATACGCCATACAGTGTGCTATGACAGCGGCACTACGGCCTACTCTTATATCGAATTCCAACTGTCAAGGGATCTTTTACGTGCACACCAATGTGTACACGGGACCTCGGCTTTTCGTCCCATCTGAACGACTATACAGCTGTCCTTGTCAGGCCCTCCGTCCTGCATCACTGACAAGGGGGAAACCACGCCGGAAAATCTGGATGAACTTTCTCGGCCAATGCAGGGATCGAACACCCGAACTCCAGGCTAGCGAGCCAGCGTCTTACCCACTTAGCCACCGTGATCCCCGGGTCAAAATTGTACCCGCAGGCTTACTGTATTAAAATAGCAAAACGCACATTTCATTTCACTGTGGGGGCATATTTTTTTTTTTTTTTTTTTTCGTTCATTCTGTCATTTCACTGTAGTCAAAGAGGGAAATATTTGCTTTAAAGGCTCAATACCACTCTTGTTGTAACTGAATAATATGTCCCAATCTTTATTCTGGTCAACAAATTGTACTATTTTACAATATTTCAATTAATTGATGATACAAATTTCATCTTAATACACCCAATTTAAAAAATTGGAAAAATTCAACTAAATGATTTGAAACGTCTAATAACGTAAACCTTTTCAAATGAAACTTCGATTTAAAAATATTTTCGAAACCTCTGGACAAGTAAAATAGGATGTAATGGATAATTTACACAACAGGTAGGACACTTAAACATCTAGTACTTAGATAGAGATATTATTCATATTCTGGAGCTTTCAAGCCAGCAAGAGTGTTATTGTCCCTTTAAATATATTAATTAAAAATAACTTAATAAAAAAACAATAAATGTCTCAATTTTCTTTCAACTAATTTTTGGGGCCCGCTAAATATTGAGGGTTGATGGCTCCAGTTCAGACAGACCCTGTTGGGCTATAGAGTGACGTTCAATGCAAAAAAAAAGTCATACAGTCGAGACACGTGGTCCGCTGATTTTGGCGGGAAAATTGTTGCTCACAATCCCCGTTCGTGGTATCTTATTTTTATAATTTTGAATAATTCAAGGTAGAAAACGTCTTAAACGAATAAAAAGCTAAACAAGCGATGTATACTGAAAATGGGGGTAATGCTGGTATTTTCAAGTTGAATTGGGGGTAATACTGGTATTTTCAAGAAATGATGCCGTAATACTGGTATTTGCAAGGACAGCACCTATACAGCCGTTCGGATCGAACAAAAACTGAGCTTGCGAGTTGACGTGCACGTAAAAGAGAGAGAGAGAGAAATGGGGTTTAACGTCCACTCGACACAAACTAGGTCATTTCGGGACTAACATATGGTTCAATTTTATTTCAATAATTCGCTTGCGCGTAGGGGTCTTTAGCAGTGGGAGGAAACCGGAGGACCCGGAGAAAACCCACGAGGTTGGACAGGCGACCCTACTCCTTGCACGTGAAAGAACCTCGGTCAGTTTGAATTCGATTGCTTGTCCAGGAAAAATTTCCCTCATAGCATACGCCCATCTTTATTAGCAGGGTACAGGTGCAGAAAAGTAGGACGTTAAACCATAGAACTAGAATGTTAAACTAAAGTTAAACTATGGTTAAACTAAAGTTCACACATCCATTCAATTAAACGTAGGAGGTTGGATGGCGTGCGCGCTGTATCATAATGTTTGTCATTGAGTCAACTGGCGGGGTTTCGATTCCCTGGTTGTACGTGATAACCTCGTGGGTTTTCTTCGGGTCCTCCGGTTTCCTCTCACTGTTAAAGACCCTTACGCGCAAACGAATTATTGAAATAAGATTAGACCATATTTTAGTCCCGAAATGACCTAGTTTGTGTCGAGTGGACGTCTCTCTCTCTCCCCCCCTCTCTCTCTCTCTCTCTGGGGATTGGATGGCTGAATGGTTAGCGTATGCGCGCGCTGTATCATAAAGTCTGTCATTGAGTCGACTGGCGTGGTTTCGAACCCCCGGTTGCACGTGACAAAGAGTAGGGTAGCCTGTCCATCCTCGTGGGTTTTCTCCGGGTCCTCCGGTTTCCTCCTACTGCTAAAGACCCATACGCGCAAGCGAATTATTGAAATAAAATTAGACCATATTATGTTAATCCCGAAATGACCTAATTTGTGTCGAGTATACGTTACCCCCCCCCTCTATATCTCTCGCTGGCTCGCTAGCCTGGAGGTGGGGTGTTCGATCCCTGCATTGGCCGAGAAAGTTCATCTGGATTTTCCGACGTGGTTTCCCCTTGTCAGTGGTGCAGAACGGAGGGCCTGACAAGGACAGCTGTCTAGTCCTTCGGATGAGACGAAAAACCGAGGTCCCGTGTATACATTAGAATGCACGTAAAAGATCCCTTGGCAGTTGGAATTCGATATAAGAGTAGGCGATAGTGCCGCTGCCCGGGCAAAATTTCCCTAATAGCACACTGTATGGCGTATGCCCGTCTTCATTAGCCCAGTATAGGAGCAGAACAGTAGGACGTTAAACTCCATTTCATTTCATTTCAATCTCTCTCTCTCTCTCTCCCTCTCTCCCAATAAGCGGGACTAGTATAACGTGCTGTAGTCTCAATTAACGTGTTACATAATGAAAACAGAGCTGAACTGTGATCACCTGACATTAATATTGATTAACGAAGCGTATTAATAAAACCTGCGCGCTCGTTATCATAGCAACATGTATATACATACACATGTATTGATGACGAAATACGACCATGTTAAAAATGTAAACAAGAATAATCAATGACAATGTGTCAACATTTTGTGACTATGTCTAAAAGCAACACGGAATGATATCACGGATTATTATTGGTTCCGCGAAGCATCGTAAGTGATTGTTTGATATCGGGTATTTTGTTATTTTTGACATGAAATGAAATGGGGTTTAACGTCATACTGTTCTGCCCTGACGGGTGTAATGAAGAGAGAAAGAGAGAGAGAAATGGGGTTTAACGTCCACTCGACACAAACTAGGTCATTTAGGGATTGACATATGGTTCAATTTCTTTTCAATAATTCGCCTGCGCGTAGGGGTCTTTAGCGGCGGGGAGGGGGGTGAAAACCCACGAAATTGGACAGGTAACCCTACTCCTTGTCACGTACAACCGGGAAATCGAAACCATGACAGTGGATTCAATGACAGACCTTATGATACAACGCGCACACGCTAACCATTCGGACATCCTATATCCCCCGAGATGCGGGACTGTACATACCAAGGGATTATAATCAACTTATACAATGACTTTTTTTTAAAAAAAAATCGCGTCCGTGTATACGTCTCGATATCGCCCACCCCACCATTTAAAGCAGATACAGTTCTTACTAGAATTATTGTTGTAATTCTTTATTTATAATTTGTATTTATTTATTTTCACGATTTCGTTGCATGATATATTATATGTATTCATCAATCTATCAATTAGTTGCTCGGATGGAACGAAAAACCAAGGTCCAGTGCACGTAAAAGATCCCTTGGTAGTTTGAATTCGATATAAGAGTAAGCTATAGTGCCGCTGCCCGGGCAAAATTTCCCCCATAGCACACTATATGATCTATGCCCGTTTTCATTAGACCGGTCGGAGCAGAGCTGTAGGACGTTAAACCCCATTTCATTTCATTCCATTTACGTCCATGTTAACTAGTGCATGGATGGTCTTTGGTTTTTATACCTTGCTAAAAGACTAGGCGCCTTGCTTGGTGCGTCATATGTTTTTATGCCGTTGTGGGGTTTCCTTTAGTCCTCCCATTTTCCCCACTGCTACGCGCTTCCTGCTCGCAAATGAATTATAGCAATAACGATACAATGCCCGCGAGGTTTTCAGAATTGTCGTACAAGAGAATAAAGTGTGTGTTTGTTGGGAGGGGGGGTGTTACTTTGTTATTCTTTTGCTGTCCCTATCTAATATGGCGATAATCGCCACCACCTCCTAAACGTAAGTTTTATTTTAAAGATGCATTCCCTCGAAATTATAAGTGTAGTTATTTCAATAAAAGTATGGCAAATTTGGAAGGTACAAATCTTACCAGAAAAATACGGGATCCCCTGAAAAATTACAAGCGTTGATATTTACAATACAAACGTTGTTATTTCCACTACAAATTTCGTACGGTATATGGAAAGTATGGATATCTAATCTTACTAGAAAAATACTGGATCCCCTGAAAAATATCCATGAAGCGCGCACAAGACAAAAATGTAAGGGGCGCATGTCTGCTTGAATGACGTACGTAGCGCTAATTTGTTCCTTTGATCGAATGGCTAGCAGTTGTGAGAACAGAGAGAGGGGGAGAATGAGGGAGCGAGAAAGCGAGCGCGAGAGGGAGAGAGGGAGGGGCGAGAGAGAGAGGGAGCGAAAGAGAGAGAGAGAGAGAGAGGGAGCGAGAGAGAGAGAGAGAGATGGGAGCGATAGAGAGATATATGGGAGCGATAGAGAGAGAGAGATGGGAGCGATAGAGAGAGAGGGAGAGAGAGAGAGAGAGATGGGAGCGATAGAGAGAGAGAGAGAGAGATGGGAGCGATATAGAGAGAGAGAGATGGGAGCGATAGAGAGAGTGAGAGAGATGGGAGCGATAGAGAGAGAGATAGGAGCGATAGAGAGAGTGAGAGAGATGGGAGCGATAGAGAGAGAGATGGGAGCGATAGAGAGAGTGAGAGAGATGGGAGCGATAGAGAGAGAGATGGGAGCGATAGAGAGAGAGAGAGATGGGAGCGATAGAGAGAGTGAGAGAGATTGGAGCGATAGAGAGAGTGAGAGAGATGGGAGCGATAGAGAGAGAGAGATGGGAGCGATAGAGAGAGATGGGAGCGATAGAGAGAGAGATGGGAGCGATAGAGAGAGTGAGAGAGATGGGAGCTATATAGAGAGTGAGAGAGATGGGAGCGATAGAGAGAGAGATGGGAGCGATAGAGAGAGTGGGAGAGATGGGAGCGATAGAGAGAGATGGGAGCGATAGAGAGAGAGAGAGAGAGAGAGATGGGAGCGATAGAGAGAGAGAGATGGGAGCGATAGAGAGAGAGAGAGATGGGAGCGATAGAGAGAGATGGGAGCGATAGAGAGAGAGATGGGAGCGATAGAGAGAGAGAGAGAGATGGGAGCGATAGAGAGAGAGAAATGGGAGCGATAGAGAGAGAGAGGTGGGAGCGATAGAGAGAAAGAGATATGGGAGCGATAGAGAGAGAGAGAGAGGTGGGAGCGATAGAGAGAGAGATGGGAGAGATAGAGAGAATGAGAGAGATGGGAGCGATAGAGAGAGAGATGGGAGCGATAGAGAGAGTGAGAGAGATGGGAGCGATAGGGAGAGAGAGATGGGAGCGATAGAGAGAGAGATGGGAGCGAGAGAGAGAGAGAGAGATGGGAGCGATAGAGAGAGAGAGGTGGGAGCGATAGAGAGAGAGATGGGAGCGATAGAGAGAGAGATGGGAGCGATAGAGAGAGAGAGAGAGAGAGAGAGAGAGATGGGAGCGATAGAGAGAGAAAGGTGGGAGCGATAGAGAGAGAGAGATGGGGGCGATAGAGAGAGAGATGGGAGCGATAGAGAGAGAGAGATGGGAGCGAGAGAGAGAGAGAGAGAGAGATGGGAGCGATAGAGAGAGAGAGATGGGAGCGATAGAGAGAGTGAGAGAGATGGGAGCGATAGAGAGAGAGAGAGAGAGAGAGAGAGAGAGAGAGATGGGAGCGATAGAGAGAGAGAGAGATGGGAGCGATAGAGAGAGAGAGGTGGGAGCGATAGAGAGAGAGAGATGGGAGCGAGAGAGAGAGAGAGAGAGAGATGGGAGCGATAGAGAGAGAGAGATGGGAGCGATAGAGAGAGAGATGGGAGAGAGAGAGAGAGAGATGAGAGAGAGAGAAAGAGAGAGAAAGAGAGAGGGAAAGAGAGATGGGAGCGATGGAGAAAGAGAGAGAGAGAGAGAGAGACAGAGGGGAATAGGGAGACAGAGTGAGAGACGTACTGCAGACTGTACGATTAAACGGCGAAAAAAGAAGTCGACAGAACTTACTAAGGCTTCGATAGTTATGGTAAATGGAGAGCGATTAACGCCAAATTGTACAAACTGAAAAGGGACCCTTCGCTCAATCAAGTCACGCGACAAACCTTCTTAAAATAGATTATTATAGCTAGGGGTATTTTTCTTCAGATTAAAATCTTTTGAGACGGATTTGAAGCGAACTTTTGATAAATGAATTAGTTTGAATATGTTTGTAGTTAGTCCAGTTATATCATCAAATCACCCAGTTTCTACGCAGGAAAGTATCTTTAATCAAGCTAAATAACATAATAATTTATAATAATTTATTATATTTATAGAGCGCCAAAATTTAGCTGGAAACAGCTGCTCTATGGCGCTTTTACAATGATACAATTCGAACAAGCGAATAGATTCTTTAGAAATAAAAAAATAAGGTATAGCAAAGAAAACCATAACATCTTTATTATTATTATTATTATTATTCATACATTTTTACAGCGCTACCTCTACAACAGTGTTCAGAAACGCTTTACAATATGATACACACAAAGATATGATAAAATACATAAAATATAAAAAATATAAAAGTTAAGATCTGTTAAAATATAAAATAAATTTGATCCAAAATATTGAAATAGAAATAACAAAAGTTAAAATCTGTTAAATATAGAATATAAAATAGATTTGATCTATAATGTATATAACAACAGACAACATCAGGAACTACTTAAAAGCTTTCTTAAACAAAACAGGTTTAAGCTGACTCTTAAAAACGGGTAAGGTCACACTGCTGCGAATAATATAAGGAAGTTTATTCCACAGTTTAGGCGAAGCAACTGAAAAGGCTTTATCTCCAAAAGACACAAGATTTGTTTTTTTCTCAACAAGAAGGTAACAATCTTCAGAAGATCTTAATTGACGACTAGGTTAATAATAGACATGTAAAAATATATTAATAAACTAATAAGATACCATCACGTATAAAAGACAAGTAAAAGTATTTCAGTAAACTTATAAAGAAACCACAACATATAAAAGACCAATCTGTTTCACAGAGTATTACGAAAGTCTTCTAAATTCTCTGTAAAAGATGACTGCCTTCAACACCACTCGGCAAACCTCGGCAGATTCCGGTACCCTACATCTAGCCTCGGCTGTATGCCAGTAAGTGATATGTACCTACGCATATACATTTGCGATGCGGCACCGGTTTACTTATAAGGGAAACTTGCCCGCGTTTAGAAAGAAATTCTCAAAATTGTGTAGAATTTTCAGTGCAAATTTGTCCTTGTCTAAAGAAAATCGGATAAACTTGAAAGAAAAACAGCTTCAAACTTTGAAAATTTTGTAAGATAAAACATTCTTCAAATACGTCGTCATCAGTGACGTTATTGGTCGTCAGGGACAACGCCATTGTAATCCGGGAACTTGAAAGTAGGTCTAATGGCGAGATTAGCCGAGATTAGATGTAGGGTACTGGAATCTGTTGAGTGTAATAAAAGACATGTAAAAGTTTATCAGTAAAATAAAAAATATTAAAAAACATGTAAAAGTATATCAAAATATATTTTTTTCAAAAGTCTAAAACATGTTAAGTTACAATTACATATTGTTAAGTTATATTTTTAAAATGTATTAAAATAAAGCCCTAAAATAGATGGTATCTATAAACAGTCCTACCTTGTTAAAGAATAATCCTATTAATCCTATAATTCACTATTGCCAGTTGAGAAATTGGCAAAAATATCATTTTCAGCTTCAAATTCAAACGTTTGAAGATAGTTATTCCATGGTGGGGAATAGGAAAACAAGGGAGGTAATTGTGTTATTATTTCCGGTGTAAATGATTTTTAAGTGTGAGAGAGATAACCTATGACCGTATAATAGTGACAACCTATTGAGCAAAAGACATAGAAATAATTATGTTTTGACTTTCTTAGAAAATATGAAATTGTAACTTTAAGGGCTAAGTAAACTTATAATCAATTAAAAGCTTACTGTCTGATTCATCGTAAATTTTAAACGGATTTCTTCGATTATGAACAAACTACTTAACTTTGGTTATTATAAACTTACCTGTGTGTTTGTAATGAACTCCCGTTCGATAAAATCCATTGCACAACTAATTATCACAACGATGAGAACAATGTCTCTCTTGAAAAATTTGAAAATTTACTTGTAATTTCGACAGAGTCGATGTCAACAATGTCTTCGTGACGTATTGGTCGAATCCAATATACCTGTTGCGGGGGTTGGTTAACATTGAAAGATAGTTTGACAGCGCGATCATTTTAATCGTATATGGGTTTGGGCGACGAAAAATATCAATTGAAGGCAATTACATAGGAGATTTATATGGAAACCATTGATCGCCAGTCTATCAAATTTTCTTCACAATTAAAATATCACTGATTGCACGGATACTCGTAAAAATAAAGTCATAAATAAACTATAAATATCCTATCTTCTTTATGTTATAAATAATTTAACAAGGATCATGAAGCTTACCTCCGAATTCTCTGAGTGTATTTTTAATTTTATACGCATTCTTTCGATCGAATAATAACCGCTTCAGTAACATCTTTAAGCGTGTTGCGGCAGCCCTCAGCGTGTCTATTGCCGTATTGGGTGCCCGGGTGGGTATATAATGCTACTAAGCCCGTATGACCCCGTAAGAAGCGGAACATTAATTCTCGATTCGACAGTTTTGACCGAAGTGTGATAAAGCCCGTAAAACGAATGTATAGTTGTGTTTGTGCGGCATGCGTGTTCAAAAGTAAGTAATCCCATCCGAGTCGCTAATCAAATAATTAGAACAAAATATTTCAAAAAGTAAAGCTATAAAATTTGCAGAGATTTTACTAGAATGTAAAAGACGGTAACTAAATACAGGAATGCGGGTAGTTATGTGTGCGAACGCTCAAACTCAATGCCAATTGTCGTAGGTATCCAGACCACTCGGACCAAAGACTACTCGGACTAAGACCAGTCGGACCAAAACAAGACCAGTCGGACCAATTAAATTATATTATAAGGCTAGACAATATGCTATTTATTTATTATTAAATCACAATACAAAGAAGCAAATAATTCTTATACGGAATTCTTATATTTAGAGTTGTTTGGTTCAATTTTGTGTACGTAAATAAATCAACGATTAGTTTTAAAATTAATTAATAATGGTGCCAAAAATAAATATCAATCTAATTTTTCTTTACTCTTGCAATGAGACTCAGTATGTCCAGACTTTTGACAGTTTCTACATATACGGGTATACTGTTCTTGTCTAATAGCCTAATTTTACTTTTTCCACATTCGCGGTATCCCCAGTGGTTTCATTCCGTTCTACCCCACTAACCCCTGGGTTACTATATATGGGGGGGGGGGGTGGAGACACGTTTTCACGTTATCCGCCCTTGATGCGTTAATATAAACAGCACATAATAATACGAAGACTGGACGTTTATATGCCCCTTTTTAAACGTGACTACAAGTGTGGTTCTCGATATTTTGCGATTTGGAATACAATTATCAATTTATTCAAACAACACGTTATTATTAGTTCGAGTAGTCATATTAAAACACACACAATTATCAATTTATTCAAATAACACTTTATTATTGGTTCGAGTAGTCATATTAAAATAAACACAATTATCAATTTATTAAAATAACACTTTATTATTGGTTCGAGTAATTATATTAAAACAAACGCAATTATCAATTTATTAAAACAACATTTTATTATTGGTCCGAGTCGTCTTTCTGTTGGGTCCGAATAGTCTTTTTGTATGGTCCGAGTAGTCTATTTGTTTGGGCTGAGTGGTCTATCACTTGGTCCGACTGGTCTTGAACCGAGTGATCTTTGGTCCGAGTGGTCATGGATTCTTGTCGTAATTGTACTTGAATTTCCTATGCTGTCACCCCTAATACGAAATGATATCTTCCGCAGAGTGACGTAACCATCTTCCATATTGGTATTTTTCTCTGGGAAAAGTTTGTGATATTTCAATTTTTCAAGAGAGAACTTGTTTTCATCGTTGTGATAATTAGTTGTGCAATGGATTTTATCGAACGGGAGTTCATTACAAACACACAGGTAAGTTTATAATAACCAACGTTAAGTAGTTTGTTCATAATCGAAGAAATCCGTTTAAAATTTACGATGAATCAGACAGTAAATGAATAAACTGAAAATATACTGAAAGTTGGGCTAGTTTTTAAGTGGTGATGGACATATCGTTCTAATTATGACCTTTGTTTCAATTAAACATGACCTTGAATTCAATTAAATTGAATAATCATAATTACGGGTTTAAAACACTTCCGTTTTTTTACTTTCTAGGAAATGGGCTCGTCTGCTTCACAGAGAAAACTAGCGTTTAGAGATTCGTCGAGACATCCTAGTAATCGTCACATAAACGGAAAAAACCCTGTCAAACAACGAGACAACAATCATCCCACGGCAGTTAGTCAGATAAATGTAGTCAGTGAGAACGCTATCAATAACACTATCACGTTGGATAACACAGTTGACGCCACAATTGGAAGACAAAATCTTAAAACAAGTGTTCAAAAAACGGGATCCAAACGAGACATGGATGATCAAGACCGAAAAGTAGATGTGGTCGACCAAAACGAGAGTCACGAAGAGCGACACAAACGAACATTTAAAGCGTATAAATCCGAGATTAACCAGTTGTTGTCTTCACTAGAAAAAGATGAACAAAATAAAACGATCTTGATGTCGGTTATAGAAAAAACTAACGAAATTTACATCAGCGCGGACGCCAACTTCAGCCACACATGGATGACAAAACATCGAACGGCAGTTTGTGACTACATCCACTGCCATGGCCAGATAATACCAGTTATATGTGAAGCGATGATAAGCGAGAAAGATTCGAATGATATGTCTTGTATACTGTACGCTGGTTCGTTAACTATGGTGTGCCTGTCCGACCACTCTAGAGACTGTACTGTTGATATTTGCGCTGTGCCGGGATTTAACGAGTTTCTCTATGAATTTATTGATAAAAATAAAGAGAATAGCCCGTATGTGACGTCATTAGGCGTGAGTATGTCTATTTATATCGTTTAGCCGGGAGATTGGTCTCAGATTTGGTCTAATCTAACGGTATCCAGACAACTCGGACCAATTCATAGACCACTCGGACCATGACCACTCGGACCAATTCATAGACCACTGGGACCTACGCAAAATATCACTCGGACCATTTATTTTGGTATAATGTAACTTGGCAGATGAGTCTCAGGTTTTGGTATAATTTAACTTGGCAGACGAGTCTTAGCTTTGCTATAATCTAACTTGGCAGATTTGTGTCAGATTTTGGTATAATCTAACTTGGCAGACTGGTCCCCGATTTGGTCTAATCTATCTTGGCAGACAGTCTCAGATTTGGTCTAATCTAGTTCAGCTCTGAACGTAGGTCTCATTTTACACTCGACCTCTACGTTCAGGGACTGTCCTATTGGATCCTTGTCGAAAATCTAATCGCTTCCCAGTCAATTTTACTGGGCAACTTTTTACTGCTAACCGGTCGCGTGTCAGTCCCTGTGAACGCCTGAACAATATAAATGAACATCTTAGGGAGAAAATAAGACCTTGCTTACCTGGCTACAGTCAGTATGAGCGACATAACACGCTGTTAAAAAATACGTCTCCGTCTTCTAACTGACTTGGCGGACATCATTGAAAGGGTAACGCACAAATTTAAGAACTCGGCCATATAAGGTGAAACGAAATTTAGGTAAGCCTGGTGCGAACAAATTGGGATTTTTGAAAGAATTTGATTGTAAATTATTGTAATTAAGCTAGGCAAAGCAATAAATCACTGAAGATTCTCAACTTTTCAAAGATTTCATTTTTTTTTCTCCCAGGCTTACCTAAATTTCGTTTCATCTTATATGGCCGAGTTCTTAAACTAGCACACTGATCCGCAGTGAATATTTGCTTGGCCGCGACAATCACTGATAAGGATGACATTGATGCGGCTTAATGAGCTAGAAATATTAACTTTTTTCCTGCGACAAATTAAATTCTAAAACATTTTTTGTATATATTGGAAAAATAAATAAAGGCGTTTGACGTATTTGTAGGTAAAAATTATTTCCGATTTAGTGTAAATGGGTATTAAATTGACTAAAATGCAGCATTCTCTCCGAAGCAGTTATGTCTTATGTAAACAATGCACGCGCCATTGAGCCAATGATTCACACCGCGTGCTGTGACAGCACGTACGTGTTAAGGCAGTCATCTATGACAGAGATATTATACGAGACTCGTAATTCTCTGTGAAACAGATTGCTGAACTAGGTCTAATCTATCTTGGCAGACTGTGAAGAAGCACAATTCTGTCTTATGCTACCTATTAATTAATGATTAGTGCCTATCCTTTATTTGTCTATTTATTTAATTTATTTTTCAAATCTATTTATTTATATTTTAAATTTTCTTCTTTTTACATTTTTTTTTTAAATTTTCTTCTTTTTTTACATTTATTTTTTCTTAATTTTAAATTATTGATTTCGTAAAAACCTTTTTTTTTTTACATTTATTCATTTAAAATTTATTTATTTTTTTAAATGTATTTTTTAAATGTATTTTTTAAATGTATTTTTTAAATGTATTTTTTGAATGTATTTTTTTAGTTGTATTTTTTAAATCAATTTTTTTAAATGTATTTTTTAAATTTATTTATTTACAGAGAGACAGTGTAATAACTAGGATTCTGATGGTGATTCACAACGTATCAATGACACATGTTAACATACCCTTATTACAACAACTCAACATCGTCAAAGTTTTAAAAAATTATTTATCGTTTAACAACGATACGATTAAACTTGTTTCTCTGTTGGCTATAGCTGATTTGATGAAGGATGACGAGGCGCATTATATCGCCACTAACATATCCGTTATAACGTCTTTGTTGAAGCTATTTGAACAAACTATCAACAGCGAAGGTCACAGAGAGGCAGACGGAAAGGGTGTAATATGGTCTTCACTTGAACTGGTGAAAGGTACATTTTGTCTTTATTTACAGTAAACAAATGAACATGACGTTATACCCCGTCTTAAGGGACGTTATACCCCGTCTTACACGACGTTTTGCCCGTCTTAAGTGACGTTATACCCCGTCTTAAGTGACGCTATACCCCGTCTTACGAGACAATATACCCCCATTCGGCAAACCTCGACAGATTCTACGCATCTAATATCGGCTGTATGACGAATTCCGCCATATTGGAACTATTTTAAAGGTCCCGGATGAAAAATGACTGCGCCCATGGAGATTTCTGTGGAGAGTGTATTATATCAACAAAGGTCAAGTTTGGCATTGGGTTTGGGGAATTACCAGGGAATTATATCAAACCAGCATCCTTGAGGCAATATCTCTGCTCGTTTAGTTATATACACTCGACAAAAAACGCCATTTTGGGACTTTTTTGTAAAAGCTGCACGTTTTCCTGTTAAAGTAAACCGGTAGCCGCATCGCAAATGTATGGGCGTAGGTACATATCAATTACTATCATACAGCCGAGGTTAGATGTAGGGTACCCGAATCTGCCGAGGTTTGCCGAGTGATTATACCCCGTCTTAAGTGACGTTATACCCCGTCTTGCATGACGCTTTACCCCGTCTTAAGTGACGCTATACCCCGTCTTAAGTGACGTTATACCCCGTCTTGCACGACGTTTTTACCCGTCTTAAGTGACGTTTTACCCCGTCTTGCACAACGCTTTACCCCTTCTTAAGTGACGTTATACCCCGTCTTAAGTGACGCTATATCCCGTCTTAAGAGACGTTATACCCCGTCTTGCACGACGTTTTACCCGTCTTAAGTGACGTTATACCCCGTCTTGCACAACGCTTTACCCCGTCTTAAGTGACGTTATACCCCGTCTTAAGTGACGCTATATCCCGTCTTAAGTGATGCCATGCCTCGTCTTACGAGACATTTTACCCCCTTTTAAGTGACGTTATACAACGTATTAGTGTCTTCCGTAACTATTATCCTCGTTTACGCATCGTTTTTCTCCGTCTTATGTGGCGTTATATGCATGGTTAACGCGTGTTAATGATCTTGATTTTAAAAAAAACGTCATTTTGGTTGTTTCATATTTTTTAGGTATTGGTAGACTGGCTAGGAATGACGACAACAAGAAGTTGCTGGTTGATCAAGGCTGTCTGCCATCTTTAATAAAACTTGCCAAATCCACAGATTTAGAGGAAAAGAAGGGTAGGTAACTCATCATATATCTGAAGCTCTCCCACACCCTCCCCCTCGAAATACATTATCAATGAGTTTCTAGATATAAGGTTCGTTCTCAAATCTGTCGTAGAATTATATTGGTAGGCCCCTGAGTCGGACCCCCCACCCCCACCCCTTCTCCCGGTGCGAGAAACCATTTTAAAAACAAAACTAGTTGTGTGCTGTTGGCGACATTTTTCGCGGATAGCTGCTTTTCCACCCATTTACATCGAATTCCATCTGTCAATGGTTCATTTACATTCAGGCCAACATTGGTTTCTTGTCCCATCCAAACGACTATACATTTTTCTTGTCAGGCCCTTCGCCTTCATCCTACACAACTGACAAGGGAACACCACGGGGGAAAAAAATCCTGGTGAACTGTTTTGACCAATATGTGACCGAACCCGGAATCTTCTGGTTGGAGGGCAAGAGGCTTGGGCATACTCACTGAGCCACGATATAGATTTGATAAGTATAGTGAGGAGCCACTCTGGCTCAGTGAGTAAAGTGCAGGCTAGCTAACCAAGAAGTTCCGTGTTCGATCCCTGTGTTCATCGGGATTTTTCCGGCGTGATCTCTACTTGTCAGTGGTGTTGGACAGAGGGCTGGGCAAAGCATAACGTATAGCCGTTTGAATAGTGACGAAAAACCGAGATCCCGTATACACATGGGGGGGGGGGCTGAATGGTTAGCACATGCGCGCTGTATCATAAAGTCTGTCATTGAGTCAACTGGCGGGGTTTCGATTCCCCGCTTGTAGGTGACAAGGAGTAGGGTCGCATGTCCAACCTCATGGGTTTTCTCCGGGTCCTCCGGTTTCCTCCCACTGCTAAAGACCCCTACGCGCAAGCGAATTATGGAAATAAAATTGAACCATATGTTAGTCCCGAAATGACCTAGTTTGTGTCGAGTGGACGTTAAACACCATCTCTATCTCTCTCTCTCTCTCTCTCTCTGTCTGTCTCTCCGTATAGACATTGGCTTGCACGTAAAAGAATCCTTGACAGTTGGAATTCTATATAAGAGCAGGCCGCGGAGCCGCTGTCCGGATATAAATTTCCCTCATAGTACACTGTATGGCCCGTCTTCATTTTCCCAGTCGGAGCTGAACAGTAGGACGTTAAACCCCGTTGAGATCAGAAAGTCAACTTAAATTAGCAATTCCAAAAAGTAAGAAAAGGGCAATGACAAGAACATTCCAATATACCGCCTCTGTATTCTGGAATTCACTACCTCAAACTGTGAAACATGCGTCTTCAAGTTTTATCTTCAAAAAGGAGTTAGTAAAACACGTTAAATCTTTGAACCCTTGTTAATTACTGTTGTCCTCTGAATGTATGTTTATTTGCCTTTTTTTTCTTTCTTTCTTGTTTGTTTGATATTTCTTTATTATAAGCTTATATAATATGATATATATACGCACTTTGTAAATATTATTACTGTGTAGTTGCTAGTTTTATAGAGTAGGAGGGACATGTTGAAAATTAGAACTCATGTTCTAAATATGTTCCCTCAGAAAATAAAGTCATTATTATTTCTTTTTATTTATTCGAAGTGGATATTTAACCGTATACGGCAAAGTATCTACTTCCACTATTTTACCGTACATCGTTTCGGCGCAGAAGCACGATTTTACGGGAAAAACATAAACCACTGACAGTCTTAGTACTTAAATTAAAACCAAAATCCGCAGAAATGCGCCCTCGACCAAAATAGAATAATATTCTAAATGCTTTTCTACAATTTACATTTATTATCTTATTTTCTTTTAAAAATAATTCTCCAGTTTCTACCATAGAAATTCAAGTATGGCTATTTCCTTCCTTTATAAGAAACTTAAAAAGTAGCAATGTTAGACAAAGAACGAATAGAACTGTTGGGTTAGGATTAGGGTTAGGGGTTATTATTAGGGTTAGGATTAGGGTTATGGGTTAATGTCAGACGCCAAAGTGAAAACGGCTAAGTCCAGGTATCAGAGAAATTCAAGTATGGCTATTTCGTTCCTTTATAAGAAACGGAAAAAGTAGCAATGTTAGACAAAGAACGAATAGAACTGTTGGGTTAGGATTTGGGTTATTATTAGGATTTGGATTTGGGTTATGGGTTAATGTCAGACGCCAAAGTGAAAACTGGTAAGTCCAGGTATCAGAGAACTGCGCATGTTAAACGGAAGCGTACGGCAAAATAGTAAATAAAGTAATGTGCCGTATACGGTTAAATATCCACTGCCACTGCCTTATTTATTTCCAGAGAGTTTAAAGGCGTTGTGGGTTTTATCGTTTAATGAGAATAACCAGGATAGGATTATAGATGAACCCGGGTTGATTCAGTATATTGACGATGAAAATAGAACTGGTGAGACAGAGGTCAAGGCCACGTGTTCCGGTATTTTATGGACCTTAAGACTCAAACTTTTACAATCAAAGGAATATGAAGCTATTGGTAAGTCTTTTGACCATTGTCTGTGGTATCATTTCGGTGGAAGCGGTCGTTTAATAAACTTTCTCACACACATTCGTTTGACTTTCTCGTTGGCTGATTGGTTTAACGCGTGCGCGTTATATCATTAGGTCAGCCATTGAGTCAAGTGGCGTGGTTTCGATTCCCCGCTTGTACGTGCCAAGGAGTATAATCGCCTGTCCAACCTCATGGGGTTTCTCCGGGTCCCCCGATTTACCCCCACAGCTAAAGAACCCTATATGCAAGCGAATTATTGAAATAAAAATTAACCGTATTATTTTGTTAGTCCCGAAATGACCGAGTTTGTGTCGAGTGGACGTTAAACCCCATTTCTCTCCCTACTTATAGCTACTGCTTTTGAAAAAATTAATTGTGCCAATAAAATAGATCCAGTTACACAACTAATGTCGTGACACCCAATTTTATAAAATTAATCGTTAATATTGATAAACGTACCATATGTTAAATAAATACTTTATGTGATTGCATTTAGTTTGTCTCATAATATTCGACATATAGTTTGTCTCATACTTTCCACCATATAGTTTGTCTCACATTCACCATATAGTTTGTCTCATATTCCAACTTCGAGGGCTTTCTCCGGGTCCTCCGGTTTCCTCCCACTGATAAAGACCCTTACGCGCAAGCGAATTATGAAAATAAAATTGAACCATATGTTAGTCCCGAAATGACCTAGTTTGTGTGGAGTGGACGTTGAACCCCATTTCTCTCTTTCTTTCTCTTGTCTCATATTATTCACTATATTATTGGAGCTGACGTGCCATAAAACTCTATTTCATTCAATTATTCCCCCTTTCCTCTGTCCCTCTATCCCGGTTGGAACTGACGTGCCATAAAACTATTTCATTCATTCATTTCCCCTCTCTCTCTATTGTTTGCCATAATGATTAACTTTTTTAGGTGAAAGACTTTCCACAATTGATAAAGCAGAAAACGATGATGAAGAAAAAGGGCACGTGATGATTAGTTATCAATGGGCCAATCAGGATGTGTTAATTAAAGTACGTGATGAGTTACGTCGTCATGGTTATAAAGTATGGATGGACATTGATGACATGGAAGGATCAACGCTACAAGCAATGGCGGAGGCTATTGAACAGGCGGAAGTGGTTTTAATCTGTATGTCGAGGAAATATAAAGACAGCCCAAACTGTCGAGCAGGTAAGATAGAAAACATGGTAGCCACGGAAATGAAATGGAAATTTTCCGCCCTGTTGTTTCGTACTAATTGCGCAAATGACGACTGGTATACGCTGTGTGTTATGAGATAACATAGGCGCTACCGTTCATTCTTCGTCAAATTCCAACTGTCGGGCTTCTGTTACATGCACAACGTAAAAACTGGACCTCAGTTTTCCCCCCATCCGAACGATTAGACGCTTTCTCGACCAACACCGGGATTGAGTCCGGGACCTCCTGGTCAGTGAGCCAGGGCGATCCTCAATGAACCACGTGACGCAAAGGTCTGGTCTATTTGGTGTACATTATTGGGCGTATCTAGTAGAAAATGTACACATTCGTTCCATACTGCACACAGCGATGCATCTACTTCATACCTCGAGAATACCAGTTTTCAGGCGGAGCTAACTGTAGAGGGCAGCCAAAGTTTGGGATGCATTCGTTCATGAGGGACGGGCGAATGGTTTAGCGCGTGCCTGTTAAACCCTAAGGTCCGTCACAGAACAAGTGGCCTGGTTTCGATTCCCCGCTTATACGTAACATGGAGTTGGGTCGCCACCTAACCTCGTGGGTTTTCTGTGGGCCCTAATGTTCCCAAGCGAATTATTAGACCATAAGGTCCGTCACAGAACAAGTGGCGTGGTTTCGATTCCCCGCTTATACGTAACATGGAGTAGGGTCGCCAGTCCAACCTCGCGGGTTTTCTGTGGGCCCTAATTTTCCCTCCCACAGCTAAAGACCGCAAGCGAATTATTGAAACGGAACTGAACCATATGTTAGTCCCGAAATGACTTGGTATGTGTCGAATGAACGTTAAACTGCATTCATTCATTCATTCATTCATTAACTCATTCATTCATTTATTCATTCATTCATTCATCAACTCATTCATTCATTCATCAATTCATCCATCCATTCGTTTATTCATTCATCAATTCTTTCATTCATTAATTCATTCATTCATCCATCCATTCATGTATTCTTTCATTCATTCATTTATTCTATATAAACAGAAGGAGAATATGCGCATCAAAGACGTAAGAAGATTATACCACTAATACTAGAACGTGGCTATCAACCTGATGGCTGGCTGGGTTTAATTCTCGGAGCTAAACTATTCTACGATTTTAGCGGAAAATATTCCTTTCAATCAAGAGTTGGTGGGTTATTGAAAGATATTAAAATCAAGGTGAACAGTCAACTGGATTCAACCACCACAGCGTCGACGGCGACCAATGTTTTAGATAAACATAATAAGGTAAGTAATACAAAAAAGGAATGGTGTGGTTTCGAATCCCCGGTTGTACGTGGCAAGGAGTAGGGTCGCCTATCCAACCTCGCGGGTTTTCTCCGGCGCCTCTGGTTTCCTCCCACTGCTAAAGACCCCTATGCGCAAGCGAATTATGTAAATAAAATTAAACCATATGTTAGTCCCGAAATGACCTAGTTTGTGTCGAGTGGACGTTAAACCCCATTTCTCTCTCTCTCTCTCTCTCTCTCTCTCTCTCTCTCTCTCTCACTAAAACGGAATTGACATCTGTATGTACCCTATCTGATTAAAACACAGATCCTATTTCGTTTCGTTTTTTATAGTTCAAAATTTCGTTTTACTTGTCTTTACTACACTAGGACCTAAAAGAGTTGTTATATAACTGCGTCCTTGTTGATGTGAGGGATTAGCCAATGAAATGGTGTGTTACGGTGAGTTTTTGGCGTGAGGTGCACGGTCAGCACGGAACTGTGGGTAACATCAACGCTGATTGGTTAATGAAATGTCAGACGGCATAGGGTCGAGAGCCACTCCTATGACCCCTGACGCGACCTCCAACCACAACTGGTCAAATCTTTATGTGGTGTAGCAATCCGAAAGTATAAAAAACGAAACAAAATATAGATCTGTATTTGGTATATACTGAGACGCAATGATAACAAATGACTGGTTTGACAGGATGTTTTGACGCAACCTAATGTGGCTAAAATGTGATTTTTCAACCGATTATAGCTTGGAGATTTACCGACACGAAAACATCAACAACCTGCGGAGGCCATAACAACTTTACTACGGATTGAATCGTAGGAACAAACGGTAACGGCGTTGAGTCAGAATTGGGCCAAAATTTAAGTTCCAAGTCTTCCACTAGATATGAATTAAGAAAATGATTTTTGGCTGACATTCTGAGGAATGGATCTTTGGTTTGTCATTTGTTCGGTTGTGTGTTCGATCCTCGAATTCGCTTTCCTACACCTGTAGGTCTATCACAGCTCATTCAGTTACCATGATGACTCACCACACCCTTTCTAGGCTGTTTTATTACCATGACGACTCACCCCACCCTTGTAGACCGTTTTATTACCATGATGACTCACCACACCCTTTCTAGACTGTTTTATTACCATGACGACTCACCCCACCCTTGTAGACCGTTTTATTACCATGATGACTCACCACACCCTTTCTAGACTGTTTTATTACCATGACGACTCACCATGCCCTTTCCTTGCTGTTTTATTACCTTGACGACCCACCATATCCATTCTAGACCCTTTCTTTTTTATTAATATGACGACTCAAAATAGCCTTTCTAAACCGTTTTTTTTACCATGACGACCAACAATACCTATTGGATTTTCACCGGCTAAAGACCCTACGCGCAATCGAATTATGTAAATAAAATTGAACCATGTTAGTCCCAATTTGACCTAGTTTTGGTCAAGTGGACGTTAAACCCCATTATATATAATTTTATATTTATAGGCATTAGTACAAGTACACCAAGATGTGGTTTATTCTACAAGACGTTCCCTATCTTCAAACACAGTCATCAGATCGTGGACTAATGACCAAATAAAACAATGGTTATCTACTCATAAACTATCGGGGTAAGTTTTACTGGTGTTCCACAAGATTCCGTTCTTGGCCCATTTCTTTTTAATGTCAGTTAATCTTTTTACTAAGACAGTAGACTAGGGTAAGTCCCGTTTAGCTTCAATATTTTATACCTAGTCTTAATATTATAAACTATTATGACGTCAATATTTTATACCTAGTCCTTATATAAATAGTATTATGACGTCAGTATTTTATACCTAGTCGTTATATAAAATAATATATCATGACGTTATTAATTTATATATATATATATATATTGGATAATGTCTAATAGTAGGCTTACTATAATGTTAAAACGGTTTTTATAGATCAAGAATTGAAGAATTAACTGGCATAGAGTTGGCATTTCTACGTAAGCTACAACACATGGTGAGTATTAGATAGTCAACTTTGGATCCCTTGTAGGCCATTTTTGATAAACAAGGCTATAACAGCCATTTTGATTTTCGACGATCATGTGACAACCCAGACATGCTCGTAAAATGACATGCCTATAATGGTTGTAATAATCAGCTAGCTTAGCGTTACTTTAATTGTGACCGTCTTGGCGAATTCCTTGCCATTTGCATTACAACCACCTGTTCATTTGTTTATATACCTAAAGCGGCACATATACCCACGTGTTTTTATTATAACCACGTGTTTTTATCATAACCACATGTTTTTATCATAACCACGTGTTTTTATCATAACCACGTGTTTTTATCATAACCACGTATTTTTTTTTTATCATAACCACGTGTTTCATTATTCCTACGTGTTTTTATTATAACCACGTGGTTTTTATTATAACCACGTGTTTTATTATAATCCCCTGTTTTATTATAACCACGCGTTTTTATTCATTTCAGGCACCAGATTTATATTTCCGGAAATTAGAGAATGATTTAAATTTGAAATCTCTGACAGATTTAGCCAAGTTTGACGCTGCCATGGATGAATTACCCTAGGATCATATGCGTCCCCGGATACGTCATCGAACAGCGCAATACTTAATTTTACAAAATGAAACTAGTGCCCACGTTCCTCCTTAACTATGCCCCTCTTTCATGCCTTAACGCTTTTTATCTGGGAGCCGTCGCATGTAAACGGTAAATTTAAATGAAATAGGGTTTAACGTCCTAATGTTCTGCTCCGAACTGGGCTAATGAAGACGGGCATACGCCATACAGTGTGCTATGGGGGAAATTTTACCCGGACAGCGGCACTGCGGCCTACTCTCATATCGAATTCCAACTGCCAAGGTATCTTTTACGTGTACGCCAATGTGTACACAGGACCCCGGTTTTTCGTGCCATCCGAACGACTAGACAGCTTTCCCTGTCAGGCCCTCCGACCTGCATCACTGACAAGGGGGGACCACGCCGGAAAATCTGGATGAACTTTCTCGGCCAATGCAGGGGTCGAACATCGTTCATTCTTTTTGGGGATCACGTGGCTAAGTGGGTAAGACGCTGGCTCGCTAGCCTGGAGGTCGGGTGTTCGATCCCTGCATTGGCCGAGAAAGTTCATCCAGATTTTCCGGTGTGGTTTCCCCTTGTCAGTGATGCAGGACGGAGGGTCTGACAAGGACAGCTGTCTAGTCCTTCGGATGAGACGAAAAACCGAGGTCCCGTGTATACATTGGAATGCACGTAAAAGATCCCTTGGCAGTTGGAATTCGATATAAGAGTAGGCGATAGTGCCGCTGCCCGGGCAAAATTTCCCTCATAGCACACTGTATGGCGTACGCCCGTCTTCCTGAGCCCAGCATAGGAGCAGAACAGTAGGACGTTAAACCCCATTACATTTCATTTTCATTTCTATGTGTCCATGACTAGTCTGTGTCTACGGTTGTATGACGTCTGACCTGTCGTGTTTTTATTTTGCAAAATTCAAGTACTTTTCATATATATTTAGCCAGGTGTGTCGTTATTTTCTCGTGTGTTCTAAGGTGTGCCCTTGGAAAACAAAGGTCGAGAACCACTGAATTAGGGTGTGGTTATTGCTTTGTGCCTTGTCTGTACATCATTGCGCATGTGCATTCATATTGTTTTTTAAGGCGAGCACCTACCGTTCACCTGAATGTCGACCCAGGGGAGATTTTTCTGCCTCCCCTTAATATTGAAAATCGCTCTCCTTTACAAAGTCACGGGGGGGGGGGGGTCATTATCATTTATGAAATCAGGAATGACCCCATTACATACAGTTATAGATCTTCAGAACCATTTCCCATACACACAACTAATCAATCTCCGTAATATCAGATCACTCTCCTTAATTTCTAAATCACTCTTCTGGGAGAGCTTTTTTAGGGGACCGATTTTTTTCAATTTGTTCATTAAGGAGGGGAAAAAAAGCTCCCCTTCAATTTGTTCATTAAGGGGAGTTTATTTCCCCGTCTCCTCTAAAATACAAACAGCGACTGTACATGGTTTTTTTTACGTTTATCATTTGTTAACATTGTATTGTTTATTGTTATCATTTAATCCGGTTAAGATTAAATCCTTTGCCAATTTTAATAGATTTAATGTTTTTTATTTGAGTTTGTAAATTGATACACAGCATGATGGATTGTCATTACACACACATTTATAGAAAACGAAATCCGCTACAACTGTGCCATGGGTACTGGTACTTAAGGGGTGGCCACACTAGGCGAATCATTCGGCCCCGAAATGCGTGGACACACTTGTAATTCTCCGCCCGATTCACCATTCAAGTACAAAACCTTTCCCGTCACATGATTAAACATGGCACCGACCATGTCTGTCTTTGCCGATAATTTCCAGGGCAGCTGGGAATGATGATAGAAGTGGTGGGTAAAGAGTCTGTATAACATGTAATAATTAACCTGTTGTAATCAGTGGCGGCGTCAGCGGGGGGGGGGGGGGCATTTGTCCCCTCATAAATCTGGTCTGCCCTCTGTTTACGACCCCCCCCCCCCTCCAATAATTTTGGAAAATAAATAAAAAATACTTATGATACGTTTCGGTAATCAATACCTTCTACGGTGATTAAATCCCACATCCCCACTCAGTCATAGACTTGCATGTTGTAGAATCTGAGTGATTCTTTACCCAGTCCATCCTGCTGTAAACCTACTATAAACAATAACACGTGAACCACTTTAGAAGTGCTTTTTACGATCCTCAAAGTTCTTGGGTATATAGGTTCAAAGCGGCGATAATATGCATTCATTTGATACACTCACTCCGTTCATTTGACATTTCCCTCTCTGTTCGGGTCAGCTGGTGATTTGGCGACGAACATTATCTTGTCAGCTCTATTTCTGAAATACTGCCCGGCTGCATTTCCGGCGGTCTATTTCACAAAATATTGTGGCGAAAATATTCATTTACTTTGATTCACTCACTCCGTCCGTTTGACACTTTCCTCTCTATTCGGATAAAGTAGTGATTTGGCGACAGGCGGTATCTGGTAAGCTCTATTTATCTCAACGATCAGTGCCTGAAATACTGCCAGACCGGCCAGACTGCATTTCCGGCAGTCTACTTTTCAAATTTTCGGGGGCTTCGTTGAGGTTCGCAAGTCCGTTCATTTGATAGACTAGTGATCAGGCGACAAACGGTATCTGATCAGCTCTATTCATCTCGACAATCGGTGTCTAAATACGGTGTCTATTTTTCAAAATAGGATTCCCTTTGGTGCTCTTGAGTGGGTTTCGTCGAGGTTCGGTCGTTTGACACTTTATCTCAACGAACAGTGCCAAAAATACTGCCGGGCTGAAGTTGAAGCGCGTGCCTTTGCCCCCTTAACCTTGGACTTTGCCCCAGCTTTGCGCCGCCACTAGTTGTAATTTAGCCGAAAGTAGATTGATTTATGACACCATGGTGGCCAGGCCATTGTTTTACAAATCGGTTAAATTAAACATCAATCGGCCGAACAGTAGTAAAGACTTTAGAGCTAAAACAAACCGAGACGAAATAGGGTTTACCGTTCTGCTCCGTCCTACTCTAACTGGGCTAATGAAGACGGGCATATGCCGTACAGTATGCTATGTGGGAAATTTTGCCCGGGCAGCAGCACTATATGGCCGGCTCTTATATCAAAATCCAACTGCCAAAGGATATTTTACTGCCAAAGCATACACAGGACCTCGGTTTTCCATCCCATCCGAATAACTAGACAGCTGTCCTTGTCAGGCCCTCCATCCTGCACCAATGACAAGGGGAAACTACTGTAGTGATCGAGGGTACTTCTATAAGTGGGGATCACGTGGCTAAGTGGGTAAGACGCTGGCTCGCTAGCCTGGAGGTTGGGTGTTCGATCCCTGCATTGGCCGAGAGAGTTCATCCAGATTTTCCGGCGTGGTTCCCACTTGTCAGTGATGCAGGACGGAGGGCCTGACAGGGACAGCTCTCTAGTCGTTCGGATGGTACGCAAAATTTCCCTCACAGCACACTGTATGGCGTATGCCCGTCTTCATTAGCCCAGTTTAGGAGCAGAACAGTAGGACGTTAAACCCCATTTCATTTCATTACTTCTATAAGTACCAAGTCCCACTTGGTGTTCCAAGGCGTCCGCAATAATAACAATGTTACCTATTTGAGGTCTAAAACATAATCTGAGCCGCAGCTACGGCAAAACAGCAATGAATAGGTTAAATCCCGCTGGTAGTACGGGACTCCGTGGAAAGGTGGAAGTAGTCCCGGGTATCCTGACGGACACCTGTATTGTACAGGGCAAAATCACAACACTACGTCGGGAAATCCACACTGATCTGCAGTGAATATTTGCTAGGCCGCTACAATCACTGATAAGGATGACATCGAGGCGGCTTAATGAGCCAGAAATATTAACTTTTTTCCTGCGACAAATTAAATTCTAAAACATTTTTTTTATGTATTGGAAAAATAAATAACGGCGTTTGATGTATTTGTAGGTAAAAATTATTTCCTTTTTAGTGTAAATGGGTATTAAATTGACTAAAATGCAGCATTCTCTCCGAAGCAGTTATGTCTTATGTAAACAATGCACGCGCCATTCAGCCAATGATTGACGCCACGTGCTGTGACAGCACGTGTTAAGGCAGTCATCTTTGACAGAGATATATCACTAGACTCGTAATTCTCTGTGAAACAGATTGCGGAAAATCCTGATGTACTTTCTCGGCCAAAGCAGAGCTAAAAGAAACTAATATGAAAATTGTGTGCCTTTTATTTTGGTCATTTTGATATAATATACAATATGGTTTTATAGTTACATACACAGTATTTGGTTTTCATTCAATCTCATTAAAACACACATCTATATTTCGTTTCGTTTTTTTATACACTAGTGTTGTAAAGACAAGTAAAACAAAATTTTGAACTATAAAAAAACGAAACGAATCTATATTTAGTTTCGTTTTTTTATACACAAGTAAATCAAAATTTTGACCTATAAAAAACGAAACGAATCTATATTTAGTTTCGGTTTTTTTATACACAAGTGTTGTAAAGATAAGTAAAACGAAATTTTGAACTATAAAAAAACGAAACGAATCTATATTTAGTTTCGTTTTTTTTTTATACACAAGTGTTGTAAAGACAAGTAAAACGAAATTTTGAACTATAAAAAAACGAAATGAATCTATATTTAGTTTCGTTTTTTTTTTTATACACAAGTGTTGTAAAGACAAGTAAAACGAAATTTTGAACTATAAAAAAACGAAACGAATCTATATCTAGTTTCGTGTTTTTATACACTAGTGTCGTAAAGACAAGTAAAACAAAATTTTGAACTATAAAAAAACGAAATGAATCTATATCTAGTTTCGTTTTTTTTATACACAAGTGTCGTAAAGAAAAGTAAAACAAAGTAAAAAACGAATCGAATCTATATTTAGTTTCGTTTTTTTTTTATACACAAGTGTTGTAAAGACAAGTAAAACAAAATTTTGAACCATAAAAAACGAAACGAAATAGGATCTGTGTTTTAATCAGATTGGGTTTTCATTATGTCTTAAATAACAACAAAGTTTTATAAACATTGGCGGGTAAACAATTTTTTTCTTCTTATTCAGCTGTGTAATTAAATGGGGTTTAATATCCTACTTTTTTGCACCTACTGCGCTAATGAAGGCGGCAGCGAACCCTATATCGAAAACTAACATATGGCACAATTTTATTTCAATAATTCTCTTGTCTCTCATGGTGATCTTTAGCTGTGGGAGGACCTAGAAAAAAGAGAGAGCAATGGGGTTTAACGTCCACTTGACACAAACTAGGTCGTTTTGGGACTAACCCGGTTTAATTTTATTTCAATAATTCGCTTACACGTAGGTCTTCAGCAGTGGGAGGAAACGGGAGTACCCGGGGAAAACCCATGAGGTTAGACAGGCAACCTTTGTCACCTACAAGTGTGGGATCAAAATCACGTTACTTGACTCAATGACAGACCTTATGATCTAAAAGCCCATGTGTTAGACCATTTGGCCAACAACCCCCCCACCCCCCACACCACCCAAACAAAAAACCCGGCTGAATAAGTAAATTATGTCTCGTGTATCAATTATCAGAACTATTTATATCACCTTCACATAGTCAAGGTATAGCTAGTACTGGGTTGTATTCTGCTTTTATTCGATATAACAGTAGGCCGTAGTGCTGTTGTCTGGGCACATTTCCCTCATAGCACACTGTATGGTGTATGCCCGTCTTCATTATCCCAGTTGGGACAGAACAGTAGGACGTTGAATTTCATTTCATTTCATTTCCAAACCTGAATAAAACATGGTTAGTGCTAAATAATAAGGTCAGCTTAATTTTTCGTCATAGCGCTAATCCCAACCCTAACACTGCACCTAGCTGCAATGCTTACCCTGACCCTAACCTACAACCTCACCTACAATCATGTGCCCTAATCTTATTTACATCTCAAGGACCTTGACAAAAATTGAGCTGGCCTTAACAAATAAATTTAGCCGTGACACCATAGAGGAGGCGGTCCCACGTGACCTCATTGTTTTCCTGTACATTCATTACGAACTGATGTGTTGACAAACGTTAGTTTTTGTTGTTAATATGAAATTTAATCCCGATATGTCGAAACGCAGTTCTCTAACCATCAATAAGGTCATGTGGAACCGAGTTTTTACTAGCGACACCTGGTGGGAATTCATTCAGCGAGGACGGCCATTGTGAATAGCCATGGTAACATGATTGTAATAACAATAATAATCCCTCACTAAACAGATCAAGAATTAAAATATTTAACAGGCAATCGGATTAAAATACAGATCTATATTTCGTTTCGTTTTTTTTATATTTTCGATGGCCTACACTACATGAAGATCTGACAAGTTGTACTGGAAGGTCGAGTAAGGGGTCGTACGAGCGGCTTTCGACCCTGTGACGTCAATCAGCACTGACGTTTTAAACTAGTGGTTTACTCAAAATTTTGTGCATGGCACGCCAAGGAGTCGCCGTAACAGACCCTTTTATTGGCTAATCCCTCAGTTCAACCAAAACACCGGTAATATAACAACTTTTCCAGATCCTAGTGGAGTAAAGACAAGTTAAACGAAATTTTGAACTATAAAAAACGAAACGAAATAGGATCTGTGTTTTTAATCAGATTGGTTTAACATGATAATAATAATACACATTTACATCCTTTAATAAATACAATCTAATATCTCATTTAAAGATACATTATGTAAGATTTAGATAAAGAGCAAGCCATTCTTGCTATAATAGTTCGAAAGTAGATAATGTAAAATGAATAATTTGAAAATTTCATTCAAATTACTCTATTGCAAGCGAAGATGTTAGCCTTTGAAGGTTTGGCTGACGTGTGCAATATTTCAACCGACATACTGGTTGATCGAAGCTAAGTCTCGGTCCTCCATATTTGATTAAATCAAAGTATCGCTGAACCATTCTAATCTATTTAATATCGGAGAAATCTGATGCCATCGAGAGTTGATTAAGGCCTGGATCAGTTAATTAATGTCTAATTAATACTTTAGAAAACATTTCAGGCCTAAAGAAAAACCTGCAATAGACAGATTTAGCTCTTTTAACTAAGATAAAAATCCAAATTTTAGTAATTTGATTGGATAATATTAGACTGATTTTAGTGCTTAGCCAATCAAAATTGAAGTATCTACTAAAATTTGGATTTTATCTTTAGTTAAGCCTTCGAGAAACAGGGCCCAGGGGTCTTATTCACAAAAACTGAAACTAAAATATTTTACAGATGCAGTTATTTTATTGGTTAGGGAGTTGCTGTGGGTCAGTGAGTAGGATGCTGGCTCGCTAACCTGGTGTAGGATGGAGGGCCTGACAAGGGACACGTATAGTCGTTCAGATGGCACCATGTACACATTGGTGTGCATGTAATAGAACCCTTGTCCGGGCAAAATTTCCCTCCTAGCACACTGTATGGCATAGTCCCATCTTCATTAGCCCAGTCGGAGCAGAACAGTAGGATGTTAAACCCTATTTCATTTCATTTTGAGCTCTTGGCCAATGAAAGTTCTGTATTCGTCTAATATTTTAGTTTAAAATTGTGTGCATAAGGCTCCAGAGCTCTAATTGATAAATCACAGGGACCATACATGAAAAAAATCTATATTCTTATGAAAGCTTTACATGGATTTTTATGATTTGTTTCAATCAAATTTTATGATTATTTTATGAGTTTTGTTTTTTTTTAATCAAATTTTATAATATTTTTAAAATGTTTTTAACAACATTTCATGACTTTTTATGTTTTTATCAAATATTATGAGTTTTCTTTTATATAACTGCACTGACAGTAAATAACTTATCTATGGTCCATGAAGTAGTGTTCAACCAGTGTTATGCGGATAAGAACGTCCCACCAGTAGTACTGGTGGTATTAATGGTTGCAGTAATCTTCTCCTATGTTCAAATATCCACATAACAATGACTGAACACTGTCAAACAGAAAATGAAAGAGCAGCAAGCTGGGGGTCATAAAATACCTGGATAATTTTCTTATTCACATCCGGGTTTGTTAGTATAGAAATTTATTATTATGAGTAGCGATTTAGGGTTAATTTTATATTTTGAAAAAATGTTTGTCACATTTTATGAGAAATTGTGAAATTTTATATCTTTTATGATATTTGTCCATTTAATGATAATTTTATGAGAAATGAGGAAATTTTATGAAAATATAAATGTTGTTATATTGTAGGGTCCCTGCAATCTGTTGTTAATATCAGTCGGTTAATGACTGACAAAAAGATACAAAATCAGAGCCCAATTTAAAGATACATTATGCAAGAGTTATATCTGCCTATTGCATGTCTTTCTTTAGACTTTAAATGTTGTAAAGATTATTAATTAGGTATTTATTAACAATACAAGACCATAATCAACTCTTGATGGCTTCGGATACTTGTGATTTTAACTAGATTAGAACGGTTTGCCATTTAAAAATTCAATTTAAAAATGGGAAGTCTCGAATAGAACAGTGACCTGATTACCACAATGCACACATCTTGTCAAAACTACAAACAGTGATAACTTGGCTCAGAATGAAGTAATTTGAATGAAATTTTCAAATTATTCATTTTACATTAGCTATTTTTGAGTTATTATAGCAAGAATTGTCAGCTCTTTATCTAAATCTTACATAAGGTATCTTTAATACAAGCTAAAAGGGGAGCCCCAGTTTTTTTTTTATAATTATTATCTACACATAGTTATGTCTATTTTGACAAATTTTGAGGCCATTTTTTGGATTAAGACCATTTTGTTTACACAAATGTGGGCATCATCTCTTAAGATTCAAATAATTTTTTAGGGGTACAATGTAAGATTTCTTTTGATAAGAGTTAAGAGGTTTAACGTCCCCTCAACACAAACTAGGTCATTTCGGGACTAACACATGGTTCAATTTCATTTCAATAATTTACTTGCTTGTTGGGGTCTTTACATTGCGCACGGAATCAGAACCAAGCCACTTGACTCAATGCCAGACCTTATAATCTAATGTGCATGTGTTAAACCACTCAGTCACCCATGTACATTAAGGGACAAGAAAATTTCTCATCTGGTTAAATTCACAGCCTTAAGTCACTTTTATAGAAATTGATATATGTTTTTAGACCTTTATATTAAAGTTTTAAAGAGATATACAGTGGACTCTGTCACATCCGACATCGTACGGGATCGTTACAATATTTCGATTCACACAGCGTGTCGGAATACCGAGCTTTCTCCAAAACCGGAAATACTGTAACTTCGAAAACCTGATATTGGAATGTTTTTACTTCTGGTGCGTACAAACCACTCATGTGTGGTTGTGTTGATGTCTTCAAATTTTGAGTTGGTGTAAAATCGGTTCTTACTGCAGTTTAAATTATCGGCAAACTTCTGTTTAAATTCATCTTTACGCTTTAATATGTCTGACACTGTAGCTCGGCCAATTGAATACTATAAGTTGCCGCTTTACATCTAATGTCAAATCTGTTCAGGCACGCTTTGCAGGACGTTCAGACATTTTGAATACAATAATGTATAATGATTCTTCAATCGCTGCAATTTTTATATAATGTTGAGGTATTTGACATGAGTAACTAAAATCAAATACCAAGCGCACTCTTACAAGAGATTATAAATTGTAAAATAATCAACAAAGAATTTATAACGTTATCAAAGTAATCAACACAGACCGGCACTTGCGAGTTTTAATCTCCCCGATAATTGATTGGTGATTGCTTGTTAATCTTTTCTGGCTTCACACCCATTGAGTTTTAATCTCACTGATAATTGGATGCTTCACACCCACCGTTTGAAGTACGGATTATACGGTGTCGATTCAATGGAAATTATGTGACGGGACAGCTGATTGATGTCGTAATTCGGAACATACAGAATCTGGATTTACTAGCGATTTTTTGGCTGAAGTAATAAGGAAATAAATCGGGACATGAAAATCATGTCGGATGTCACAGCAATCCGGAGTGATCAGACATCGGATGTGACAGAGTCCACTGTATAAATATATTTGAGTAAGAGGGAGAGAGAGAGAGATTTCACATTTTTTGGGACACTAATTCTCAATCACTTCAACCACCACTACAATATTCATCAAAAAAAATAATTTTAATTTAGAAATGAAATGGATTTCAATGAATGCTCATGAGGCCAGCCCAATCTGAAATCTAGTTCCGAAGATTTGAGTCTGGCCTAAGAGTAAATTTTATGAACAGAATGACAATTTTATTCTACATTTTAAAAATATTCATTTTGCCCCACCTCCAAAAATATATGTTTCTAATGGCAAGCTTTGTTCCAGTTTTTGATGAGACCTTAATCTATTTGTTCCACACTCTCAATATATTTAATATTTACAACAACAAACGAAATATACCCTATTATAAATTATTTTCACAAAATCTAAAACTTATTACATCAAAATCTTCACCATTTCACACATTATAAGAAATTCAAACTGTACAGCAGGGATGGTCTACCTATGGGGCATCAGTCATTGTTTTTTAAGGCAAGCAATCGCTCTCAATCGCCTGCCACTCACCTGAATGTCGACCGAGAGGAGTTTTTTTCCCTCCCCTTAAAACTGAAAATCGCTTTCCTTTACAGAGTCATTGGCATGAAACCAGGAATGATCCCATTACATGCAGTTATTGATCTTAGAACCATTTCCCATGCACATATTTAATCACTTTTCTTAATTTCTAAATCACTCTTATCAAAACTGGGAGAGTTTTATGAGGGGAGCGATTTTTTCAATTCGTTGATTGAGGGGAGCTTATTTTGGCTCTCCTGTGAAATATAAACAAAAACAGTCATGCGCCAAACTTGGTGAATTGAGAATTTAGATGTGGCGCATATCATCCCTGACATAATAACCATGGCAGATTTTGTTATAGAATTGTAAAAATGCTAATTATGTCTGTCAATATATTTTTATAAAAAGTATTTATTACATACAAATATGAATATTTTGTTGACACGATTTTTAATTGTGGTCTGACACCGCCTGCTTAAATAACAAGAAGAGTTATTCGCTTGCATGTAGGGGTCTTTAGCAGTGGGAGCAAACCTGAGGACCCGAAGAAAACCCACGAGGTTGGACAGGCGATTAAAATGTTTGAAGTTGAATTTTTTTGACTGCTATTTTACTTGATTATAAAATAAATATAATTTCTGTGTTCTATCATCAGTCATTGACTAATGGCACCACAATACTATTAAACCATTGGCTTTTTATAGGCCTACATAGGCCTAAATATTAACCACCCTGGCTTTTTGTTGAAGAAAATTAGAGAATTATTATATAGTTGATATTGGTATATCCCTGGACAGACCGAAACAACAGCAAGACATATAAAAATGACATCACAAGATAACTCATTCATAGCCTTTATGCTAATTTATATGCTAATTAGTAAAAATCAACCAATGATATAGTCTATATTACTAATTAATATGCTAATTAGCAAGAATCAACCAATGATATAGCCTGTATCACTAATTAATATGCTAATTAGCAGGAATCAACCAATGACTGTTAGCTAAAAAGAATCTCAGTTGAGCAAATTATTTAAATAGAAATTAAAAACAATACTTAAATAAATATGATAAATACAGCAGTCTGTTGAAGTCTTTCATACTCTACTGGCACAATTTTAACTTTGAGACTCAGAATTACGCAAGGGAGTTAACTCTGAGACCCAATATAATAAGGGAGTTAACTCTTGGAGGCACCTTTAGATCGGGAGGATTCTGTATTTTTGAGTCGACGTAGGGAATTGTTGACTCGAACACTCAGACGATTCTCAAAATCATATTCTTTGTATTCCTAAAATAAACAAAAACGTGAGAGAGAGAAATGGGGTTTAAAGTCAAATCGACACAAACTAGGGGAATGCTCGATTGTCAGTCTGGAACGTTCAGAATCGAGTGACGCTGAATTCAGTCCTGTCAGAGTTCTGTCAGTCCCGAAACCAGAGGTGGTGAGAGTAGAATCGTGACGTAATTAAACCTAATGAATATGTTTCAGCTGTCATGATTGGTTGAGATATATTCTCATGGAGTCAGCGCATGCGTTCTAGCCCCAAATCCTATTTTTCACTCGATTGTCACTATTTTTGGGTTTGACAGAATTCAATTCTGGAACGTTCAATCGAGCAACCCCCGAGGTCATTTCTGGACTAACACATGGTTCAATTTTATTTAGAAGTGTGAGGAAACCGGAGCACGCAGAAAAAAAGTGACGGGGTTGAACAGGTGACCCTACTCCTTGTCACATTCAAGCAGGGAAAGAAAACCACGCCACTGGAATCAATGACAGAACTAATCACGCGTTAAACCACTAGACTACCCAACCCCCTAATCAGGAATGGAATGTTTTGTGCTGGGTGGGAGCCATGATGGAAAATCTGGATGAACTTTCTCGGCCAATGCAGGCACGACAGTAGAAACCTAGTATAAGTTTGTATTAAATTCTGGTGTAATGTAGTAAATTGTACAAACCTTGATCTGTAGTAAAAGTTGTTTAGCTTTAGCTTCAGTCTGTAAATTAAAAAAAAATTGCAAACAATAGAAATCACAACAAAGCAAAAGTAGATAAAAAATACATGGCGGTCGCTAATTGGTTAATCGAATGACTGACGTAATCGGGTCAAATTTCGCTTGCTTGGTACCTGACGTCATAGAACATGAACTCCCACTATAACTTGTTAGATCTACATGTAGTGTAGGCCATCGAAAGTATAAAAAACGAAACGAAATATAGATCTATATTTTAATTAGATTGTTCATTTAGTATGGTTCAATTTTATTTCAATAATTAGCTTGCACGTAGGGGTCCTAGAAAAAACCTACAACCCTACTCCTTATCACGTACAAGTGGAGAATCGAAACCATGCCACTTGATTCAATGACAGACCTTATGATCTAAAGCGCATACATAAGACCACTCAACCAACCCCTCTACAAAACATGAAATTCTCTGTCAATGTACATGAAGATGGGTATATTATCAGTGGTTGAAATGAAATGAAATGAAATGGGGTTTAACGTCCTACTGTTCTGCTCCTATACTGGGCTAATGAAGACGGGCATACGCCATACAGTGTGCTATGAGGGAAATTTTGCCCGGGCAGCGGCACTATCGCCTACTCTTATATCGAATTCCAACTGCCAAGGGATCTTTTACGTGCATTCCAATGTATACACGGGACCTCGGTTTTTCGTCTCATCCGAAAGACAAGACAGCTGTCCTTGTCAGGCCCTCTGTTCTGCACCACTAACAAGGGGAAACCACGTTGGAAAATCCAGATGAACTTTCTCGGCCAATGCAGGGATCGAACACCCGGCCTCCAGGCTAACGAGCCAGCGTCTTAACCACCTAGCCACCGTGGCTCCCCTATCAGTGGTTATAACATATATTGTTACTATGGTTACTATAGTAACAGATATATTACCTGTGGTTGTAACATGTATATTGTTGCTATGGTTACTATAACAAGGATATGTTACCCTTGGTTGTAACATGTTGCCACGGTTACTAGAATAAAGGTGTATTGTTGCTATGGTTACTATAGTAACAGATATATTACTTGTGGTTGTAACATGTATATTATTGCTATGGTTACTATAACAAGAATATGTTACCCTCGGTTGTAACATGTTGCCACGGTTACTAGAATAAAGGTGTATTGTTGCTATGGTTACTATAACATCAGATATATTACCTGTGGTTGTAACATGTATATTGTTGCTAGTTCAAACATGGCGAACGCTGGTATATGGTAATCTTCCTTTAAACCTTGATGTCTAGCTATAGTCTCATCAAAACACTAAAATATAACATAATCAGCTATAGTTTCAACAAAACACTAAAATATAACATAATCAGCTACAGTTTCAACAAAACACTAAAATATAACATAATCAGCTATAGTTTCAACAAAACACTAAAATATAACATAATCAGCTATAGTTTCAACAAAACACTAAAATATAACATAATCAGCTATAGTCTCAACAAAACACTAAAATATAACATAATCAGCTATAGTCTCAACAAAACATTAAAATATAACATAATCAGCTATAGTCTCAACAAAACACTAAAATATAACATAATCAGCTATAGTTTCAACAAAACACTAAAATATAACATAATCAGCTATAGTTTCAACAAAACACTAAAATATAACATACTACAATCAGATGACTATCCCACTGTAGAGAGAGAGAGAGAAATGGGGTTTAACGTCCACTCGACGCAAACTAGGTCATTTCCGGACAAACATATGGTTCGATTTTATTTCAATAATTCACTTGTGCGTAGGGGTCTCTAACGGGGAGGAAACCGGAGGACCCGGAAAAAACCCACGAGGTTGGACAGGCGACCCTACTCCTTGTCATGTACAAGCGAGGAATCAAAACCATGCCAGTTGACTCAATGACAGACCTCATGATACAACGCGCACACGCTAACCATTCAGCCATCCAACCCCTCTCCTGCCGTTAAGATGAGCCGTTCCAGTACACATACCTGTATAGCCATTTCTTGTTGACCTAATTCTTTATATATCGCACCCTCTACCAGTGACTTCAGGTGTAGTGATTTCTTATCTGTCTGCATATCACATACTGGAAGAACAAAGCTACGATTTAATTCTATGCTAATACAAGACTGGCAAAACAAAGCTAATATTTAATTCACAAACAATCCAAGACTTTATAAAACTGAATAATTTAAGATGACTCCAGTGAAAAGAAACAAGTCTAGGTTGAACGTACTACTGTTTTGCTCCGACTGGGTTAATGAAGATGGGCCTACGCAATACAGTGTGCGATGAGGGAAATTTTGCCCAAAAGTTATGTCCTACTCTTATTTCAAATTTACGTGCACCCTAACTAGTTCACAGGACAATAGACTGTGCTAGGCCCTCTGTCAAGCACCAAAGGCAAGTGGAAAGCATGCTGAAAAATCGAACCTGGGAAGTGAAATGGGGTTTAAGGTCCTACTGTTCTGCTCTGACTGGGCCACACAGTGTGCTATGGCTTACTCATGTATCCAATAACAATGGTCAAGGGTTCTTTTCACGATGAACTTCCTCTGCCAATGCAGGGAAGCAACATGGGACCTTTGGGTCAGCGAGCTAACGTCTTACTCACTGAGTCATCGCAGCTCCCATCGAACCTGACATCCTGGTTAGTGAGTCGGCACCTAACCCACTGAGAGAGAGAGAGAGAGTTTAACGTCCACTCTACTCAAACTAGCTCATTTCGGAACTAACACATTGTTCAATTTTATTTCAATAGTTCGCTTGCACGTAGGGGTCTTTAGCAGTGCGAGGAAACAGGAGGACACAGAGAAAACCCATGAGGTTCGACAGGCTACTCCCTGTCACGTACAACCAGGGAATCGAAACCCTGCCAGTTGACTCAATGAAAGACCTTATGATACAGCACACACCTGTTAACCATACGGCCATCCAACCCCACTGAGCCATGCACAAGAAATGAATAACGTACCATCTAACATGGGTTTTAATTCTTCCTCTGTACACGTTGGTATCGCATGCCATAAAAATATCAATTCTAGAGCCAGTAGACGGCAGTATTCTTGAGTTGGTGGTGTCTTCTTCAACTTCTCACCCTGGCAAAATAAACACAATTTATATAACAGACACGATTTATATAACCCAGACACGATTTATATTACAAACATGATTTATATAACAAACACGATTTAAATAACAAACATGGCAGATTATGTAAACCACAACTGTAATTTATATTTTGAAATCAAAATCATCAGACTCTCAACATCAAATAGTTTAGCGTAATACATTTTGATATTTTCTTAGTTTTAGCTAACTATTTGGTCACCAAAACAATGACAGTCACAAATATTAGTATAGATGCCCTGTAAAAAATCAGGGTAAGAAGAATATTGTTCAGTTGACTTCATTCGACCTGGGATATTAAATATAATACTCACTCGTCTGAACACGAAGGTTTCTATATCGACCTGGGATATTAAATATAATACTCACTCGTCTGAACACGAAGGTTTCTATATCGACCTGGGATATTAAATATAATACTCACTCGTCTGAACACGAAGGTTTCTATATCGACCTGGGATATTAAATATAATACTCACTCGTCTGAACACGAAGGTTTCTATATCGACCTGGGATATTAAATATAATACTCGTCTGAAGACGAAGGCTTCTATATCGACCTGGGATATTAAATATAATACTCACTCGTCTGAACACGAAGGTTTCTATATCGACCTGGGATATTAAATATAATACTCACTCGTCTGAACACGAAGGTTTCTATATCGACCTGGGATATTAAATATAATACTCACTTGTCTGAACACGAAGGCTTCTAGACCTGGGATATTAAATATAATACTCACTCGTCTGAACACGAAGGCTTCTATTTGGTTATTTTTCTTTTTAACTTGACCAGGGACTTCTTTTAAAATATCAAACGCCTCCTGTACTTCTCCCATTGCTCCTGTGCAAACTGACAAATGACAGAAATATGAGAAAGAGAGAAATGAAATGAAATGGGGTTTAACGTCCTACTGTTCTGCTCCTAACCTGGGCTAATGAAGACGGACATACGCCATACAGTGTGCTATGAGGGAAATTTTGCCCGGGCAGTGGCACTATCGCCTACTCTTATATCGAATTCCAACTTTCAAGGGATCTTTTACGTGCATTCCAATGTATACACGGGACCTCGGTTTTTCGTCTCATCCGAAGGACTAGACAGCTGTCCTTGTCAGGCCCTTCGTCCTTCATCACTGACAAGGGGGAACCACGCCGGAAAATCTTTCTCGGCCAATGCAGGGATCGAAGAGAGAGAGAGAGAGAGAGAGAGAGAGGGAGAGAGAGAGATTAAATCATTTCAGGACTAACACATGGTTCTTTTAGCAGTGGGAGGTAACTGGAAGAAAACCCACAAGGTTGGACAGGCGACCTACTCCTTGTCACCTACAAGCAGGGGATCAAAACCACGCCCCATTGACAGACCTTATGATTTCCTGCTCAAGTTATACCACTAACCCAACCTCCCGATAAGTAAAAGAAGAAATATCTAATGAAAACCATTTAATTAAATTGTGACAGAGTTGAAATTATCGCAGGTGTAAACAATCGTTACAGCTGGCTATACATGTTAGTACTGATGGGCTTCTTGTATTACAGAGTTTTTCATTAAATTTACGTCAAATATTAAACCAACTTACTTCCTCTAAGATATGAATAATAGGCTTTAGACCATTTTGATTCTTTAGACAATCTGAAATATATTCAAAATATTTCATTCATTCGGTTAAAATTTAAAAAGAATGATTCAGTTATATGTACTTTGAGATTGGACTCAAGGGTCAAAGAAAGCGATGTGTTGTAAAAAGAATGAAATAAAATGAAAATAGGGTTATAACGTCCTACTGTTTCTGCTCCAACTGGGCTAATGAAGACTGAAATGAAATGGGCTTGAAGGTCCTACTCTTCTGCTTCGACTGGGCTAATGAAGACGGGCATATGCCATAAGTGCTCTATGAGGGAAGTTTTGACTGAATTTGATTCAAAAAGAGTCAAATTTCTTGACTGAATTTGAGTCAAAAAGAGTCAAATTTCTTGACTGAATTTGAGTCAAAAATAGTCAAATTTCTTGACTGAATTTGAGTCAAAAGGAGTCAAATTTCTTGACCTCTCAAGATAAGACATTAAAATATTAAATCTACCTTTCAAATCCGTCTAAACAATCTTTCCATTTTAATCTCATCAAATTACACCAACCTAAATATAAATAATAACCATGGTTATAGGATATACATTGATAATGATAAACATAGATCAGATCTGTTTGATATGATACATTTGATACTGGTAACCATGGTTACCGACTGTCATACATTTGATAATGATAACCATGGTTACAAGATGTTAATATTCAACTTACTTATTTCATATAAACACATGAGTTCAATCTCTCTCTGTCCTTTAGCTTCATCAAACGCTCGTTGATACATAGCAACAGATAAATCTGTTTCTTTCTACAAAAACATAAATACAAACAATATTGACTTATGATGACTTTTAAAAATGCATTGTATAAGATTAAGATAAAGAGCTGGCAGTTCTTGCTAAAATAGTTAAAGATACGGTATGAAAGATTTAGATAAAGAACTGATCATTCTTGCTAAAATAGCTCAAAAATATAGCTCAAAAATAGATAATGTAAGATGAAAATTTCATTCAAATTACTTCATTCTGAGCCAAGTTATCACTGTAGTTTTCACTGGGCACTGGTATATTCAAGACTTAGCCTTGCTTTCACATTTTTAAATTAAATTTTTAAATGGCAAACCATTCTAATCTAGTTAAAATCTCAAGTATGCGATGCTATCAAGAGATGATTATGGTCTGGATAATTTAATTAATGTCTAATTAATAGTTTATATAACATTTCAGGCCTAATAAATGACCTGTAATAGGCAGATTTAGCTGTTGCATAATGTAAGTTTAATAATAGATAATGAAACATGAATATATTGAAATTATGAGTTTTTGAAGTTTTGACAAAATGTAGCCTAGATTGTTTATCTTAGCAATGGTACTTGACAATCGAGACCGCCTCAATTCTTTATTTTATCGTTAAAGTTACAATTTCATATTTTCTAAGAAAGTCAAAACATAATTATTTCTATGTCTTTTGCTGAATAGGTTGTCAACTCACTATTATACGATTATAGGTTATCTTTCTCACATTTAAAAATCTTTACTCACAGCGGAAATAATGACACAATTACCTCCCTTGTTTTCCTATTCTCCACCATGGAATAGCTATCTTCAAACGTTTGAATTTGAAGTTGAAAATAATATTTTTGCCAATTTCACAACTGGCAATAGTGAATTATAGGATTAATAGGATTATTCTTTAACAAGGTAGGACTGTTTATAGATACCTTCAATTTTAGGGCTTTTTTTTAATACATTTTAAAAATATAACTTAAAAATATGAAATTGTAACTTTAAACTCTTACATGGCAGTGTTCTACTGGCCTAGTGATTTGATTATAGGCTTGTCATGTAAATAAATGCCTAATCAATAAATGAAATGAAATGTTGTTTAACGTCCTACTGTTCTGCTCCTAACCTGGGCTAATGAAGACGGGCATACGCCATACAGTGTGCTATGAGGGAAATTTTGCCCGGACAGCGGCACTACGGCCTACTCTTATACCAGTACCGAATTCCAACTGCCAAGGGATCTTTTACGTGCACGCCAATGTGTACACGGGACCTCGGTTTTTCGTCCCATCCGAACGACTAGACAGCTGTCCTGCATCACTAACGAGGGGGAACCACGCCGGAAAATCTGGATGAACTTTCTCGGCCAATGCAGGGATCGAACACCCGACCTCCAGGCTAGCGAGCCAGCCAGCGTCTTACCCACGAACATTTGAAGGTAAAATAAAGACCTGCAATAGACAGATTTAGCTCTTACACAATGTATCATAATGTTTCCTGGGTAATATCTAATTTTTCATGGTTTAATCCATTCTAAAATCTACTCAAACATACAAATTAAAGAGGTATTATGCAACAGCTAAATCTGCCTATTGCAGATCTTTCTTTAGGCCAGAAATGTTATATAAATTATTAATTAGACATTAACTAACATGACAAGACCATAATTAGTGTTAAATGAATACTGGAAACAGGAAAAGGGTACGGCAACACTCCCTTAGAGAGTAATTAAAGCTGGACAGGCTGATACATCTGCGTAGAGACTGGATCAAAAGATGATACCGGCGTGGCAGAGTAGTAAAATAAAATTAAAGAATCCCCGTTCAACAGAATACACAACAGACTTGTAGAAATAGAAGATTGTTTAATGGGTCGACGTTTCGGGTGCGATACCCTTTATCAAGATAAATGTTATCTTGATATGTTAAATGAATACATCGCTATGTACAAGCTCTGTATTGAACATATTATCATACATAGTAAACCCCACGAAACACCTACTTTCTATATCTACCCACAGCTCAGCACCATATGTCTTGCAGCTTGTCAAGATCGCATGATCCATAGGCTTAATCCTTATAAGACATATAGAGGTAGATTTCACAAATTAAAAACACTTATATGGATATTTATTAGTTTGATCTTCTAAATTCAAATAATTTCTAATTGTTATCAATGCATTACAATCTTTCAATTTGTTAATCCTTTGTAATTGTTTATCAATATTATTACTTCTCTCATCTTGTTAATTCTTAATTAATGATTAATCTGTTACATGGTTTCCAATTGTTAACTATATATTTCACCACAGTTTTGTTAAATATAATTATTTGCTTGATAACGATATCTGTATGTGCAAGGCTCTACACAGCATTTTGAACTTACTTGTGCAAACATAAGTAAATTTTCAAAACCACTAGCCAAACAAAATTTTCAGTTGCCAAGTCTGAAGATTAGAATAATTTGTCGTATGATATAGCTAAATATATTGTGAACATACATAACTCGTCGTCCTATAATAATAATAAAAAAAGATGTTTTAAACATTTTTTTCCGACTGGGACTCACTGCGAGACTAAGACGGCGGTTGGCGAAGCTTGTAATTTTGCTTGTATGGGTGGTGTAGCGTCAGTAGCATGACTATCATCATTTTTCCCCAACTGAGACTCACTGCGAGACGAAGTTACTTTACTAGTAAAGTAAGACGATATAGGTTTGATTCGTCTGCTAGCCATGCTGTCAGCTGTCTCGCAAACTTCCGATAAATACAGCGCATGCGCAATGAGAATTTCCTCGCAGAGGACAATGAGATTGACCCAATTTCAAACCAGGAAAGTAACAGAGTGACATTTGACTGGGATCATTGCCGATTACGTTATCTTTACGGAGAAAAGTTCAGATAGCTATAGTGTTCATTGGGGACTTCAAGATATATGTTCACTCGCCAGAAACCTAGCATTTATAAATATCTGGTCGCCATTGTCAAAATTCACTCGCAAATGCGAGTGTTTCAGTCGCATTGTAGAGCCTTGTGTATGTGTATCGAAACGTAGCATGTTAATAAATTCTGAAGTAGTATATCAATATAAGTGTTTTTAATTAGATCCATAGGCTATCGGGCAAAATAAGATCTATCTGACATACTCCATTGTCATATTTTTTGAAAGAGTGCAACCCCTCCCCTCATCCGGTGTCACATGGTTTGAAAAACTCTAGCCACTCCCCACCCTGTGTTTCACATTCAGATGAAAGTTTACGTAATGATGTACAGACTTACCCGTAATCTGTGAATCCGTCCACGGAAAAATAAAAACAGAGACGAATTTGGGAAATCTTTTTCTTTCTGTGATATGATAGCTTCTGCATCAGATGTTCCTATAATTTATATCAATTGTCTTTATTAGGCCAGTCGGTGCAGAACGGTAGGGAGAGAGATAGAGAAATGGGGTTTAACGTCCACTCGACACAAACTAAGTCATTTCGGGACTAACATATGTTTCAATTTTATTTCAATAATTGTCTTGCGAGTACATGTAGGTGCCTTTAGCAGTGGGAGGAAGCCAGAGGTTGGACAGGCGACCCGACTACTTGTTAAGTGCAATTGGGGAATCGAAACCATGTCAGTTGACTTAATGACAGACCTTATGATACAACGAGCACGCCAGAACAGTAGGACATTAAACCTCATTTCATTTCAGTACCAACCAGACTAATGAAGATGAATTATACAGTGTGCTATGCGGAAAATTTTGCCTCGACAGCAGTGGTGCAGCCTGCTATTATTTCGATTTCTAAATGTTCGTGGATCTTCAGCATGCTGCTGCATGAGAAAATAACCCAGGACATTCTGGTGAACCCGGGACACAATAACCCAGGACATTCTGGTGAACCCGGGACACAATAACCCAGGACATTCTGGTGAACCCGGGACACAATAACCCAGGACATTCTGGTGAACCCGGGACACAATAACCCAGGACATTCTGGTGAACCCGGGACACAATAACCCAGGACATTCTGGTGAACCTGGGACACAATAACCCAGGACATTCTGGTGAACCCGGGACACAATAACCCGGGATATTTTGGTCACCATCGACTCAACAAAAGGGGGCATTTTGGTGAACACAACAACCTAGGACATTCTGGTGAACCCCGGATACAACAACCTGGGACACAAGAGCCCGGGACATTCTGGTGAACCCCGGATACAACAACCTGGGCCAAAACATCCTGGGCCATTCTGGGGAACCACAGATACAACACTCCGGGATACACCAACCTGAGACACAACAACTTAGGATATTCTGGTAAACCCTGGATTCAACAACCTGGGACACAAAAACCTGGGACACTCTGGTGAACAACACGGGACATTCTGGTGAACAACACGGGACATTCTGGTTGTGATCTAACCATATCGTAAAAAAAACCCAAAACTTACCAGCACTGAAACCATTAGCACCATCTATAGCGAAAAACGGTCGTAAAACAGTATGATACCACAATAATCCCAACGTGGCTAAAGGTGCTTTCATATCTTCTGAATGACTTGTATAATCCAACGCAACAAGCCCAGCTTCTCGATCACCTTCAAATCCTAAAAACTCAATCAATTTTAATATCTTTGGCGGCATGATGGAGATACACAACTGGAATGTTCCATAACCGAAATTAACGGCACCTAATAACCGACCAACCAATTGTTCACTTAGTTCATTCGAGTTCCCGTCTATGCCACTGTCAGCGTCTTCCGATGATGAGTTAGAATTTCCGTTAATTGTTGTTGATTGAAGACTGGCCTGCATCTTGTTAATTTTAGCTTGGATTTGACGGTTCCGTATTTGGTTAATCTCACGATGTAGTTTTTCGTATATTTTCCAGGCTTTACGTAGATACCACCCACCCTTGACGTAACTTGGTATATCTTGATTCGTGAAGGTTAAGATTGATTGATAAAGTAGACAGTCGGCCACGATAATCTGTCGCTGTAGTTTATCTTCTAGACTAATACTAGCAACATTCTGTAATAAATATATAACATATATCATTTGGTTCAAAATTTCATCTTTACTACACTAGGATCTGGAACAGTTGTTATATAACTCAATTAAACCATTCAGACACCCAAACTCCCTTAAAAAAGGAGATTAGATTTAAAGGAGCTAAATTGCTAATATTTGTGACCTAGAAATTGACACAAATGGGTCACAACACATATAATAATGTAATATGAATATGTATATAAACCAATTTACACTTAATCGTTTCCATTTTTTACTCTAATTTCAAATCAATCGAATGGCAATCTCTAGCGTCTGGTTATTCCAGTCTATACTAATAGTATTTATTGCGCATGCTCTCCAGATAAGAATATAGCGTCACCGTTTGACATGACTTGTGGAAAATGTCTAGCCTCGTTCTTCGAGTCCCTTGTTACAAATGGCGCTGAAACGCATTATGGTACACGATTGTTTATTTTGCCTTAAATATTGGATACCAGAAACCCATCTTTTCCCGGTAAGATCACAACATCGGTTTTGATTTATATTGACAAACAATTTGTGTTTTCAATGTCGAAGACTTTGGATGATACTGAGTTAGAGACTTAGCTATTTTAAGCACAGTGTCAATCAATTTACCGATTTTTTCTTCTTAGAGAGTTTTTTCTTCATATTTTTCATAAAGCTGTCTCCTACTTCACATTTTTTCTCTGTTTCTTGCAATATCTTGAGAGCCTCTGCCAACCTCTCATCTTCAAAGGACATCAATGCTTGCTGAAAAAAAACAAGAAAAAAAAACATTATAAAATTTATTTTTATCTTTTATTCCAATTAGTGCAGGGAGCCACAGTGGCTCAGTGGGTAGGATGGTGACTCTCTAACCTAGAGGTTCGAAACCTCATTGGTCGAGATAGTTCATCATGATTTTCCGGCATTGTTCCCCCTTGCCAGTGATGCGGGACAGACGGCCTGACAAGGGACAATGTATAGTCGTTTGGATGGCACAAAAAAACAGGGTTCGGTGTACTAAAATCATAGGAGTGCACATAAAAGATCCCTTGACAGTCTGAATTTGATATAAGAGTAGACCGTAGTGTCGCTGTCAGGGCAAAAGTTCCTTCACAGCTCACTGTATGGCGTATGCCTGTCTTCATTAGCCTAGTTGAAGCAGAACTGTTGACATAAACAAGGTCATTTCAATTTTATTTCAATAATTTGCATTTGCTTAGGGGTCTTTAGCAGTGGGAGGAAACCAGAGGACCCAGAGAAAACCCGCAAGGTTGTCCCGTTCAAGCGGGGAATCGAAATCACACAACTTGACTCAATGACAGACCTTATGATACTAATGTGCACATGTTAAACCACTGAACCACCTAACCCCACAAACGGTGAGAGAGAGGACGTGGAGAACACCCCCACTCTAATCCTTGTCACGTTCAAGCGGGGAATCAAAACCACACCAGTTGACTTAATGTGCACATGTTAAACCACTGAACCCCACAAACGGTGAGAAACCCCCCAAGGTTTGGCAGGCCTTGATTCTAATCAGACCACATCTGTTTTTGGGTGTGGTTAAAATGTAACTCGAAACGAATCCTTTTCATTCGATTGCAATTCCATCAATTCGGAATGTTTCGTAGTGAAATCAAGAAACCATTTTGCAGTGAATAGGATGCCGAGATAGAATATCTAAATAAACTTACCATGAAATAGACAAAACTGTAGCCAGCTTGCATTAACGGACTTTCATTTCTGAAATATAACAATTTATCACAGTATTAGTATTAGTCCCCGACTTCACAGGGTACCTGTTGGGAATTAGTCTTTCGGATGGGACGAAAAAAAACCCTGAGGTCCTGTATACTCATTGCTTTTATTTAAATCTATTTGATTGTTTTATAAATAAAGTGGTAGAGTGGGTAATCCACTAGTAACGTCAATGCTGATTGGTTAATCAAATGTCTGACGTCCTAGGGTCAAAAGCTGCTCGTATGACCTCTGACGCGACCTATCGCTACAACCGGTCATATCTTCATGTAGTGTAGGCCATCGAAAGTATAAAAAAACGAAATGAAATATAGATCTGTATTCTAATCAGATTGGGGTCCCGATATCTGGGGGAAATTCCCCTCAGGGCACACTGTAAGACATATGCCAATTTTCATTAGCCCAGCAGAAGCTAAACACCATTTCATTTCATATCTGTCTGTTGGGAAAAGTTGGTTTAATTGCCTAAATTCTGTCAGCTCCAATAACAGATGTCCACTCGACACAAACTAAGTCATTTCGGGTCTAACACATGGTTCAATTTTATTTCAATAATTCGGTTGCGTGTAGGGGTCTTTAGAAATGGGAGGAAACCGGAGAACCCGGAGAAAACCCACGAGGTTGGACAGACGACCATACTCCTTGTCACGTACAACCAGGGAATCGAAACCACGCCAGTTGACTCAATGACAGACCTTATGATATAGCGCTCACATGCTAACCATTTGGCCATTTTACCCCCCCCCCACCCGACATATGACTATTGTGCCTGGTGTTTAACGTCTGTTTGCACCAACGGTAGTATCGCAGACTAGTTGTCTTATTTCAAAATATTGAGCGCATGTGCATGTGTCTTTCGTGCAGGAGGAAGATGGAGGACCTGGGAGTCGAGAGACAAAAGGACATGGGTTTAACATGCTCTCGACACAGAGTAGGTAATTTTGGGACTAACATATGGTTCAGTTTTATTTCAATAATTCGCTTGTTTGTAGGGGTCTTTTAGTAGTGGGAGAACACGGAGAAAACCCATTACATGTAGGCTGGACAGGCGACCCCACTCCTTGTCATGTACAAGCGGGGATTCGAAACCATGCCACTTGACTCTATCACAGACCTTATGATTTTACGCACACGCGCTAAACCACTAGACCACCCACCCCTGTTTCCTATTGAGGCTAAGAAGGCGCCCCTATCTCCAAGCTACATGTACCATCACACCAGGGATGGAGACGGTGACTGCAAGCCAGAGGTGACTAGCCAGCGAGAGATTTAGACCACTAGACCATCCCAAGTCATATGTATGATCACACCAGGGATGGGAGACCGTGATTGCAAGCCAGGGGTGACCAGCCAGCGAGATATCTATACCACAACTAACATTATATTATAATAAATCAATCTACTTTTGGCTCAGACATAAACAATTGATTTCTGCTTGTGGCTGGCTAATCCTCATAGTACTGGTATAAAGATTATACATCAACTAATGATAATGTCATCTGACTTACAGACAATAATTTAAAGATTGTACAAGCTTTCCAGACTTGTTGGTTAAAGATGCATTTTCTAAGATCTAAATCTGCTTATTGCAGGTTTTTATTTTGACTTCAAATCTTACAGGTCACTTCGGGACTAACACATGGTTCAATTTATTTCAATAATTCGTTTGCCCGTAAGGGTCTTTAGTAGTGGGGAGGAAACCGGAGGACCCGGAAAAAAAACCATGACAGGTTTGTCACATACAACCGGGGAATCTGTTAGGAATAATCAGTAACTTTCATAAAGAACACGCCCACATGATGAACACGCCCACATGACGTCATCTACCTGCCACGGTGTATTCATACCAACTGGTTATATCATTTTAAAGATTCTTGCACACACCATTCAACTAAGTGCTGGACATGTATTGATAATAGACAAGAGAGAGAGAGAAATGGGGTTTAACGTCCACTCAACACAAACTAGGTCATTTCGGGACTAACATATGGTTTAATTTTATTTCAATAATTCGCTTGGCGTTGCGAGTAGGGGTTGGACAGGCGACCCTACTCCTTGTCACGTACAACCGTGGATTCAAAAAAAAAAAAAAAAAAGACAAGTTTGTGCCAAATAAAACGACAAAGTCGTTTTTTGTGCCTGACATAGTCTGCGACAGGTGCCTTATATCAGCTTGTTCTTGTAAACTATAATATTGTGAAAGTTGAATCTCTATTAGGAATAATCAGTCCATAAATAATTTTGTGGGAATGCATCTTTAAAACATATTTTCATAAAATGAACTTTTACTCTTTAAAAAAATGATTCTCATGTCATTTATTAGAATATTTTCATTAAATCTTTACTTTTCAAAAAAATGACCTGATGGCAATTTGATTAAAATACAGATCTATATTTTGTTTCGCTTTTTTATACTTCCGAGGGTCTCTACTACATGAAGATCTGATCACTTCAGGGGTCATACCAGCGGCTTTAGATCACATGACGTTAGACATTGATTGATCAATAATCATTGACGTTTCTAGGGGTTTATCCACAGTTCCGTGCAGAGAACGCCTAGAACTCCCCATAACAGACCGTTTCATTGGCTAATCTCTCACTTCAACCAAAATGCTGGTAACCTAACAACTCTTCCAGATTCTAGTGTAGTAAAGACAAGTAAAATGAAATTTTGTACTATAAAAAACGAAACGAAATAGGATCTGTGTCTTAATCAGATTGACCTGATTTTTAAATTAATTAGGTCAGATATACATGTATTTATTGTATGAATGTGTGTTATCTATATAGTAGTTATTTATCTCTCACATGTACTACATTCTAACTTGATAACAATATCATGTTTACACACAAGCTTGTGATGGCCAGTACAAATAAATGGTTGCTAATTATCTCACACTTGTAAAAAATATACCACACTTAGATGACTCCCACAAATTGATGGAACAGGGATTACACATTAACTTGATGGGAGGTACAACACTACAAATAAATATATAGATATACCACACTTAGATGACTCCCACAAATTGATAGAATGGAGATCACACATTAATTTGATGGGAGGTAACAACACTACAAATAACTGAATGGTTGTTAATTATCTCACACTTGTAGTAAATTAAACATTTGCCTGAGATGAAGTGATCCAATGAATGGAATGGAGATTCAGATTACACATTATCATGATAGGGGCAGTACAAACAAAGAGAGAGAGAGAGAGAGAGAGAGAGAGAGAGAGAGAGAGAGAGAGATTTTAACCCACTCGACACAAACTAGGTCATTTTGGGACTAACATATGGATCAATTTTATTTCAATAATTTGCTTGTATGTAGGGGGCTTTAGCAGTCGGAGGAAACCGGAGGTCCCGGAGAAAAGCCACGAGGTTGGACAGGCGGTCCTACTCCTTGTCACGTACAACCAGGGAATCGAAACTATGCCAGTTGACTCAGTGAAAAGGCCTTATGATACAGCGCCAAAGTAAAGCACCACTGCCCACTGAGTTACATTAATGTTGGATATTTGGTACTAATATAAATGATAAATTATTATTATTATATCTAGAGCTTATCTAAATAACTAAAAAAAATATTTGATGACATTGACAAAGAAGAAATTCATTAATTTTGTTTTGTTCATAGCAAACATGCAAGGTTTTATTATTTTTGGACAAAAAATGACAGATTTCTGTATCGATATGAAAGAATTAAGGAAGTTAATATATTACGTCATTATATTTCCTTTCCAACTGATAAAAAAAACACCTGTTAAATGACTAGCCACAATTACTCAACAACTATACATGTAAATTTATACACTTGGAGAGAGAGAGAGTTTAATCTGCCGACACAAAGTTGGAAAATGTCCTGTCCTGTCCTTCTTAGGGTCATTAAATCTGATCCCCAATCTAATAAAAAAAAGACTCATTCCATTTAAATCTGTTGATCTTATATATTTTTAGTGGGAGCAGAACAGTAGGACGGAGTAGAACAGTAGGAGGTTAAACCCCATTTCCTTTCCTTTATATACCGGTATTACTGACTCAGTGACTGTTATTCTAAAATCAAAATTGTCATTAAAATGGCTGAAAAAAAGTATAAATATTGAAATATTGCTGGGGAAAACAAGCAAAATGTCTGTCAGAGCAGAACCACATCCAATAAGCATTGTCATTCTGAGTGCACAGAGTAGGCCTACCGGTGGCAGTTAAAGCCGGGTTACGTCGGAAATTGCGACTAGTTTTTGACACTTCTTACAAATCATGTGACAATGACATGAGATTCAATTTGGATTATGCCTAGAATACATTATACCTTCGGGCCTATCCAGGTCTATCCCAGTCAAATTCATTTAATAAGAAATTTAATCAATAAAATAAATTAACAGCCAATCAATTAAACTCACTTGTATTTATCGAAGAGGGCACGGGCTTCGTCATAACCGCTATTCAACAGCATATTCATTCCTGTTAACGCCATTTCTGACTCGTCGATGCCACCGCTTTCATCTCCATCTTGCGAAGTCATATCTTCTATTTCTGTGCCGTCCGCCATTATCTTTTTTCAGGCTATTACGTTTTTATATTAGAACAGTTAATGAAAACGTATTTTTGGGTTTTTCGCGAAGTTACCAAAGGTTGTCCATGTTGTTTAGTAACTGCCTCACTTTCACACCGGAAGAACAAGGTGCACGAAGAAAGATAACTCCAATTAAAGTGGACATTTTAAACAAAGATATTGATGAAGAGGTGGAATTTTTCTTATTAATGTTTATATATTAACAGGGATGTATGATATTCCATCCCCCCCCCCAACAAGAAACTTCTTATTGGGTCGGCTTGGTTCCAAAAAAATAGACTGCAAACTGTCTGGCCCAGCTGATGTATATTAAAACTGAGTAGGCCTAATCTTCGTTTCAATAAAAAAAAATTACAATGTTTCTTCACTTTTCTTAAATTCTTATTAGTTTATTATGTGCTTTTTTTTAGGTGAACTGTTGGAAGTCGGAACACTGCTGTTCGGAAAAAAATTCCCCATTCATATCACACTAGGGGGGTTGGATGGCCAATGCTTAGCATGAGTGCAGTAATATGTAATAGCATGGACCTTATAATGTAGGCCTATTATAAGGTCCATGGTAATAGGCATTGCCTGAGTAGTTTCTCAAGTGATACCAGTAATGTTAAATCATCTCGTTTTTCCGAATTAAATTTAATTTAGATCTAAATTGTATGATTAATTTTGTTTAAAAAAAGGAACAAAAAAAAGTGTGAGAATTATTTTCATTGACGTCAGAATATATGTAATATGTAATAGCATGGACCTTATAATGTAGGCCTATTATAAGGTCCATGGTAATAGGCATTGCCTGAGTAGTTTCTCAAGTGATACCAGTAATGTTAAATCATCTCGTTTTTTCGAATTAAATTTAATTTAGATCTAAATTGTATGATTAATTTTGTTTAAAAAAAGGAACAAAAAAAAGTGTGAGAATTATTTTCATTGACGTCAGAATATATGTGACGTCATTGATTAAACACGTCATAAAAACATTTCTATGAGTCGCGTAATCTCGCTTGGGCGAGATTTGGTTAGTTGGCATGCGCATTGCCATTTTTGCCCAGTGTATCCGGTTCCAGTCTGAATTTTTTTTAAATCAACAGTCTGTGGTGGCAGATTAAATTACACTCGTGTGTTACCGGAAAAGAGCTTTGCTAATTAAAGAGCGCGATGCTTTAGAGCTTTGCTCTATATCATAAAATATGGTCTGTCATTGAGTCAACTGGCGTGGTTTCGATTCCCCGGTTGTACGTGACAAGGTGTAGGGTCGCCCGTCCAACCCTGTGGGTTCTCCGGTTTCCCCCTACGCTTTGGCTAATTATTGAAATAAAATTGAACCATATGTTAGTTTCGAAATGACCTAGTTTGTGTCGAGTGGACGTTAAACCCCATCTCTCTCTCTTTCATTAGCCACCCCCTACCCCCCATTTCATTTTATTTCGATTTTGTTATTTCAGAAACTGAGCAACCGTCGGACAGTGTGGGGTATTGTCATGGTGATGGAGAACAGTTCGACATGCCAAGATCAAAGAACTTTACTCCGTGAAAAATTTCTACGCATGTTGGGTAGTTTAAATGGAAAAACAGCACAGATAGTAATGTACGAAAAGGCATTAGTGCAGGGAATTTTAGGACCAGCCGATGTCGACTTCCACCATTTTCAAGTTTGTGAATTAAAGACACCAATGGGAGTTTTACCCGATGCCATATTGAGAACATCAGATATGATATCAGTTAAAATAGAAAATGTCGACCAAAGTTGATATTACACGTAATATAGTTGATCAAAGTTGATTTTAATGTAGTGTACCAGGTGCCTTATTCACAAAAACTGTAACTAAAATATTTTAAGAATTCATTTTTTCATTGGCTAAGAGCTCAGATTTGTACACTAGGATTTTAGCCCTGGCTCAACGAATGAAAAATTTTAATTTAAGTTTTCTTGAATTAGATCTGATCAAAGCTGATGTTACACTGAATGGGATATAGCTGATATTACATGTATGTATGGGATATAATAGATGTTACATATATGTAATGTATGGGATATAGCTGATATTACATATGTATGTACTGAATGGGATAGTAGATGTTACATATATGTAATGTATGGGATATAGCTGATATTACATGTATGTAATGTATGGGATATAGTAGATGTTACAGATATGGGATATTACTGCTGATATGGTTGATGAAAGCTGACATTATACATGTACTGTATGTAATATTGTTGATACTGTTTGGTTCGTGATAAAGTTGGAAGAACGATAAAACAGTGGAGACTGTGGAAGTGTTGTTCATACTTTGTTTGGAGAAGAATTGGCCTCACTTACTTTTTACAGCCCCAGTAAAAGGAGCTGAATCGCCAATATTTGGGACCTAGAAATTGACACAAATGGGTTGCAACACATATAATAATGTAATATGTATGTATATAAACTGAATTACATTCAATCGTTTCCGTTTTTACTATAATTTCGTATCAATCTCAATCGAATATCAATCTCTAACCTCTGGTTATTCCAGTCTACACCGGTAATATTTATTGCACATGCTCACAAGATAAGAATATGAGGTCACCGTTTGACACTTGTGGAATATGTCTAGCCACGTTCTTCCCAGTCCCTTGTCACAAATGGTATTGAAACGCATTCTGGTACACGATTTGTGTACCAATCGTAAAATGTTTATTTTATCTTAAATATTAGATATAAGAAGCCCATCTTTTCCCCGTTAAGATCACAAATCGTGTTTTCAATGTCGCAGACTGTGGATGATATTGAGTTAGAGACTTGGCTACTTTAAATAACATTATTCTGTTCTGCATGAACCAGACTATTGAACTAAGACAGCAACAAACAAGATTTAACATAGAGTTTAAGACCCTACAGAATTAAAGTACTTTTATTATAAACATTTTGTTCAAACACAGTTATTCAAATCGATCAATTCTAACATAAATCATTGCCATTTAAAGTTTACATTGTTTTCTACCGCTTTCATCCAGCCTTCTTAATGTGTCTTCGGTAAATAGTGAGGTTTGATGGCTGAATGGTTAGCACGTGCGCACTATATCGTAAGGTTTGTCATTGAGTTAACTGGTGTGGTTTCGAATACCTAGTTGTACGTGACAAGAAGTACAGTCGCCCGTCAACCTCGTGGGTTTTCTCAGGTACTGCGGTTTCCTCCCACTCAGCTTTATTTGCAAGAACGTAATGAACCCTTCCATCCTCCATTGTACCCGGTTGTGACAAGGAGTAGGGTTGCCTGTCCAACCTCATGGGTTTCCTCCCACTGCTAAAGAACCCTACGTGCAAGCGAATTATTAAAATAAAATTGAACCTAGTTAGTCCCAAAATGTCCTAGTCTGTGTCGAGTGGACATTAAACGCCATTTCTCTCTCTTAGAAGGTACTAATAATAGGTTTTGAGATTATTTTTATAACTCTGTACCACCAACAGCACAGATTTGATTTGGGGGGGGGGGGGGGGTGTGTCAAATAGTTAGCGGATGTGCGTTGTAATCAGGTCTGTCATTGAGTCAATTAGCATGGTTTTGATCCCCCTGCTGTACCTGACAAGGAGTAGGGCCAACAGTCCACCCTCGTGGGTTTTCTCCAGGTCCTCCCACTGCTAAAGACCCTGAAATGACCTAGTTTGTGTCGAGTGGACATTACACCCCATTTCTCTCTCTTTCTTAGATAAATATAGTAGGCTACTAATAATTGGTTTTGAGATTATTTTTATAACTCTATACCACCAACAGTATTATATTAAAATACTATGGTAGGCTATATTTGATTGGGTGGGATGGTCGAATGGTTAGCATGTATTGAGTCAATTAGCGTGGTTTTGATTCCCCTGCTGTACGTGACAAGGATGAGGTCGCCAGTCCAACCTCGTTGGTTTTATCCAGGTCCTCGCACTGCTAAAGGCCCTTACACGCAAGCAAATTATTGAAATAAAATTGAACCATGTTAGTCCCAAAATGACTTGATTCATGTTGAGTGGCTGTTAAACCCCATTTCTCTCTCTATATTTGATTGCCATGAGAAATGTGTGTTCAGATGTGATTCCCTTGTCAGTGGTGTATGACGGAAATGAAATGGGGTTTAACGTCCTACTGTTCTGTTCCTATACTGGGCTAATGAAGACGGGTATACGCCATACAGTGTGCTATGAGGGAAATTTTGCCCAGGCAGCGTCACTATCGCCTACTCTTATAGCGAATTCCAACTGCCAAGGGATCTTTTACGTGCATTCTAATGTATACATGAGACCTCGGTTTTCCATGTCATCCAAAGGACTAGACAGCAGTCCTTGTCAGGCCCTCCATCCTGCATCACTGACAAGGGGGAACCATTCCGAATTCGAAATGAATAGGCTGTAGCCGTCCAGCGATGTAGATCCAAGAGGTAAGTTTTAAATTGGCAGCATTGCATTCTAATAAATTCTGTCAATCAGTAGCCGGAGCTAAATGAACGACGAGTTATACCAGAGATAAACAAAGGGTAAACTTCTTAAGGATCGAGATTGGTTGTCCAGGCCAAATTTCCCACGTAGAAAACTGCAAGAAGTTAACCAGCACTCGGTTCATCAAATCCTTAATTCCCTATTGATACATGAAAATGGTTTGTTGGCCTGTCCATCAACTAAAATCAATGACATTTACGACCAGAAACTGTGCATCGAGGTTTGGTGCACGCAGGATTGCAGGCTTTGGTGCATACCAACATCCAGTATAAGTGTTTGTTACTCATCAGCCTACTCGCCCAGCAATTGCCAGGCAAGATACGCCCACATTTTACAAGAGATGGATAGAGAACAAACTTGGGGGGGGGGGGGGGGGGGGGAAAAAAGCAATTTTTCATACAATCAGCTGATAATCTGGGATGTTATGGTCTGAAATGCACGAATTTCAAAATGGACCACAATATTCGAGATAAAGATATATATTTTAAGTTTCATCCAAATCGGATCAAAATTGTGACCTCTAGAGGGTTCAACAACCTCAATATGAAAATGTGAGCATATAAAAATTAAAAGACAAAATCGATTTTTATTGTTTTATTTGATATTGAAATTATATGAAGCATTTGGATAAAATGTTTATATTGTGACCCATTGACACTAACCTTGGATAAAATCAGATATTTGACAATATAACAACCTTTATATAGCACAATCCAGATGTAATATTTATAACTTATGATGGTATAAAACAAGAGATGATCTAAAAGTTAAGATGCTAGAAAATAGTCGAGGTAAACATTAGACAAATAAAACTCCACATGAACAATATTTTTTTTTTTATGAAAGTTTTGTCAGCTATACTATACCAGATCGGACCAAATATATGGTGTATAAACCATTAACATTTTTTGCAGATTTGACAATTCATGCAAATAAATTGAATGCATTTTAGTGTTCAACAAAAATACCCAAACTTCTGTGGCCATATTCACAAAAAAATAAAACTTATCTTAAGAATGAATCCTTTTCATTGGCCAAGACCTAAAATTTGTACCGATTTTAAATTTTAACCAATGAAAAGCCTGCATCCTTAAAATGTTTTAGTTAAGTTTTTGTGAATAAGGCTCCTGGTCAACAATAAAAATCATAAGATTGAGAAATGGAGACGGTAATTTTAATGACGAGTTCTATTTGTCTAAAGAACTTATAAGAGAGGAAAATAAAGGGAGAGCAAGAAAAACATGAAAAAAGGGAGAGCAAGAAAAACATGAAAAAAAGGAATAACAAGATATGTTGATTAAGATTATAACAAAAATAAAATGGATTTATGCCGATATATAAATAATACTGGGATAATATTCACGCTAAAAAAAAAAATATAGTGGAATTCATTTTTCATTCATAATAATGGCCCCGGGAAGGAATTTTACACCAAACAAGAACATGGTCCTTTGGTTCATTTATAGTTTGTTTAACTTTGGCTTCAAATTTTAAAAATAATTTGGACAGTTTTTTATACAACCAAATTCTGATATATAAAAAAAACAAAATAAGGATATTTTTAAGAAAATAAATTTTGACATTGCGTGTTCATTTTGCTGGATTTTAATTACGTTTTTGGTTATTTCAATATTTTAAGCTGCTTCCTCATCTTCTTCTTCGTCAAATTCTCCCTCTTCTTCAGCTGTTGCATCCTGGTATTGTTGATATTCCGAGACCAGATCGTTCATGTTGGACTCGGCCTCGGTAAATTCCATCTCATCCATACCTTCACCAGTATACCAATGGAGGAAAGCCTTTCGCCTGAACATAGCAGTAAACTGTTCAGAAATTCGCTTGAACAATTCTTGGATAGCGGTGCTGTTGCCAATGAAGGTGGCAGACATCTTTAGACCTCTGGGAGGGATATCGCAGACGGCGGTCTTCACGTTGTTAGGGATCCATTCAACGAAGTAACTGCTGTTCTTGTTCTGGACGTTCAACATCTGTTCATCAACCTCCTTCATGGACATACGACCTCTGAACATGGCAGCAACTGTCAAGTATCTACCATGACGGGGATCGCAGGCAGCCATCATGTTCTTGGCATCAAACATCTGCTGGGTGAGCTCGGGCACTGTAAGAGCTCTGTACTGCTGACTACCTCGTGATGTAAGGGGAGCGAATCCAGGCATAAAGAAATGCAGACGTGGGAAGGGCACCATATTGACGGCAAGTTTACGTAGATCAGCATTAAGTTGACCAGGGAATCGTAGACATGTGGTCACTCCAGACATGGTGGCCGATACCAGATGATTCAAATCACCGTATGTAGGCGTGGTCAGTTTCAAGGTACGGAAACAGATATCGTAGAGAGCCTCATTATCAATACAGTAGGTTTCATCTGTATTTTCAACCAATTGATGGACAGATAGTGTGGCGTTGTAAGGTTCGACAACTGTATCAGATACCTGAAATTAACACAAAAGTTAAACATTTTAAAACTTTCACTGCTAAATAAGTTGATATGTTTATATGGGAAGGTCAAGTACAGAAATCTTTGGTTAGCCATGTGGTCACAAACATATGTTTAACACATAAAAAAGGAGAATTAACATGGGGATACCCCTATTACTATAAATATTGTCCAGGCCTAGGGATACCCCTGTTACTATAAATATAGATCCAGTTTCCTAAATTTTATATTCAAGCAAATGGGTAAAAATATCACTGTTTAAATTTGATGCCAAATGAGGATGTACCAGCAAGTGGACCACAATATTTCATCCAAGAGGAATTACTACACATACTTAACGTATCAACTAATCAGACATCAATCCTACTAGAACTGATAAATCATAACAGTTATCTGAAGAGTCGTTGCAGAAAAATAGGACGTTAAAACCCATAATTTCATTTATTATCTGGTCTGACATTGAGGGTTGAAGTTTGGTAGTAAGAATTAATTAAGTGAAATTGTGTCAATGTAAAATATAATTTTCTTGGGTTATTTTATTTACCTTGGGTGATGGTACCACGGAAAATGTGTTCATAATTCTATCTGGGTATTCTTCTCGGATTTTACTGATGAGGAGAGTTCCCATACCGGAACCAGTTCCTCCACCTAGGGAATGTGTGAGTTGAAAACCTTGGAGACAGTCACAGCTCTCGGCCTCCTTCCTCACGACGTCCAGTACGGAATCCACCAGCTCAGCTCCCTCTGTATAATGACCTTTAGCCCAGTTATTACCAGCTCCAGACTGTCCAAATACAAAGTTATCTGGTCGGAAGATCTGACCAAATGGACCGGAACGAACAGAGTCCATGGTTCCTGGTTCCAGATCAACCAGAACCGCACGGGGTACATATTTACCTCCTGAAACAACCAAATAATAAATATTTAATTTCTTAAAGATACATTATGTAAGATTTAGATAAAGAGCTAGCCATTCTTGCTATAATATTTTGAGAATAGATAATGGAAAATGAATAATTTGAAAATTTCATTCAAATTACTTTATTGCGCGCTAAGATATTAGCCTTTGCGGGATTGACAAGACGTGTGCAATAATTTCATCCCCCGTACCGGTTGAACGAAGCCAAGTCTCGCTCTTCCCTTTTTAGCTTAATCAAAATATGACTGAACTCTGTAATATTAAAGAAATCTGATGTCATCTAGAGTTCATTATGGCCTGGATACGTTAATTAATGTCTAATTAATAATTTAGAAAACATTTCAGGCTTAAAGACCTACAATAGGCAGATATAGATAGCTCTTGCATAATGTATATTTTCTTAAATTATTTGTGCATGTGGCCATATTAATTTGTTATATCATTATTTGAGCATGTGATCATAATTTCAGCGAATGCTTGACAAAAACAGGACAGCATATTGAGAATCCAGCTTTTCTGGTCTCTGCAGCTAGGGCTGGGCACCGACCGGTATATCGTGAGAACATCATCGGTGATTTTATCATATCAGACTTAATCACTTATTTATGTGACTATCTGGTTTTAGACATATTTCAATTTTCAAGGCTAGTTTTGAAAACCAAGTAATTCTTGGGCCTATTCCTGTTAGTGTTAGTATAAATAGTAATATTATTAGACCTGGTTGGATAAGCTTATTGATTTTTCATGTAATTACCTGTGGCTTCGTTGTAATAAACATTGATTCTTTCCAACTGTAAATCAGAATCACCATGGTAAGTACCTGTTGGGTCAATACCATGCTCATCAGAAATAACTTCCCAAAACTGAAATACAGAAGATCATATTGAAACACTCATGGGGAATGGCCAAAGAACCCAAACAAGACAATGGCGGATGGGAGGGTTAGTTACTTTCTTGCAAAAAAAGCTGCTCAGTGTGTTTTACAAAATGCTAGCCCTTTGAGTTAGTGTACTCTACTAGTACTATGGACATGGTAATTCATTGGTATGTAAATTGTAATGTGAATGGTCGACTCTCTTATCCCTAACCATTGTATATTGTCCATTCTTCTATACAATACTCAATAGCCCTACTGTTGGCGCGTTACGATGTAAGCTTACCGGTCATGGAGGTGTGAGTTAGTGGGCAGATTCTGATATCTATACAAAGTCAATGAGTACAGTTAATCTATCATCTATGACAATCTTATTCAAATTCAGTATATTTTTATTAGTGGGACTCGGAAGGGGGGGGGGGTAGCTTACTGTCAAAGTGGAATACTTGCACTTTTAAAGTAAAGAGATGACATTTGTTAACAAAATTGCTGATCTTGCCAAATGCTAATTAATACACTTATTAATTTAAAATTTAATCTTGGTTAAATCAGATAATAATAGATATAGAAAATTATCTTTAAAGTTTTAACCAGAGATGGACAGGTCAGACGACAACTCAGTATATTAATAATGTGAAAGTGGCTTGACTCCACAGCCCAATCACAGGAAACCTTCGCAGTATCCCCCGCGTCCAATTTTCAATTTTCTGACGGTTAGAATTAATTTATCGATCGTCCCTGATCGGCCGGATGCATGAGCTGGTATTTGCGCCGAAAAGATTGAACTCAAAAAATTCATTTAGAAATCTACAAGCGATCAAACATAACAGATCCGGATCGCCAAATTTCTCTAGACATGACAATGTCAATAGTCTAATCGGTGTAAATTAAAGTATAATTTATTGTGTATTACAATTACGAATTTAAAATGGCGGTAAATTAACGCGCGTGCAGAGACGATTTTCTTTAATGAGCAGTCTGAATCTCTGCAGCTTCCTGAAAAAGACAAATTCATCAGTTAAATCAACCTGGCGCTTTCTATAATACCTTTGCTCCAATTTGGTTGCCACATTGGCCGGCTTGCATATGAACAATTTCTCTCATCTTGTCTGTTACGGCTGAGCTGTGAACTACGAATCAGCTACTTGACTGTTGAATTTCAACTGACACTGTGCCGGTTAACCTCGTTTTTTAAATAAATAACACGTGATCAATGACGCATGACTCCCTAGTAACACTGCAAGATAAAACCTGCCTTCGTTGCTAACGAAGCTTTGGTGCGCTTTAAGTCTGATTTATGGGTGATCTGATTATCTGATCAAGCTTATTAGAATAAATTAAATTAATTAATGTGATTGAGTGGAGTCTACGCAACGACCGAAAATAAATTCTGTCTGTATTTTAAAATAAAACACAAAATTCAAACGTTCACAGTACAAGTGATCGTAAATTGGATCTTTTAATATAAAAAAAATCAAAATAAAATAATTATGTAGGCCTAAGCCAATTATTTTAACACGAAAAATATGTAGGCTACCTGTTTTTGTTTAGTTCCTGTTTATAGTTCCTACACCGGATTCAAGTGAAAAAATAAAGCACCAGTTATGTGATTTATAACATCCGAGAATCTAGTTATGGGACTTTTTAAAAAAATGTCAAAATTCCAAGGCACCAAAAACTAAGAAGATAAGTTTCTCGAAATACAAATTTTAATACTTTAATACAATAGAAATAAACATAAGGTTGCAAAACAGAAATATGCAAGCTAAAGGACATTTGCAAATATGAAAATTATTATAATTTTTTAACATTCGGGCCAAAACAATTCCTTCCTGTTACCAACGAATCATCTGCGTAAAAAAAACAAAAAAGTATTTATTTCTAAATTTATTTCACTTTTATTGGGATATTCTGTAATAGTTCTTCTCATTTATCCAAAAATTACTTTGACAATAAAGAAATAAAATACTTTTTCGTGTTGATAACTATCTGCATTGTCATAAAATTACCGTTGGAATTAGCTTTGATTTTAATTAATTCTTTCATCAAAGAGAAATTTTAATTAAAATATCCTTCTTATGTTTGATGTATCTTGATGATTTATTCAAATGCATTATGACAATGATTGTTCCTGTATGATAATTATTATAAAGCTTTTAATGAGCAGTAACAGGATAGATTTTGTGGTAACAGTAAAGAACAAAAAAGTAACAGTATAGAACAATGCTACTGAATTGTTTACCATTAACATATAAAAACATGAAAGATGAGAAATGATAGGCACTGGCATATCTTAGTCAGTATTGAAATAAAATAGAAATCTAAAACCGTTCTTAGTTGTTTACAACATGAGTAATGTAATGCAATTCTTTGCTGCAGTAACATGAAAGAAAACATAGTAACGGGAAAGAATTCTAGTTGTTCATCTTCGTTTACTCTGTTTATCTTCATCTACTCTGTTCATCATCTTCATCTACTCTCTGTTCATCTTCACTTTTTTTGTTTGTAACAGGATATTTATGCGTACCGAGCAAAGGCTTAGCGTTGTGTAAAATATTTGATAAAGCTATAAAATGAATCAGAATTAACACACGGTCAAAAATTCAACAACAAAAACAAACCAATTTATGAAAAAGTTCACATTTTCAGAAAAATGCCACCGACGAACAAAGACTTTAAAGTTGGCCGGTGACGCCATTGGTTGCGCCGATACAATATACATGTACATAGGCTATACATAAAACATATCACAGTTAAACAAGAAACAACAACGTTTCCAATATCATCAACATCCCAAAAGAAAAAATTGAGTTATCTAATAAAATGGCATCAGTTTTTATTTAAAGCGATAATTTCATATTTTCTAAGAAAGTCAAAACATAATTATTTCTATGTCTTTTTCTCAATAGGTTGTCAACTCACTATTATACGATCATAGGTATTATTCTCCCTCTTAAAAATCCTTTGACCCCGGAAATAATAACACAATTACCTCCCATGAGCTATCTTCAAACGTTTGAATTTAAAGTTGAAAATGATATTTTTGCCAATTTCTCAACTGGTAATAGTGAATTATAGGATTAACAGGATTATTATATAACAAGGTAGGACTGTTTATAGATATCATATATTTTAAGGCTTTATTTTAATAAATTTTAAAAATATAACTTAAAGATATGAAATTGCAGCTTTAAATTACCAAATCTAATAAAAATAACATTCAGTTTGTTTTTTTGCTTTTTTTAAATTATCTAATACAATGGACATTCAGTTTTTATTTAAACATACATAAGGCAAGAGCTAAATCTGCCTATTGCCGGTCTTTCTTTAGGCCTGAAATGTTTTCTAAATTATTAATTAGACATTAAACAACTGATCCAGGCCTTTATTAACTCTCGATGGCATCGCATTTCTCCGATATTATATAAATTAGAACGGTTCAGCGATATTTTGATTTAATTTAAAAATGGAGGAGCGAGACTTTGCTTCGAACAACCAGTACGGTGGTTGAAATTATTGCACACGTCTTGTCAAACTTTCAAAGGCTAATATCTTCGCTCGCAATAGAATAATTTGAATTAAATTTTCAAATTATTCATTTTACATTATCTACTTTCGAACTATTATAACAAGAATGGCTAGCTCTTTATCTAAATCTTACATAATGTATCTTTAATACAATAGGATACAGGGTGTGATTTTAAAATACAATAATTGTGTTGTCCGAGAACGTCTCGTGATATGCCAGCCTGGTGATGCAAATAAGCCAATAAATATTTCGAGGTATGCTTCGGTAACCAAAAAAACAAAACAAAAACAAATTATAAATTTACACATATCTATATATCTTGAATAATCTCCATTTTAAAATTATTTAATCAAAGAATTGATCATTTTTTAAAATCGAATGACTTCAATGCTCTTTAGTAATCTCTATGAAGATGGCTACACAGGATAAGTGATGATTAACTAGTAAATTTAGTTTCAAGAGAATATGTATAAATGACCATTTTGTCTTCAATTGAGACTTTCAGTAACTTTTTGGTATACAACTTTGTGATTTTATCCATAATTACGCCTCCAAATGTAATTAAATCAATCTGCCAGGACAACAAAACATCGTTTTGGTGCAACCACAAGTTCTGAAAAATTTGTGATTGGAAAAATTGCACATAACTATCCAATACAACCCGGAAAATTACGTGTTGTGATTCAAAGGAAAGAGGTGAGTAGGCCTACTAATTAATCAACTGATTAGATAATTCCTTAATAGATGTTAGATATGTATTAAATAGATGTCCAAGTAAATTATGTATTTTATATCATATTTTGTATTATGTATAACTGTCTATGTAAAAATACGTATTAAATTAATGTTTATGTAATGTAGATATTTATATTATGCTATATTTAAGTAATATTATTTGATACATAATATAACAAATTTTTTGGGCCGTTACGACCAAATTGTTTGGCTGTTACGACCAAATATTTTGACCGTTATGAAGTAGGACCCGCACTTGCCAAACCTGGTAGTACCTGTTATGTCCATAACCCCGATTATCTCCCCTTGTAAAGAGTTGTCTCACTTGAACAAAACCTCTCGTTTTAGAGAGATTAAAATCAGTATACGTGGGAAAAGTAATATTTCAAGTAATTCTGTTAATAAGTTTGTTTGTATACGGTGATTGAAATGACGGTTTGTCGATATTATTTACAAGGAAGGTGTAAATTTGGCAGTAATTGTCGTTTTGAACATTCAGATGGCGGAGGTAATTTATAAAATCATCATAGGTTCAGTTCAAATGACAAATTCAAATTGATATTTTCTAAAAATAGAGCCTTGTAGCCTAACACAGCCAAGCAGATGATGTGATTGTTAATTTTTGGAATATAAAACCTTCATAATTAATATGTAACCAACATTGCCTGAGTAGAACGAAGCTGGTGTGATCGTTGTTAAATATAAAACCTACATAGATCTAATTATATCTCAGTTGATACAAATAATGTTAAAGAATTTCGTTTTTCCGAATTGATTTTAATTTAGATCTAAATTGTATGACTAATTTTTTTTTAAAAAGAAAAGAACAGAAAAGTGTGACAATTATTTTCATTGACGTCAAAAATATGTGATGTCATTGATTAGACGCACCATAGAAATACTTCTATGGGCAAGATTTGGCAAGTTGACATGCACATTGCTAGTTTTGCCCAGTGTATATGGGTCAGGTCTTAATTTTTTAAAATCAATTCAACAGTCTGTGGGTGACAGTTTTAGTTACACTCTTGTGTTATTGGAAAAGGGCTTTGCTCTATATTATTCATAATAAAGGGTGCATAACCTATCCATAAAATTCGACATTAAGAACATTGATTAGAACTTAATATTTTTATTATTTGTTGATTTGTTCAACTTCAAATGTACTTATAAGAGTTCAAAGCTTTTCTGGGAGGTTGGATGGCCGAATGGTTAGCATGTGTGCATTGTATCTTAAGGTCTGTCATTGAGTCAACTGGCGTGGTTTCAATTCTCCGGTTGCGGTTGTACGTGACAAGGAGTAGGGTTGTCTGTCCAACCTCGTGGGTTTTCACCGGGTCCTCAGGTTTCCTCCCACTGCTCAAGCAAATTATTAAAATAAAATTGAACCATATGTTAATCCCAAAATGATCTAGTTTGTGTAAAGTCGATGTTAAACCCCATTTCTCTCTCTCTCTCTCTCTCTCTCTCTGACTGAAGTTTGAATCCATCATAATTTTGTAAACTGAACTATTTTTAAACTGATGTTATACTTTTAGAGATTCAACTTGGTGTTTAAAGATGAAATATTTCTTGTTTTGTAGGAAGTGCCAATCGTCAACTACAGTTTGATTCAGGACGAGATAATAATCCCTATAAATGGTCAGCATCACAGAACAATAAACCAGCTACAAACGCACAACAATGTACACCAGAGGAAATAGTGTAGGTCATTTTAAAAAAGGGGGTTTCGGTTTGGTTGTCGCAGGATTTAACATGTGCATGTTAGATCATGCGTTCTGTCAATGAGTCAAGTATAATGGGGTTTAGATTTCTCGCTTGAACAACAAAATACACAAGAGAAAATAGTGATGGTCATTTTTAAAAAAGGGGGGGGGTCGGTTTTGTGGCTGCTGGGTTTAACGTGTAAACGTTAGATCATTATGTCTGTTATTGGAGGGGCTGGATGGCCAAATGGTTAGCGCTAGCGCACGCTGTGTCATACGGTCTGTCATTGAGTCAACTGGCATGGTTTCAATTCCCCGGTTGTATGTGACAAGGAGTAGGGTCACCTGTCCAACCTCATGGGTCTTCTCCTGGCCCTTCGGTTTCCTCCCACTGCTAAAGACCCCCTTCACGTAAGAGAATTATTGAATTAAAATTGAGCCATATGTTAGTCCCGAAATGGCCTAGTTTGTGTCCAGGAGACATTAAACCCCATCTCTCTCTCTCTCTCTCTCTCTCAAAGGATTGTTGTATAATATATTCCAGGAATGGATTAAGTGTCATGATTCAGACATGGGAACAAGGAAAGATGTGGCCATTTTCCTGTGTAGCTCTAGAGAAGGACATGCCCTGTATACCTGGTACGTATAATAACTCAAAGACCTACACTGGCGCATTGAGTTTAAAATTCTGTGTATGATTTTTAAACTGATCCACCACAGAGAGTCTGGGCACCGCTCTACCTCAAAGAGCTTATTTCTATCAATGTACCTTCATATCGTGTCAGAAGTGCTTGTTCGGTTTGGCTCTGCCACTCCACTCTACGACCAAAGGCGTATGGTGACTGTGCTTTCAATGTCTATGCACCCATATGTATGTATATTAACAGTCTAAAGGCCACAATTTTTGACCAAACTCTTTTTTAAACATTATGACCCTTTAATTAGCGTAAGTTTGCTTGTCTACTCTTGTGAGGCTACAATGAATGGACAAATCTTTTTAAAACCCTAGAATATTGATTCTTATGAGTAGTTGTGATTTAATTTGCGTCTTATCATTTTTTTTCCCCAGAGTTATGTCCCTTTGATTAGCTCAATTTTGCTTGTCCACCCTCTAGAGGCCACAATTTTTGCTTTTGGCCAGTTTTTTTTGTTTTTTTTACGAGACAAAGCTGCTTTGTGGGCGTATTTCCACTCTTTGCGGGGGTGGTGGAGGTGGTTGATGGCCGAATGGTTAGCATGTGTGCGCTGTATCATAAGGTCTGTCATTGAGTCAACTGGTGTGGTTTCGATTCCTCGGTTGTACGTGACAAGGAGTATGGGTTTTCTCTGGGTTCTCCAGTTTCCTCCCACACCTAATTTAAAGACCCCTACGCGCAAATATTGAAATAAAAATGAACCATATGTTAGTCCCGAAATGACCTGTTTTTTGTCGAGTGGACGTTAAACCCCATTTCCCTCTCTCTCTCTCTTTGCATGGCTATCTTTCTGTATTAAATTTTCTCTGTTTATTTTTACAGAATTTTCTGATCTTTCTACGGATGAGTTACGATGGGAAGCTTATGAAATGATGAAAACTTCGGGTAATTTGAATACATATGTAAGTACAAGGCTAGGCTTATAGGCTCTCTTCTCTTTTCTAAACTAAGATATTATATTTATAGCACGGTTATCATGAGGCTGTAGGCCGAGGTGTTAAACCTGTTAACGAAAGAGGGGTGCTATAAATGACTTGTAACATTGACACATGCTCAACATGCTCGTAGTTATTGCACAGAAAACCCACCCCACTTCTCTATATGATTTCTACTAAAACTGGTGTAAACCAGCAAAAGTATGCAACAACATTGAAAATGTCTAGTTACTGCACGGTTAAGCTCCACCCAATCTACTACCGGAAAAACAATCTGTTTATTCAACAAAAAGAATAAAGAAGATTTCCCTCCATCTTACAAGAGATATTATATTTAACCGTACCACACATAAACAGTTACACAAATCAAACCTACGGACATGACACAATATACACTTACACCTCAATCATCAAACGTACATATCAGATCAAATGAATTGATCCAAAGGCTAGCTGTACAGCACCGGGCCACTGCTGATAATGCTTCCTTGAAAATGATGAACAATAAATGAAATGAAATAGGGTTTAACGTCCTACTGTTTTGCCTGGGCAGTGGCGCTATGCCCTACTCTTATATCGAATTCCAACTGCCAAGGGATATTTTACGTGTACACCAATGTATACACAGGACTAGTTTTTCATCCCATTCGAAGGACTAGACAGCTGTCCTTGTCAGGCCCCACGTCCCGCACCACTGCTCTCAAGACCTCAGGCTGCAGACTCTGAATGTCTTGACTGACCCCCAACCTAAAGACTCTGAATGTCTTGACTGACCCCCCAACCTCAAAGCTCTGAATGTCTTGACTGACCCCCAACCTCAAGCCTCTGAAGGTCTTGACTGACCCCCCAACCTCAAGCCTCTGAAGGTCTTGACTGACCCCCCCACCCCGACCTCAAGACTCTGAATGTCTTGACTGACCCTCAACCTAAAGACTCTGAATGTCCTGACTGCAGACTCTGGATCTTCTGTCAGTCTTTACTCAATATTCTCCTCGGTCAGAAATACAATGATCAATTATCACAGAGAGAGAGAGAAATGGGGTTTAACGTCCACTCGACACAAACTAGGTCATTTCGGGACTAACATGGTTTAATTTTATTTCAATAATTCGCTTGCGCATACAGGTCTTTAGCAGTGGGAGGAAACCGGAGGACCCGGAGAAAACCAACGAGGTTGGACAGGCGACCCTACTCCTTGTCACGTACAACCGGGGAATTCAAAACCACGCCAGTCGACTCAATGACAGACTTTATGATACAATGTGCGCACGCTAACCATTCAGCTATCCCCCCCCCCAATTATCACAGACAAATAAATAAACCTTTTAAACATGTTTTATATTTCAGACTGAGAATATTAAACGATTATCGAACGAATATAGTAACAAACGTCAGATGTTGAAAAATCCATCAGCTAGTGTCCGACAACAGTTGGTGAGTACCATATATTCGATTTGTGAGTACCATATATTCGATTTGTGAGTACCATATATTCGATTTTGTGAGTACCATATATTCGATTTGTGAGTACCATATATTCGATTTGTCCAGATCACACAATTAATTTTACTTTACTTTATTACAGGCCAAGCAAAATGTTTGCTATAGCCAAAAACATATATACAGATATAAATAGTATGCATTGAAATTTATATATACATAGATAACAATATAAAATATATACCCCTCCCCCTTTATAAACTCTATTGTACACCCATATCACTGAAAATAAATTCATATATATAATCCCCCTCCCCCCTTTATAAACTCTATTGTACACCCATAATTAAACATACCATTATGCAAGAGCTAAATCTGTCTATTGCAGGTCTTTCTTAAGGCCTGAAATGTTTTCTAAATTATTAATTAGACATTAATTAACTTATCCAGACCATAATCAACTCTCGATGGCATCAGGTTTCTCCCATATTGAATAGAACAGTTCAGCCATATTTTGATTTAAGCTAAAAATGGAGGAGCAAGACTTAGCTTCGAACAACCAGTACGGTGGTTGAAATTATTGCGCACTTCTTGTCAAACCTTCCAAGGCTAATATATTTGCTTGCAATAGAGTAATTTGAATGAAATTTTCAAATTATTCATTTTACATTATCTATTTTCGAACTATTATAGCAAGAATGGCTAGCTCTTTATCTATATCTTACATAATGTATTTTTAAGAGAGAGAGAGAGAGAGAGAGAGAGAGAGAGAAATGGGGTTTAACGTCCACTCAACACAAACTAGGTCATTTTGGGACTAACATATGGTTTAATTTTATTTCATTAATTTGCTTGCGCGTAGGGGTCTTTAGCAGTGGGAGGAAACTGGAGGACTCGGAGAAAACCCACGAGGTTGGACAGGCGACCCTACTCCTTGTCACGTACAACCCGGGATTCGAAACCAAGCCAGTTGACTCAATGACAGGCCTTATGATATTGATACAGCGTGCAGCGCGCACATGCTAACTATTCGACCATCCAACCCCCCCTGTATCTTTAAGAAGGATGTAAAATGTTTAATGTATTATTTTACAGATTGATTTTATTATTTCCTCCCGACAGAATAGTTCTACATCAGACTCCAAGTAAGTTAAATTAGTATACCTGTTAGCCTTTATTGTAATCATAATCATAATATTTACTGTTACTTACCTTGGGGATCACGTGGCTAAGTGGGTAAGACGCTGGCTCGCTAGCCTGGAGGTCGGGTGTTCCATCCCTGCATTGGCCGAGAAAGTTCATCCAGATTTTCCGGCGTGGTTTCCCCTTGTCAGTGATGCGGGACGGACAAGGACAGCTGTCTAGTCCTTCGGATGAGATGAAAAACCGAGGTCCCGTGTATATATTGTATTTGTGCATGTACAGTGTTCAGGGCGGGAAGAGACACTTCCGTCTAGAGGATTTGGGAAGAGAACATGGCATCGGCCTCCCTTAATTATTAGTGATAATAAAATTTACTAATCAGTGATTTAAGTGTCAACAATACCAATCTGGTTAAAACACAGATCCAATTTCGTTTCGTTTTTATAGTTCAAAATTTCGTTTTTACTTGTCTTTACTACACTTGGATCTGGAAGCGTTGTTATTTAACTCGTGTTCTGCTTGAAATGAGGGGTGAGCCAATCAAATGGTCTGTCGAATCGACCGTTTGACCTTTTTTGCGCGGAAGTGTGGGTAGACATTAGCGGCAATAGAAATCAAAACAAAGCAAAAGAGATCAAAAATACATGGCGGTCGCTAATTGGTTAATCGTATGACTGACGTGATCGGGTCAAATGTCGCTTGCTTGGTACCTGACGTCATAGAACGTGAACTCCCACTATAACTTGTTAGATCTACATGTAGTGTAGGCCATCGAAAGTATAAAAACGAAACGAAATATAGATCTATATTTTAATTAGATTGCAACAATACCTACATGTATTCAAGTAAACTTAACTCACTCAGTGAAATTCCCCTAAAAATCACTAGTGAAATTCAAGTGCCAGTTTCTACTTGTCAGTGGTGCAGGATAGAGGGCCTTGACAGTTAAAAAATTTAAAGTAGTATATTAAACCCCATTTCATTCATTTTGATTTAAATTTTATTATCTTATTGAATGTTGTGTAAATTTCAGGTCGTCCATATTTAAACCATCAGCATTCGGAAGTAAGTTGACATCAGTACTTTATAATCTTTTATTGTTAGGGTTAAATTAAGTTGACATCATCATCATCATCATCATCAGTAATTTATAATGATCATCATTTTACGATCATTTATTGTTGTAGTCTTGACTGAACAAGCCAGTATTATCTTGTGTCTCATGTTTTGGCGTATTTTTGTTGCAATTATCACTCTTACTTTTTACATCACATTTATAGCTTGTGTTTCATTGCCTGGCAACCTATCTGATTTATAGCTCTCGTTCGTTGTGTTTTGATTGATCATTGAAAAGTTTGTTGACCAATCGTATTTTGACTAAGAAAGAGTATTCAGTCCAGTAAGGCTTTAAATTTCGTTGAAAACGGAATACCAAGAAATGCTTTAGCTATGTTACTCAAAGGCTACACAAATTTGAAACTATGTTCTACGGAAACACCTATTGCTTTCCTCAGGTTAGCAGGGAGCCAAAGTGGCTCAGTGAGTAGGACGTTGGTTCGCTGACAGAGGTTCCGTGTTCGATCACTGCGTTTGCTGAGAAAGATCATCAGGATTTTCCGGCGTGTTGTAGGACAGAAGACCTGGAAAGGGACAATGTATAGTTGCTTGGATGGTACAAAAAACTGAGGTCTGATGTACACATGGGCAAGCCCGTAAAAGAACCCTTGACAGTTGTAATTTGATATAAGGGTAGGCCATAGCACTGCTGTCCTGGTAAAATTTTCCCTTATAGCACTCTGCATATCGTATGACCATTTTCATAGCCCAGCTGGTGTAGAGAATTAGGACGTTAAACTCCATTTCATTTCATTATTTTGGGGGTGGATGGCCGAATGGTTAGCATGTGCACGCTGTATCATACGGTCTGTCATTGAGTCAACTGGCGCCGTTTCGATCCCCAGTTGTACGTGACAAGGAGTAGGGTCGCCTGTCCAACCTCGTGGGTTTTCTCCGGGTCCTCCGGTTTCCTCCCACAGCTAAAGACCCCTACGCGCAAGCAAGTTATTGAGATAAAATTGAACCATGTGTTGGTCCCGAAATGACCTAGTTTGTGTCGAGTGGACGTTAAACCCCATCCCTCTCTCTCTCTCATTTCATTATTTCTTCAGGAAAAGTGCTTTTCCTGGAAACTTCTATTCTAGTTCCATATTTTTTAAGTTTTGAAATTTTGTACAAAACAGAATTCAAAATTAAATTCATTGGCTTTATTTTATTTTAGCATCAAGTACCCCCTCTACCAACAATGGCATTTCTGGAGGTCAGAGTTCAAATAATATTTTTGGAGGTCAGAGTTCGTTTGGAAGTTCTGTTCAACCCAAGAAAACAGATAATTTGTTTGGCGGGCAAAGTAGTTTTGGAGCACAAAATCAAACCTCTGGAAGCATGTTCGGAAACAATAATCAAGCGAGTGCCAGTACATTTGGGGGTCAAAGTTCAAGTAGTATATTTGGAAATGCTGCTCAAGGCAGTACTTTTGGTGCACAAGCCACAGGTGGCGTGTTCGGCAACACGGCACAAGCAAGTTCTTTTGGACAGGCTTCAACCGGACAGCCAGCAAGTTCAATATTTGGACAAAGTGCAACATTCGGACAGACGGCAGCACCAACACCAAGTTCTGCAGGATCCATATTTGGACAAAGTGCAACATTTGGACAGACAGCAGCACCAACACCAGCCACCGGGACAGTGTTTGGTCAAGGTCAAAGTCAACCAAGCTCAAATCCCTTTACCACAAATCCTGGAACCCAATCCGGTTCTCTGTTTGGCTCAACAGGGTTTGGAACCACAGGAACAAGTTCAACAGGAAGTTCTGTATTTGGAAATAGTGCTGCCCCTAGTGCTGGTTTATTTGGTAAAGGACAGACAACTCCTGCTCCACTTTCCAACACCAAGAATACCGTGTATACACCCATGGACAAACTAACAGCAGATGAAAAGGCGCAATTTGAGGCAGATCATTTCACTTTAGGTCGGGTTCCGATTAAACCACCTCCAAGGGAACTTGTGAAATAAATCGTCGCCTAGAATTTGTGTCAAGTCTTAGCTTGGAATTCTTGTGAAAAAAATGGCCGCCTAAACACGTGTCAAGTGGGAAGTCTGAGTCTAGAAAATTGTTTCAAGTTACCATTCGTGGTACTTAAAGACAGTGATAAGTCATTATGATTCCTCGATCCAATATATGGGACAAAGACACTGATAAGTCATTATGATTCATCTATCCAATATATGGGATTAAGACACTGATAAGTCATTATGATTCATCTATTATAGGATTAAGACACTGATAAGTCATTAAGATTCATCTATCAAATGTATGGGATTAAGATACTGATAAATCATTATAATTGATCTATCAAATATATGGGACTATCAAATGTATGTTTTCCGGCAAGTTACCAAGGTTACAGAAAGGCCTGGTAACCATCTTCCACAATTCCATTTTGAGTTTGTCATACGTTAATTTGCATGAAGTCAGCTCAGAACTATCAGACCACAAGGAACAGTGCTCAATTCAACATAAGGGGCTGGCCTAGGTTCCACACTGGCTCATCACTGACCAGGAGATTCAGGGTCCGATCGCAGTGTGGGCCGATAATGTGGGAGAAAACCTATGAGATTGGGCAATCTACATACAGTATTGTCACTTATGCTACTGATATAGAAACCACACCACTTGAAGGCCTTATCATCTTAAGTGCATGTGTTAGACAATTCGACCACTAAATCTCCCACAATATAAACCTGATTATCTGAAGAATTTTGGGGCCTATGCCCAAGCCTGTTACTGCTCAGTCTCATGCCCACATTTGCCCATCAAGCGAAGCGGTATTCATGTTAGCTGTCTAGAGTCTATCCCCAGAGAAAATCCAATAAAATATGAAATATTTTAATAAAATATATTGTGTCATGGATTTCAACAATTGTATATAATTAACGATTACTGGTATAAAAAATTTTCTTGAATCAAATAAATAAAATATTTTGTAATATTTATATTGACTTCACATTTACATGTAACAAAAAATTTCTGGTTCTCTGCTAAATAAAAACAGGGGCCTGTTTCACGATATTCTAACTAAGATAAAATCCAAATTTTAGTAATTTGATTGGATAATATTAGATTTATTTTAGTGCTTAGCCAATCAAAATTGAAGTATCTACTAAAATTTGGATTTTATCTTTAGTTAAGATTTCAAGAAATGGGGCCCAGTCTCATTAATTACCACATGTAAATATTTTACCCTGGTTACAGGAATTCATAGGCTCATTTATCAAGTACACAGCCCTGATGTATGTTAATGACAATCATAAATAATACTGGATAATCATGCATTCCTATAAACAAACAATTTAGCCAAGTAGTGATTTATTAATATGGGGGCCACGGTGGCTTAGTGAGTAAGACGCTGGCTCGCTAGCCTGGAGGTCGAGAAAGTACATCTCGATTTTCCGGCTTGGTTTCCCCTTGTCAATGGTGCTCACTGTGTACACATTGGCGTGCATGTAAAAGATTCCTTGGCTGTTGGAATTGGATATAAGAGAGAGAGAAATTGGGTTTAACATCCACACGACACAAACTAGGTCATTTCAGGACTAACATATGGTTTTAATTTTATTTCAATAATTCGCTTACGCGTAGGGGTCTTTAGCAGTGGGAGGAAACCGGAGGACCTGGAGAAAACCCACGAGGTTGGATAGGCGACCCTACTCCTTGTCACACACAACCGGGGGAATTGAAACCCTGCCAGTTGATTCAATGACAGACCGTATGATACAGCGCGCACCTGCTAACCATTCGACCCCCCCCCCCCCGAATTCGATATAAGAGTAAGCTGCAATGCCGCTGCCTTGGCAAAATCTCCCTCACTGTATGGCTTATGCCTGTGTTCATTAGACCACAAAAGTAAGAAACTCCCACCCACAGCTGATTTTTGGTAACCAGAATATTTTTGGGTGTGGCATAAAATTTCATACACATTCTACTTTAATTCTATGTTGGGGGAGCCACAGTGGCTTAGTGAGTAAGACATTAGCTCTCTACCTGGGAGGTCTTGGGTTCGATCCCTGTCTTGGCTGAGAAAGTTCATCGATATTTTCCGGCGTGGTTTCCTCCTTGTCAGTGGTGTAGGACGGAGGGTCTGGCAAGGGACAACATATAGTCCTTCGGATGGGAGAAAAAATATGAAATGAAATGGGGTTTAACGTCCTACTGTTATGCTCCTATACTGGGCTAATGAAGACATGCATACACCATACAGTGTGCTATGAGGGAAATTTTGCCCGGGCAGCAGCACTATTGCCTACTCTTATATCGAATTCCAACTGCCAAGGGATCTTTTACGTGCATTCCAATGTATACATGGGACCTTGGTTTTTTATCTCATCCGAAGGACTAGACAGCTGTCCTTGCCAGGAGAAAAAATAACAAGGTCTTCTGTACAGATTGACATGCACATAATAGATCTCTTGACAGTTTGAATTCTATATAAGAGTAGGCTGTGGCGCCGCTGTTAGGGAAAAATTTCCCTCATAGCACAGTGCATGGCAAAGCTATCTTCATTAGCCCAATTTTATTTCATTTATTACGAATAATGACTAGAATGGACACTGCTATGTTTAGGACTCAAACACAGTATGTACAAATTATTGACATTTAGAAACATACCTTTCAGGGGAAGCAGTCCTGTCTATCACAACTGGATTTTAGTAATGAGAGAAATATGGTTTAACATCCACTTGACACAAACTAGGTCAGTTCGGGACTAATAAATGGTTCAATTTTATTTCAGTAATTTGGCAGTGGGAGGAAACCAGAGGACCTGGAGAAAACCCACAAGGTTCGACATGCGACTGTACTTCCTTGTCCCGCATAAGCTGGGAATCAAAACAACATCACTTGATTTCATGCGCATGGGTTAAACCATTATACCACCCCACCCCCGAGTTTAGAAATGATTAAATTATAAATAAATAAAAGATATATAATGTTTAAAAAGCTTAAAATAATACAACAATCAAATATGATTAATCAGCTGATACATAACATGGACACTTATCAGAATCAAACTGGTAGCCATCTTGGTCAACTGATGACTCAGTTACCATGAGGATGATATAATCATCTGCAGAATATTGTCTAACAAGCCAAATTAATTTATTTTCTTCAGCTTTTCATAGGCTGAATATAATTAAAGGGACAATAACACTCTTGCTGGCTTGACAGCTCCAGAAAATAAAAAAATATGTGTTAGTGTCCTACCTGTTGTGTAAATTATCCATTAAATCCTATTTTACTTGTCCATAGGGTTCACAAATATTTTTAAATCCAAGTCACATTTGAAAAGCTTTACGTCAGGCTTTTCGAATCATTTAGTTGAATTTTTCCAATTTTTTAAATTAGGTGTGTTAAGATGAAATTTGTATCATCAATTAATTGTAATATTGTAAAATAGTACAATTTGTTGACCAGAACAAAGATTGGGACATATTATTCAGTTACAACAAGAGTGGTATTGTCCCTTTAAAGATATATTATGTAAGATTTAGATAAAGAGCTTTCTTGTTATAATAGTTCAAAAATAGATAATAAAAAATGAATATACTGAACATTTTCATTCAATTGACTGTTTGAAGATCGTTTATTATTGTAGCAACAGACCATTTTATCATAAAATTTTTAAATCTCATGGGTGTTTAAATCCGTTTAAATCTTAGCCATCTGATGGTCTAGGGAGTTAAGTATAGGCTTGTCATCTGAGTAAATATCTAAATAATAATTTCAAGCCAAAAGAAAGGTCTGAAATAGACAGATTTAGCTCTTACACGATGCATCTTTAAAGACACACTACGCAAGAGCTAAATCTGCCTATTGCAAGTCTTTGTTTTGGCTTCAGAAGTTATAGAAATTATTAATTGGACCTTTATTTACATGACAAGCCCAAAATCAACTCTGTGGACCCTCGGATGGCTTGGATACAGTCTGGATTTAAACAGTCGTCACTGATGTCCCTACCGGAGACTATCGATGAAAGGCCTGTTAATCGAGGGTACACTCGATATCGAGAATGTTACTTGATAATTCGAGAATATGTGGGTGGAGTTATCGACTGTCAATCAAACGATCGTCAATTCTCGGAGACAGTTTATGCCTATTTCTAGTCCAAACTTCCAAAAGTGACAACCCCGTTCAGAATAAAGTAATTTGAGTGAAATTTTCAATATTTTTTCATCTATTTTTGAATTATTATAGCCATAATGCCCAAGTCTTTATTAAACTCTTAACTAATGTATCTTTAAACTGTTTTAAAATCAGGGTTACTATGGTTACAAGTTTTTCCGTCATGATTAATTCTCCTTCTTCTGACCCCGACCCTTGAAATCATCCATGCTGTTAGAAATTTGAAAAAAATCAACCAAAAGTTGGCAACATTTAGTTGGTAACATTCTGAAATATAACAAATAAATATTTCATGACAGGCCTTGATAAAAATCAAACATGGCGGACAGGCCTTAACACAATCTCGACTCCCAGAGACAAGAGTTTACCTTTCGTTTCTCTCTGGGCAATCGCGTCGGCCATACATTGACCATTTTGAATGTCATGTGATGTATCCTTTCACAGGTCTCGTCAGAAAGATCCATGATGGCAGCTCAAACTCGTGTTTCTTCACTGTGTATTTTACGCTCATATGTCTGAATCACTCACATTGCTCGCTAAAAATAGTTCCCGGAAAATCATGAAATGGCTGTTTTTGATTAAACTTTTGATGTCAAGATGTGGAAAATGTTCCAAGGATCATTAATATGTAACTCATGCGACGAACCGATGTCTAATTGTCGAGAAGCTGGCAGCGTTTAATTCAAACAAATCCAGCCAATCAGGAGCTACTGGGGGAGGAGCTTATGAACCGAATTCAGGCTGAAACATTGTCGGCGATATTTCCCAAAGAGAGGCGCACGGTAAACTTCTCTCTGGGAGCCGAGATTGGCCTTAACAAATATCAAACATGGAGGACAGGCCTTAATCGAGAATAAAGTGCATTGAGCACTAGACAACCTTGACCCAAGCTTATCTTAAAATAATAAATTAAGTGAAATTTTAAAGTCTCTGGTTAAGAACTCTTGATGCCCTGTGTTAAGACCTTAATGCCCTATATTTAGACCTTGATGCCCTGTGTTTAGACCTTGATGCCCTCTATTTAGACCTTGATGCCCTGTGTTTAGACCTTAATGCCCTCTATTTAGACCTTGATGCCCTGTGTTTAGACCTTGATGCCCTCTATTTAGACCTTGATGCCCTGTGTTTAGACCTTGATGCCCTGTGTTTTGGAATAATTAAAACTTATATAGGGTTGTAATTAATCATATAAGGATCATGTTAGTTAATTTGATATCACATGTGTTGGTGGACTGCGGCGACGGAGCGTGATGGCCGAACACACACACACATACACAGGGGCGGATGCAGGGGTGGGGGGGGGGGAGTGTTGGAGGATCGAAACCCCCCTCCCTGCTCAGCTACATAAATTTTTATACGCCCACATTTTCATGTGGACGTATATTGTCGTCGCCCCTGTCCGTCCGTCCACAATTGTTTGTGAACAGTCTACAGGTCACAATTTTTATCCGATTTAAATGAAACTTGAAATATAGTTTTATCACCCTAAGATCTCGGTTCCTTTCGATATTGGCATGTATCGGACTGTAACTTCATGGATTATGGCCCCTGATTGTACGAAAAATCACGTTTTTAGCTTGTGAACACTGTAGAGGCCACAATTTTTATCCGATTTTATTGAAACTTGAAATGTAAGTTTATAACCCAAAGATCTTGGTTCCTTTCGATATTCGCGCATATCGGACCGTAACTTCTTGAATTATGGCCCCTGATTGTACGAAAAATCACATTTTTAGCTTGTGTACCCTGTAGAAGTCATAATTTTTATCCGATTTAAAAAATCGTATTATTATATCACCGTTACACCTTAAGGACGGCTGAGTTCGAATTTCGTGAAAATCGGCCCAAAACTGACAGACAAAATGGCCGCCCTTAGTTCTCAAATAGTGTAAAAATATGGTATATCAAGGTTGTGGACCCTATAGAGGTCACAATTTTTATCCGATTTTGTTGAAACTTGAAATGTAAGTTTATAACCCAAAGATCTCGGTTCCTTTTGATATTCTCGCATATCGGAATGTAACTTTCTGAATTATGGCCCCTGATTGTACGAAAAATCGCATTTTTAGCTTGTGGACCCTATAGAGGTCATAATTTTTATCCGATTTAAAAATACGTATTATCATATCACCATTACACACTAAGGATGGCTGAGTTCGAATTTTGTGAAAATCGGCCCAAAACTGACAGACAAAATGGCCGCCCCTCGTTCTCAAATAGCGTAAAAATATGGTATATCAAGGTTGTGGATCCTATAGAGATCACAATTTTTATCCGATTTTCTTGAAACTTGAAATCTAAGTTTATTACCCAAAGATCTCGGTTCCTTTCGATATTTGCGCATATCGAATTGTAATTGTCTGAATTATGGCCCTTGATTGTAGGAAAAATCACTTCCTTTTTAGCTTGTTCTCTATCCATCTCTCGAAAATGTGGGCGTATCCTGCCTGGCAGCCACTGGTTTTGTAAATCAACACTTTTTATGAGAAAAGTTTCTCGGCCGTGTGCTTTATCCTTTATCGTCAGATGGGCACTTAAAGCACGAGATAATGATATAGACATTATGTCATATCACAATTAATGCTTTGCATCCATGAAATTGAATCACAATGTCATTGTATTAATTCATAATAAAAATTGACGTCAAACGAGGTGTTGAATTTCTCTGTTTAAAAAGCTCAATGTGTATGTATATACGCCAAAATGACGATAGAGACCATGCGGGAGGTGGGGGAGGGGGGATACATTGTCTCAGGAACCTGACAAACCCACTCCTGCAAAAATTCCTGGATCTGCCCCTGATACATACACACACACAGTTTTATTATCAAAATTAGCCTTTCAGTGTCAGGTAGAAATAACTTACCCTTTCAGTGCCAGGAAGAATGACAGAGTTTTAGGAAGAAATAACTTACCCTTTCAATGCCAGAAAGAATGATAGAGTTTTAGGAAGAAATAACTTACCCTTTCAGTGCCAGGAAGAATGACAGAGTTTTAGGTAGAAATAACTTACCCTTTCAGTGCCAGGAAGAATGACAGAGTTTTAGGTAGAAATAACTTACCCTTTCAGTGCCAGGAAGAATGTCAGATTTTTAGGTAGAAGTAAGACAGTCTGATTACACAAGATGGCATCCATGATTTTATTAACAGCGTATTCTGGATCTAATATAGGTAGCAAGAAGGGAAACCTGTTAAATAAAATATCACAATCAGACACAGGCGGCGTCCTTACTGCACTGCTGCGGTGACGGAAAATGGGCTCAGAGCGCATCGAGATCGTTATAAGAAATGGGGTTTAATGTCCATTCGACACAAACTAGGTTATTTTGGGACTAACATATGGTTTAATTTTATTTCAATAATTATTAATTCGCTTGCGCGTAGAGGTCTTTTAGCAGTGGGAGGAAACCGTAACACCCGGAGAAAACCCACAAGGTTGGATAGGCGACCCTACTCCTTGTCATGTACAACTGGGGACTCCAAACCACGCCAGTTGACTCAATGACAGACCTTATGATACAGCGCATACGTGCTGACCATTCGGCCATCCAACCGTCCTAGAAGCCTTGTAAAAGCGTAGTGGAAATGCCAGATATCCTGCTGTGGTTTTCATGGTCGCAAATGATCGGCGAGTCACGCCGTTTGGCTTGAGCATGTTCAAAACCAATGCCAAAATTCTACGATCTGACCTGGAAAGCTGCGAGAACGCGACTTTTTTCAAGTTTGTAATTTTTGGGACATTTTCTCGCATTGTGTTAACGTTTGCCGGCGGCCTTCTGCATTTCCTGGTCGCTGTACGGCTGCAGCAGCACAGTAAGACCGCCACCCTGGTCTGACGGGGGCATAAGGCCACACAAAAAAAAATATGCTACTTTTCATTTCTCTGTTCCTTTTTAGTCGAAAACACTAAGTAAGTACATTTCAAGAAGTTTGAGAAGCATATGTTCTGCTAAGCTTTCATTTGAAAAGGTTTAATTGGTCTTTTTGTGTATAAAAGATGTGAACAAGAGTAAAACGGCATTACAAAACAGTATACTAAATGGAAGCCATTTAGTGCAGAGATCTATTCTCAATGTAGTGTAGGTAGTTCTCAGTGTGGGGCTGTTAACTTACCTAGTTTTAACACCATCAAACATTCCAGTATTAATAAAATAAGGGCAGACAACAGTCGTGTGTACACCTGTTTTACCCTGACTGTTCAACTCAAACCTCATGGACTCGTCAAATCCTACGGCGGAATATTTACTGGCGCAGTAATCGGCAAGACCGGTAACACCCAGAAAACCTGCCGAACTCGCGATGTTCACCAGATGACCGTGATTTCTTTCAATCATACCGGGTAGAAAACATTTGGCCGTCTGAAATAAAATCGAAAAATATTAAAGCTACAGTATTTAAATCCATAGACTAAAAGCTACTAATTTTGCACAGCTTATTGCAGATCTTTGTTTGGCCTGAAATGTTATATAAATTATCGAGATACATTATGTAAGATTTAGATAAAGACTAGCCATTCTTGCTATAATAGTTCGAAAGTAGATGATGTAAAATGAATAATTTGAAAATTTAATTCAAATTATTCTATTGAAAGCGAAGATATTAGCCTTTGAAGGTTTGACAAGATGTGTGCAATAATTGCAACCACTGTACTGGTTGTTCGAAGCTAAGTCTCGCTCCTCCATTTTTAGCCTAAATGAAAATATAATGTCTAATTAATAAATTAGAAAACATTTCAGGCCTAAAGAAAGACCTGCAATAGGCAGATTTAGCTCTTGCATTTAATGTATAATTAATTAGATATTTATATACATGACAAGCCCATAATCAACTCTCTAGACCTTTGGATGGTTGCGATTTTCCATGGATTGAAAAACGATTGCCATTTAATGATCTAATTTAAAAATGAATCATCTAGACTTTGTTTATAATCGTAATAATGGTACTTGACAATCAAAACTAACTTGTGAACACTACAAAACCTGATGGGGGGGTTGGATGGCCGAATGGTTAACATGTGTGTGCTGTATCATAAAGTCTGTCATTGAGTCAACTGGTGTAGGGTCGCCTGTCCAACCTCGTGGGTTTTCGCCGGGTCCTCCGGTTTCCTCCCACTGCTAAAGGCCCCTATGCGCAAGCGAATTATTGAAATAAAACTGAACCATGTGTTAGGCCCAAAATGACCCATTTCTCTCTCTCTCTCTCTCTCACAAAGCCTGATAACTTCGCTCAGAAACGAGTAAATTGACCAAAATTTTCAATATATTAATTTTTAATTTTCTACATCTTACATAATGCATCATTAATCAACACCAATATATACTCAAATTGATTGATCACTTGGCTTGGATTCAATCCGATTAAAAACAGACACATCAATAATTTTATATTCACAAGATTTTTTGGAATATTTTGAACGCACAATTGCGCAGTCTGGCCCCGAGTTCACAAAGCCTTCTCAGACAAAAGTTAAGAATTTACTCAACTTTGAATCACTGTTTATGAGAAATATCTTTGATCCAGAAACACAAAACTTTGCACATAGTTTCTTATTGATGTATTTGATACATTAAAACAACAACAGTTTTACAAGGGGCTATATTTGAGTTAAAATAAGGTGAACAATTTTGAGTAAATTCTTAACCTAAGTCTAAGAATGCTTTGTGAACTTGGGGCCTGCATGAAGGTTTTGAGACTTACCCAAAAATGTGCCATGATATTCACGTCCATAGTTCTGATGACGAGATCGTCAGGGCAGTCAAGAAATTTCTTGCCAGTAACAACACCAGCATTGTTAACTAATATATCTATCTGTCCGACATCTTTCTTTACCTGGTCAAAATAAAATATCTTACACTAGCAGCATTATATACATGTAGCATAGGGGCGGATCCAGGATTTTCAGAAAGGGGGGGGCGTGCTGCCTCCATTTGGGAGAGCGAAGCCCGGCCCTCCGTGGGCGAACTGATGGGCAATCAACCAAGTCACCAACCGACTCATTTCGGAGTAAATTACAATTTCCACACTAAACTGACTTAATTCCTTTCCCACGAGAATATATGGGGTGTCCCCCCCCTCCACCCCCTGGATCCTCGCCTGTAGCATTCCGTCACTAGGATTATATATAGCCATCAACCAGAATTAATATCACTCCAGGGGAGCCACGGTGGCTAAGTGGGTGAGAGAGAGAGAGAGGGGAATGGGGTTTAATGTCCACTCGACACAAACTAGGTCATTTCGGGACTAACATATGGTTTAATTTTATTTCAATAATTTGCTTGCACGTAGGGGTCTTTAGCAGTGGGAGGAAACAGGAGGGCCCGGAGAAAACCCACGAGGTTGGACAGGCGACCCTACTCCTTGTCACGTACAACCGGGGATTCGAAACCACGCCAGTTGACTCAATGACAGACTTTATGATACAGCGCGCGCGTGCTAACCATTCAGCCATCCAACCCCCCAAGTGGGTGAGACGCTGAGGACCAGAGAATGACCTTCATATTTTCAGCTCTAAATTGGGGGGGGGGGGGGGGGGAATCGCCAAATGGTTATCACGTGCGCGTTGTATCATAAGGTCTGTCATTGATTCAACTGGCGTGGTTTCGATTCCCTAGTTGTACGTGACAAGGAGTAGGGTCCCCTGTCCAACGTTGTGGGTTTTCTCTGGGTCCTCCCACTGCTAAAAAGAGAGAGAGAAATGGGGTTTAACGTCCACTCGACACAAACTAGGTCATTTTGGGACAAACATAATAATATGGTTTAATTTTATTCCAATAATTCGCTTGTGCATAGGGGTCTTTAGCAGTGGGAGGAAACCGGAGGACCCGGAGAAAACCCACGAGGTTGGACAGGCGACACTACTCATTGTCACGTACAACCTGGGGATTCGAAACCACGCCAGTTAACTCAATGACAGGCCTTATGATACAGCGCGCACATGCTAACCATTCGGCCACCCACCCCTACTGCCCTCCTTAGAACTGGTATTGCTTTAGGCTGACTTTAAAAATATCTTTGTTTCGCCTAACGCGACCGACTAACTAAAACCACCCCCGACTTAAATTATTTTATTGCACTTTTCCGCGATCTTTTTATTTTATTTTGTGTGTCAACCTGAAATATATCACGAGAGTTATTTCCCTTTACTATGGCTATGGTTTGATTCATTATTGAAACTGGTTGATCAAGACGAAAGCATCATAGGTGTCGCTTCTCAACAAAATGGTTGTAGACGAAAGCACGTCCATTCCAACGAAATGATTCTGCCTCTATTTTTCTCGAAAACGGATATTGAATATCCGTTTTCGAGAAAAATGAAGGCACAACCCGCACAATCGTTAAAAAACGTGTTGAGGGAGTTTCAAACGTCAGTTTCTGGCAATTCGTGTGCGAGTCGTGCATCACGAAAAATCCCGATGTCATTGATTTGTTTGACAATAAAAGAAGACGAATGTTTGCACCCGGAAAATTATCAAGCTGTCAAATTAGCTCTTAAAAAAAAATCTGAAAAAAAACCCCGACCTACGGACCCTTCTCCTCGATTGTGGGTCGGGTTTGGTGAAACAAAGATATTTTTAAGGTCAGCCTAATTGTGTAAATATATTATATCTCTCTACCTCATTAGCTGCTTTATATATCTCATGTCTATCTGTCAGGTCTACGGAATAAGCCATAACTTTCCCGCCACGTTTTCTGATTTCTGAAGCTGTTTCTTCGTTTCCTTTATTATTAACATCCCAGACAACAACACGACATCCTTTCTCCGCAAACTTTATCGCCATTAATCGACCAATACCAGAACCTGTAATAAACAAAATAAATCTGATTAAAATTTCATTTTTTTTATACTTTTGATGGCCTACACTACATGAAGATCGGACCGAATGCTGTGTAAGGTCGTGTCAGAGGTCAGAGAGAGAAAAATGGGGATTAACGTCCACTCACTTGACACAAACTAGATCATTTCGGGACTAACACATGGTTCAATTTTATTTCAATAAATTGCATGCGCATCAGGATTTTAGCAGAGGGAGGAAACCAGAGGACCTGGCATGGACAATAGAACACAAGGTCTGTCTGGGAGTGGGGTCATTATCTGTACATGCTCAAAATATCTAAATCCACTAGATTCTCAAAGGACGGTGGCTGAGTGAGTAAGCTGTTGGCTCGCCTGGAGGTACCGCGTTCGATCCCTGTGGTGGCTGAGAAAGTTCATATCAGTGGTGTAGGACGGAGGGCCTGGCAAGGGACAATGCATTCGAATCTGTCGAAAAACCGAGGTCGGCCATGTACACATTCATGAATGCAAAATTTATTTATTAATGGATTTATTTACAAATAAGCCTATTTGATAAAGCTACATTTAAATAGCATAAAACTGTTTACAGATTGGAGATATCTTTATTAGAAGCCAAGATATGGACATTTATGTTCGGTGAATCGGGGTACTTTTTGTCTAAAATTTTATATAGACTCTTATAGAGAAAGTCTCAAGCAATTTAAAATAGACTGACAGGTCAATGGCACAAAATTCAGGAATTAACAATGGATCAGAAGCACATAATAATGCATAATACCTGGACAAAATATCCGATCTTGCTGAAAATTGGCACAACGCACGCCCAATCGATACTCTAAAGTATGACAGAAAAAAAAACATAGGTCGACCACGATGTCGGCCATTTTGAATAAATTAAGAACAAAAAATGCGTAATATTGTTGAAATCGTAACTATTTATATTCAAATTCCTGTTACATTTACAGAATAATTAACAATTAATACAACATCTAACCAAATAAGAATCATGGTGATGCAAATATGCAAATTAGGTGATGTCAGCCATATTTGAATCCAAGATGGCCACCATTATATAATCTAGTATGGAGTTTATAAGTGTCTATATATGTAAAAAAAATAAGTGGTTTATTCATTAAAAAATCTTGAATCAAACCTTACTAAAAAAAATTATTGGTCGATATTGGCCATTTTGAAATTCAAGATGGCTGCCACCAGCGTCCACAAACTATTTTATCGCAAACCAAAAAAACAAAAAACTGAACAAATGTCATCATCCAACATATCAAACTGAAGCAAATCTAAACAGCAATTCAAAAATAACACTTTTTCACTTTTTAAACCATTACAGTAATAACAGACAAGACAAATATAACTTATAATTTAATAAAAAATCAAAAAGTATCATGTTTAAATGTATTTTCTGTGATAGAAAAGTCATGCAATGATGTATTAGCATTTAGGAATCAAAGGGAGGTAATAGGACAGAGTTCACTCCCCTTAGACCACAAATATCATTAATCTGAGAAAAAATCTGTAAGATTCTGAATATTTTATACAAAACTGATCATCTTTGGTGGATGCTTAGTGAACATGCTAAGTAACATTATAATCATTTAAATTCCATTTTTTGTCTGTCAAATTAAAATATTTACAATATCCGTCATTCTATTTACTGCATTTTAGTAATGATAGTGACCCTTGTGACATTAAGGATAAAATCAACAGATTTTACAAATCCACTAGCAAACTAATTTTACATATAATTATAAAGTGCAATATTTATATAAAATTGTGCTGTATAAATAGTACTGAATCAAAGCATCACATGAATGATTATTTTACTGATTTGTTCACTTAAGTAATTGCAATATATCCTTTTAGTTTTACTGTTTATTTTGGTGGGGTTTTTACGGCCACAAAATGTTGTTTTACGTTGTAGGTTTTTGTAGCCCTATTCTCAACCCTCCTCCTTTCACAGCTCGTGCTTGCATGGGACCGGCCTCGACAGATTTAAACAGGACAACAGTAGCAAAGACAACACACACAAGAAACCTATTACAATAACACACGATATAAGGAACAATTATGAAGATAAACACACACGACGATTGCTATGATAGTATTTTTTCAATCCTTTGTCATTAAAATGGATTTTGTCCATCAAAAGGATCATCAGGCAGGATGCAGAATATTTCTGAAAAAAAAAAAAAAAGACATGAAACAATCATACAAAAGACGGTTAATTGCTTTTCTCTGAGATTCACAAACACTTAAGGTAAGACTGGGAGATTTTGAGAAATTTTCCCGCTCAACAATACTCCCCACATACATGTATGCAGATACATAATAGGCCTACTAAAATATTACTAAGTGTAAGTCTGCTGCTAACGTCTTTACGCGTACTATAAATAGGTAGCCTACTACGTAGGTAGATGATTTAGTTTTCTGTCGTAGGCCTACTGATTTTATATTTTATGAAAATTTTAATGTAAAATCTAATTAAAATTAAAATTTTCATTCAATCAATGATGCTATTTTTTAAGTAGGCCAACCTGTAAGTAAATTTACCAGCATCAACAATTAAACGAGAAAACTGACAGTGACAAGATCAAGACTTCTATAGTCTATAGGCTAGCTAAAAAAAAAAAAAAAAAAAATATTTTATCATGTCTTTTAATTGTATTGATCAAAATCAAAAGACAGTAGATGATTTAGTCTTCTGTCGTACTGATTTTTTATTTTATATTTTGATTCAAATTTGAATGAAAATTTTAATGTCGTCTAATTAAAATTAATTTAAATTAAGACTTTAAAACATTAAGAAGACCTACCTATAAGTAAACTTACCAGCATCAACAAGAATTAAACGAGAAAACTGACAGTGACAAGATCAAGACTTCTATAGCTAACAAAAAAAAAAAAAAAAAAAAAAATATTGAAACATTGCATTGATCAAAATCAAACTAGCTACTAAGATAGGCATACATTACAAAACAATGACAACTGCTGATTGAAGCAGAAGACTGTACCATCCAGACGTTTTTATTTCTGTTTTACTGTAGACAGACATACACGTCATAAACTGGATGAATAGGACTACATCAACTTCTAACGGCTCCTGCATTTCGAATGGGACATGCTGGTTTACCGTTTGTCAACAACAGCCATTGCAAAAACGCAATAGGAACCGTTTTATAAAGTGGAGAAATGAATTTCCAACATCGTTTTGCGATTAAGTTAGATTAAGACGAATTCTACATTTGAAAACTTACATAATGCTCCACAATCTTCTTCTGTGGACACGTCCTTGAAAATCTCGCGAAGAAACGTAGCGCGGCCACGCCCCCTGGATTTTGTCTCGAGAATTGAGGACTACCCCTCACTCACATATTAGCTTCGTAGCTATTTATTTATTAATATTTTAGAATAATTTTTTTTGCAGTTTGTAGAAAACATATTAGTCTTCACAAATCCGCGTGCGCGTGTAAAAATTTTCTTTTCTAAATATTATTAAAAAGCAATTTTTTCCTTCAATTTGGCATATCTTGGCTTCTAATTCGGTTAGAAATCGGGCGCAAACGGTATAAATAATTTTAGGATTTCCTCTTTTTGATTGGACAGGAAATTTGGTTCTGCGATGCATCCCCATTAGCTACGAAACGACTAAAAATAGCATACAAAAATCGAAAATCGTAAAAATCTGTGTGCCACAAAATTTTACGGCGAGAAAATCCCTCGATAAGCCGTATACGCTTTTTAACGGACGATTTCTCGGCAGGTAATTAGCGTACCAAAATATACATAACACCATTGACAGGCTAATTCAATTCTGATTCATACCATATAAATCATTATAATTTTAAGTAGAGACATCTGCTTACAAATTAGTGTTTTGTAATACGTGTCCGGATTTTTGACGCCATCGAGGAAAATTAGCCACGATGACGTCACAGCATTCATAGCCCTACGGCCGGGAGTGACGGTGACATTGGCATGCAAGAACCCTTGACAGTTGGAATTTGAAATTAAGATAATTTATAGAGTGGCTGTCTAGGCAACATTTCCTCATAGCACACTACATGGCGTATGCACGTCTTCATTAGCCCAGTCGGGGCAGAACTGTAGGACGTTAAACCCCATTTCATTTCATTTCCTAATCGGCTTCATTTTTTTTCAGCAAGAATATACCTACCAGCTCCTGTGATTAACACAGTGTCATGGGAGATATCTTTGGCGAGAAAGGAGGCTGGAACGAAAAACAGAACAATTCCCTCAATCCAGTAGTACACCATTTTCAACAACATCTCCAATAATTCAACAAAAACATTCGCCATCGTTCCGATCTTTCTTCTCGACCAAATAATCACAACCTGCTTGTCCTGGGAAACTTTAACCCCCCTGGATGATTAGGACTACATCGAAAGATTCCTTGTCAACCAGACTACCCTTTGTTTTTTTTAATAAAAATATGTGCATATATTTTAGAATACTGCAGTTATTCGCAATGTGAGTGTTTTTATGTTTTGGTCCACTGTCAATCGATAACGGTTTATCGGTGATTTAAAAGACATTTTTTTTTAAATTGAACAAGGGGAGCAACTCTTACGAGCTTGACGACTTCAAATTTACTGTATCTAATACTTTCGTCTTCGTGGATAAACAATTTCTACATTTCTCATTCTAATTAAAATTTGGATCTTTATTCCGTTCCCAACCGGATAAATTGTTGTTCAACATCAGTATTGATTTGCCAATATTGAGTTACTGGTATAGCAACTTTAGGCGAAAATTACAAAATGAAATGAAATTAAATGGGGTTTAACCTCCTACTGTTCTGCTAATGAAGACGGGCATACGCCATACAGTATGCTACAAGGGAAATTATGCCCGGGTAGCGGCACTATCGCCTACTCTTATATCGAAGTCCAATTGCCTATGGATATTTTGCGTGCATTCCAATGTATACGTACACGGGACCTCGGTTTTACGTCCCTGCACCACTGAAAATCCCGATGACCTTTCTCGGCCAATGCTATTCCATAAAACACGGGCTTGATCAGATCCACTATACATCTTTGTAAATGCTATCTTATAAAATACTGAACGGAATTGAAGCATATTTGAACAGGTATTCCTTTCAAAGATCCAACATTGAAAGTTACTTTAATTCATTAAAGGCAATTTGGATCAAAAGATTATTAGATCAAAATTGCGCCAATTAGAAGATTATTCCATTAAAATTTTATAATAAACTTGGAAAGAACCTTTTAATTTTTCACATGAATATAGACAGTATAAAATCTATCCAAAATATTAATTCTATACCAGAATTCTATCAAAATATAATAACATGCTGGGTGAAATAAAATTAAACCATATGTTAGTCCCGAAATGACCTAGTTTGTGTCGAATGGACGTTAAACTCTCTCCCTCATTCAGCTACTAAATGCCACTTAAACAATAAATTTACCTCAATAATAGATTTATCTAATAAAATCTAAGGAATCTGCAACAAATACCTGCACGTGAAAAGTAGGACGTTAAACCCCATTTCATTAAATTTCCTTAAATATCCATGCGTTTTACTAAGCCCGTCCATACCTTGTCATTGTTTGCATGGGGATGAGTTTGCATGGGTATAATTTGTATTAAAGGACAATATTGGTGTCAGTCATTATAAAATATGTGATAGAGCTCGTTAAATACATCCCAAATATAATTTTAACACACAGATCATTGCTACGGGATGTGTTTCAAGCACGTGGAGAAACGGGAAGTGACGTCAAACATGACAAACACGAGTTGTCCTTCTATATAACTGACTGAAGTAACGAGCGATAACAGACAAACGATCGAATTTCATTTCACTGATAATTCAGTTGAAGATGAAAAGTTGTTATATGAGACGATGAGGGGATATCTGACAATTCAAAAAAAAAAGAATTGGCTGTCAGTAGATAAAAGATAACGAAGAAATTAGAAAAAGTCCGTGCATTACCATGTTTTTGGCCTTTAGAGCGTCCACAAGATTTTTTGAAGTGATCAAGGGCCATAACTCTGGCAGTAATTATCGGTAATCGCTGAAAATCAATAGGCTTCTTCGTCTCATGACCTTAAACACTGTGTCAATCGGATATTAACTTTGGTCTCTAGAGCGTCCACAAGATTTTTCAACGGGATCAAGGGCCATAACTCTGGCAGTAATAATCGGAAATCACTAAAAATCTGTATTTTTAATCAGATTGGACACAGCCTACTCTTATTTCGAATTCCAATTGCCAAACGATCTTTTATGTGCACACCTGAACTTGGCAATATTGTTCATTGCCAGACACTGTGTTCTACACCACTGACAAGGGGGAACCATGGTGGATGAACATAAAAGAGCCACAATTGTGAATGAGAATTATCACTTTTATGAACAAGACAGATCAAGATGTCTGATGGAAATCAAAATGAAATGCGGTTTAACTCCCTACTGTTCTGCTCCAACTGAGCTAATGAAGACGGGCATACACCATACAGTGTGCTATGAGGGAAATATATCGAATTCCAACTGTCATGGGATCTTTTACGTGCACGCCAAAGTGTGCACAGTACCTCGGTTTTTCATCCCATTTGACTAGACAGCTGTCATGCACCACTGACAAGGGGATACCACACTGGAAAATCCTGATGAACGTTCTCAACCAACACCGGGATCGAACCCATGTAGAGTCAGCAACTTACTCACTTAACCACCCTGGCTTGAAATCCAACAGCCATACGTTATGAACAAAGACAGATGGAGATGTCAGATGGAAAATGAACGGACATAAGTTATGCGGAGATTGATAGGTTAGGAGATTATCAAGATATTGGAATTCTTTTAGCTGCATGTCAACAACCTTGTTTTTTTGTCAGAATAAAGTAATTTGAATGAAATTTTCAATATATTCAATTTACACTATCTATTTTTGAACTATTATAGCAAGAACGATAAGCTCTATGCAAATCTTACCTTTGAGCCTTGTGAAAGTAAGACAAGCCTACAGTGAGGCTGATGTCCCCCGCCGAAATCCCCAAATAAATAAATGACATTAATTAATCGCACATCTATTTTTTTTCAAAAGTATCGAGCCATCAAACTGATTATCAACTATACACTAAGTGTCATCACTCTATCAGCAGGAAATTGCTTATCTTTGCTTAGCTTTAGCTCGATATGTTAATCATTGAACTCAGTCAAGACGATCATCTACATCAAGTTTAAACATTCTACCTTAATTAGAAGCAGAGTTATGTTCCAAAGTCTTGACTAATCAAAATGCTTATTTCTCCTTAGCCTAAGCAGACAATTCTCATCATCGAACTTAGTCGAGGTATTGGTGTAATGAAACTATACACCAAGTTTTATCAGTCTCACTTAATTAGAACTAAAGTTATCTTGTCCCAAAGCATCAACCAATCAAATTGCTTATCTCTGCTTACCCTAAGCAGAAAATGAACATTCTAGGTCAATTAGAAAGAGAGTTATTGTGTCCTAAAAAGTGTTACGGATAGACAGACAGACGAACCCATTTTAATAGTCCCCTGCTTTCTTCGAAAGGCGGGGACAAAAATCAAATACATGGCCGTACATGTATGTTACAAATCAAAAGATTGCAAAATCATATTGGATTAAAATCCGTTAAAATACTGGGGCCTGTTTCACGAAATTGTAACTTAGATAAAATCCAAATTTTAGTAATTTGATTGAATAATATTAGATTGATTTTAGTGCTTAGCCAATCAAACTTGAAGTATCTACTAAAATTTAAGATTTTGTGGAACATGGCATAGATCTATATTTCATTTTTTTTTACATTGATGGCCTCTACTACATTAACAGAGATGTTCTTACATGTAGTTTCTACACGTATAATGTAGTTTGTATCAGTGAAGTGAGAGAGAGAGAAATGGGGTTTACCGTCCACTCGACACAAACTAGGTCATTCCGGGACTAACACATGGTTCAATTTTATTTCTATAATTCACTGGTGCATAGGGTTCTTTAGCAGTTGGAGGAAACTGGAGGACCCAGAGAAAACCCACGAGGTTGGACAGGCGACCATACTCCTTGTCACGTACAACCGTGGATCCGATACCACGGCCGTTGACTCAATGACTGACCTTATGATACAGTGCGTACTTGCCAACCTTTCGGCCATTAAATCCCCTTTATCTGCGAAGTAGACTTACATGTACATGTAAACACAGAGAGCGGAAACCAGAGTACCCGGAGAAAACCCCACAAGGTTGGACAGGCGACCCTACTCCTCGTAACGTACAACAAGGGAATTGAAACCACACCAGCTGACTCAATCACAGGCCTTATGATATAGCGTGCCCGTGCTAACCATTCGGCCATCCAACCCCCCAAGAAATTGTGGAGGACAGACCTATGGACAGGGTGACAACAATATATGACAATATTTCCATGTAAGATCTTGGTGACAATCGCAGGTAATTCTGTCTTGTTTTGACTATTTCCAATATACTGACAGAAGATGAGGCTAAATCGACAAATCCAATTCAATTATTAAATGCAACTAAAACAATTTAACAGAGAAAAACAAAAGGGGGTTCAACGGGACTATCATATGGTTCATTTTTATTTCAATGATCCACTTAGGGGTCATACATGTCTTCAGCTGTGGAAGGAAACTGGAGGGCCCCCAAGCAAACCCATATCATGTACATGTACAAGCGTCAAATAAAAATCGCGCCACTGGACCCAATGTAGTCTCCATCACCCAGCAAAATATTCTACAAAAATTAGTCTGGATGCATTGTCAACATTTGCGAAGAACAGGTCATTGGCTAGATTATCCAGTCTTTTACATTATCATAACAAAGTGTAAGGGAGGTAACTAGTCTTAAAACAAGATGAAAATTAATTTAAGAATGCCATTTCAGAAAACCCATTTGATTGCAATGCCAGTTCAATATCAAAAACTTAAAAAAATTTTTTTAATGTAAAATTTCTCCCTTCATGGGTAATATCTATGTTTTTTTTAAATTAATCCTAATTCCTTGTCACGATTTACGATTTATTTTTGTTTATATTAATGCAAGGATTATGGGATTTATTGCGGGAAGGGGTGCAACTCTTACTTGGCTTGGCCGAAGATACTGTATAATCAAGCAAATAAAAACAAGCGGTTGCCATGCAAGATACGCCCACATTTTGCAAGAGATGGACAGAGAACAAGCTCAAAAAAAGAAGTGATTTTTTCGTAAGTCAAGGGCCATAATTCAGGAAGTTATGATCCAATATGTGCGAATATCGAAAGGAACCAAGATCTTTGGGTTATAAATATGTATTTCAAGTTTCATCAAAATCGGATCAAAATTGTGACCTCTATAGGGTCCACAACCTTGATATACCATATTTTTACGCTATTTGAGAACTAACGGCGGCCATTTTGTCTGTCAATTTTGGATAAAAATTATGACTTCTACAGGGTACACAAGCTAAAAACGCGATTTTTCGTACAATCAGGGGCCATAATTCAGGAAGTTACGGTCCGATATGCGCGAATATCGAAAGGAACCAAGATCTTTGGGTTATAAACTTACATTTCAAGTTTCAACAAAATCGGATAAAAATTGTGACCTCTATAGGGTCCACAACCTTGATATACCATATTTTTACGCTATTTGAGAACGAACGGCGGCCATTTTGTCTGTCAATTTTGGGCCGATTTTCACGAAATTCGAACTCAGTCGTCCTTAGGGTGTAACGGTGATATAATAATACGGGTTTTTAAATCGGATAAAAATTATGACTTCTACAGGGTACACAAGCTAAAAACGCGATTTTTCGTACAATCAGGGGCCATAATTCAGGAAGTTACAGTCCGATATGCGCGAATATCGAAAGGAACCAAGATCTTTGGGTTATAAACTTACATTTCAAGTTTCAACAAAATCGGATAAAAATTGTGACCTCTAGGGTCCACAACCTTGATATACCATATTTTTACTCTATTTGAGAACGAACGGCAGCCATTTTGTCTGTCAATTTTGGGCCAATTTTTACGAAATTTGAACTCAGTCGTCCGTAGGGTGTAACGGTGATATCATAATACGGTTTTTTAAATCCGATAAAAATTATGACTTCTATAGGGTCCACAAGCTAAAAAACGCGATTTTTCGTACAAACAGGGGCCATAATTCAGGAAGTTACAGTCCGATATGCGCGAATATCGAAAGGAACTGAGATCTTTGGGTTATAAACTTACATTTCAAGTTTCAACAAAATCCGATAAAAATTGTGACCTCTATAGGGTCCACAAGCTAAAATCATGATTTTTCGTACAAACAGGGGCCATAATCCATGAAGTTTCGATCTGATACATGCCAATATCGAAAGCAGCCGAGATTTTTTTGGGATAAAGCTATATTTCAAGTTTCGTCAAAATCGGACAAGAATTGTGACCTGTAGAGAGTCCACAAACAAATTGTGGACGGACGGAAGGACAGGGGCGACGACAATATACGTCCACATGAAAATGTGGGCGTATAAAAACGAACACCTGGTTAAGCATGGGAAATTGAACTTTTCGTCAAATATTAACAGTCCCAGACTGTATGTTAAAGACTGGGAGGTTCTGGGTGACCAAGACTAAATCCAATGCCCCCCAAATCACATCACTAGACCCAATGCTACCCAAATCACGTCACTGGACCCAATGCCACCCAAATCACGTCACTGGACCCAATGCCACCCAAATCACGTCACTAGAACCAATGCTACCCAAATCACGCCACTGGACCCAATGCCACCCAAATCACGCCACTAGACCCACTGTCACCCAAATCACGTCACTAGACCCAATGCTACCCAAATCACGCCACTGGACCCAATGCCACCCAAATCACACCACTGGACCCAATGCCACCCGAATCACGCCACTGGACCCAATGCCACCAAATGCCACCCAAATCACGCCACTAGACCCAATGCCACCAAATTCACGTCACTAGACCCAATGCCACCAAATTCACGTCACTAGACCCAATGCCACCAAATTCACGTCACTAGACCCAATGCCACCCGAACCCCAAGATTAAGAAAAACCTTTGTGGCTACATTTTGGGATATATTTTATTCATTGGATTATCTGACATTTGAGTTGCTAACTTCTCACTGGCTGGAATCAGCTGTCAATCATTATAGTATCCATGGAAACCCCTCCTTTAAACGACAGAATAAGGAGCACAGTTAATCAGCAAAAAAATAGCCAGTTTGTTTTTGTTAAGTTTATCGTTTAAAAAGTTTCTTTTTTAAGTTTCTTAGTTGTCATTTTTTGTCCTTTTTCAAAACACAAAGTGTCCATAATTCCACAGTTTTTGTTTTTATTTCCGTACTAAAAAAAGATCACAGATTCAATGATTATCGTTACAAATAACCATATTTTAGTTTTAAACACATTATTGAGGTCTATATCACTTGAATTCTGTTAAAAACACAATTAATTCCAGTTCGGAGGGTCGTAGTTTGACGAGCCGATTTGTTTTCATAAATAAACACACAATTTTTAGGGGGTGGGGCTCGTTGATTTCTGTCCACAATTCAACACTAAATGTCCAAACAAAAAGATAGCTGTCATAGTCAGTCAGTTGTCAATCATGTAATTCAAATTGTATAGAAGGATTTGAGTGGATAATTACCACAAATGGAGGGGTGGCTTCAGTCTAAAATCACGCCCCTGATGCCTGCACTTTTTATCCACAACATTTGCCACCTTGTGTAAATCATAGTAGTGTATTATTAAGTGTCTGCATCATTCTATCCAATAGGCCATACATAATGTACAATTCGTCTTTAAAAAAAAAAAGTTATTAAAAAAATAACGTAGTAGTTGTATATGCTCCTGTGTCCCTAAATCCAAAATTCCATCCTTTATAATCGGAGAAGAAAAGAAAAAAAAAAAATAACTAATAAGGAAATCCACGAATGGTTTCTCTAACCATAGAACTATACTGGTTGTCATAGTAACTGAATAATTCTGTATGCACACACTATGATAAAGTAAGGAAAAGTTGTTTTAATTCTGACGAGGACGACGCTCTGGACGTTCCTGAAAAAAAGAAAGAAAAATATTAACATAAATATACAGTATACGTTGTATCATAGTTATTCATGGAGCTGCCTTGGCTTAGTAAGACGACAATATTCGAGGGGAGGTGTCACCACATCTGATAGGAGGGCCACATCTGCGGGGAGGAGCCACCACATCTCAAATGAAATGAAATAGGGTTTAACGTTCTACTCCGACTGGGCGAATGAAGAAGGGCATACACCATACAGTGTGCTACATGTATAAATTTGGGAAATTTTTCCCGGACACTGTCACTATGGCCTACTCTTAACGAGTTCCAACTGCCAGGGATCTTTTACAGACATGCCAATGTGTACACAGGGCTTTTTGCATCCCATCCAAACGACTATATGTTATCTGTTGTGCCCGAGTCTTTGTCCGGCACCAATGACAAGGAGGAACCAAACTGGAAAAACCGGTCACGTGGCTAAGTCGCTGGCTTGCTAGCCTGGAGGACGGGTGTTCGATCCCTGCATTGGCCGAGAAAGTTCATCCAAATTTTCCAGCGGGGTTCATGCTTGTCAGTGATGCAGGACGGAGGGCCTGACAAGGATAGCTGTCTAGTCGTTCAGATGGGATGAAAAACCGAGGTCCCATGTACACATGTGCAGTGAGAAGTCGATATAAGAGTAGGCCATAGTGCCGCTGGCCGGGTAAAATTTCCCTTATAGCACACTGTATGGCGTATGCACGTCTTCATTAGCCCAGTTTAGGAGCAGAACAGTAGGACTTTAAACCCCATTTCATTTTTTCTACTAATGCAGGGATCGAACACGCAACCTGTAAGTTAGCGAACCAACATCTTACCCGCAGGAATCCTCCCCCCCTTCACATTTGATATGAGAAATTTAAAGATCAATACATATCAAGTAAGTTCCATAATTTATAAAATATGTACCGATTAGGTGATTAGGCATAATATACATGTACATGTAGTTTATTGGTTACTTATTATTTTAGTTACATGTACTGCATCAAACCATATGAATTGACTTAGATTTCAATCTATCCCAATTCCCAACCGAGCAAGGGACTTCACTCTAACATGTTTACTTTTTACCGTTAGGAAACCACAAGGGGTCTCATATTTCATTTTCATATTGTGTATTACTATACAGGAGTAATTCTTTGAGTAACATTATAAGTATGGTTAACTATTTTATCCTTGAATGACATTTAGAAGTAGAGGTATAATATTCATAATAACACAATAACGTTGCATGTGTTATGAAATGTCATTATTAAATAACTGCGGAGTAGTTATATACTTTGTGTTGTGTTATGTACACTTGTATTATGAATGTAACGTGACCTGCATGTGTTATGAAATGTCATTATTAAATAACTGCAAAGTGCATGTAGTTATATACATGTACTTTGTGTTGTGTTACATGTATGTACATGTATACTTGTACACACATTCTTAATGCATTAGGCTAACCTTAAAAATATCTGTTTCACCAAACCCAAACCACAATCGAGGAGAAGGGTTGGTAGGTTGTTTTCTTTTTCTCCCTTTTTTTTTTTTAAAAGTCAGTTGGGTTAAGTGAAGGACGAGATATTTTTACTTTAGGCCTTTATACATGTACAAGCCTCACACGGTAAAAATGGACCCCCCAAATTTTTTTTTTTAATACTGTGAGCCCTTAGATCTCGGCGGCCGAAAAAAAGGCTACAATACTGATTGGCCGAAAAGGTACCTGCAATCCAGCCATGGGGCATCCGGATGGCGTTTATCTTATTTTACTAAGTCCGGTTTAAAGGTCAAGAATGAGATCTTAAGATAATGATACTGCTCTAGCGTTATCAATATATTACACAATTTCAGGCTTGACACTTTTAAACTTAAAATACAGATATTATCAAGCACGTTCATTTTTATGAAATCATCATGTGACCGCTATCTATATATTATGCAAAATTGGCACAGTGCCCATAATATTTCAAAGGTGCATATATTTAAAGATATTGAGCTCTCTATTGCATATATCTTTATTTCGGGCTTCAAAATTATTATTTAGACATTTATTCACATGACAATCCCATGATCTACTCTCTACACATAGCTCATCGGATGGCAGAGATTTAAATGGATTTGAAATGAAATGTGTTTTAACGTCCCACTGTTCTGCTCCGACTGGGCTAATGAAGACATACAGTGTGCTATGAGGGAAATTTTGGCCGGACAGCGGCACTACGGTTTACTCTTATATCAAATTCCAACTGTCAAGGAATCTTTTACATGCACGCCAATGTGTAGCCTACACAGGACTTCAGGTTTTTCGTCACATCTGAACGTCTAAACAGCTGTCCATGTCACATTCTCCGTCCAGCATCACTGACAAGGGGGAACCAGGTCGGAAAATCTGGATGAACTTTCTTGGCCAATGCAGAGATATAAATGGATTTGAATGATCAATTGATAATACAATACTATTCTATTTTTATTGCACCACATCCGTGCATGGGCATGCTCAAACAACAGTCCAAAAACGATCACAACTGTCACAAAGTGGCAGATCATTCCACTCTGTTGAGGCTAAGTAGAAAAAAGTCCTTTGACCAAAACAGGCCGTTTTAGGCTTAGGTACTAGTACTACAGATCTTAAGGTCCTTGCAGGAGTGTAGGAATGTCAGATCACTCTGGTATTTTGGGGCAGTACCCATTTAAACATCAAAATGTATAACACAGAATTATTGTCATGGCTTTATATATAATATGCATGCATGTGGTCCTAGGTTTTTAGACACTCAATACTTGTTGGCCTCATATGAGGTGCTACCCCCTTTTCAAATTAAGACTGGACTTGTACAGGGTTCTCGCGGCTTCGTCAAACATTTTTTCAAGGATATTCAAGGATAAATATACGTCAAATTCTAGGATTTTCAAGGACATTTTTTAGCCTAAAGTTACAATTTTTCATCTTTAATAATAACCAAAACATTACCAACTATCGTTATAATCTCATATTTAAAAGGAATTGAAGACATTTGAAACAAAATTAAGGATCTCAACTGAAATTCAAGGATATTTTCCTTTTTCCGCGATATTCAAGGATATTCAAGACCTTGAAAATGAAATTTTAAATTTTTAAAAAGGATATTCAAGGATTTTCAAGGACTGCGGGAACCCTGTTGTAAAACCCAAGATTCAATCATGGGACAATAACCATGACCGCCACTCTTATGACAAACCGTTAAGCAGGCATATAAATGACAATTATTTATCTCATGTGAATGGGATGGCCTAGTGATCTAGAGCTTTGACCTCTAGCTGGCCTGTCACCTCTGGCTTGTGATCATGGTTTTGATCCCTGCTGTGAACGTATGTGGTTTGAGATAGGGGCACCTTCTCAACCTTGTAGGATTACTCCAGTTTATCTTCCACAAGGGGTTTAACGTCCTACTGTTCTGCTCCTATACTTGACTATTGAAGACGGGCATTCGCCAAACAGTGTGCTATGAGGGAAATTTTGCCCGGGCAGCGGCACTATCGCCTACTCTTATATCGAATTCCAACTGCCAGGGGATCTTTTACGTGCATTCCAATATATACACAGGACCTCGGTTTTTTTGTCTCATCCGAAGGTCTAGACAGCTGTCCTTGTCGACCCGGAGAAGGCCCACAAGGTTGGACAGACATCCCTACTCCTTGTCATGTACAACTGGGGATTCGAAACCACGCCAGTTGACTCAATGACAGGCGCATGAATTTTCAACAGATTTCATTATCTAGTGTTTAACTATTATAGCGAGAATTGTCAGCTCTTTATCTAAATCGGACATAATGCATCTTGGGAGTTATAATGGAATAATTTACCATACCTTTTGAGAGTTAGAATGACCTTGAGGAGGTCGTTGTTGAGGTGGCGGTGGACCAGCAACCGGGTCCTTTGTCTGATCTTCTTCCTGGCGTTTCTCGTAGTGAATGAAGTCATCAAAGATCGACGTATTGTGATGATAGTTATGCAGAATTTTCAACACTTGCTTTCCTTTCTCCGGAGGAACCTCCTGTGTATCGCGAGAATTAGTAACGGGTTTATTTTCGTTATTTTCCAGACGAATGTGACGCAGAGAACCGTTCGGCACGTCCTTCACGTATATCCACTTTACTTCAAATACGCCCTTCCACTTATCCTGGGCCCAAACTCCACTAGAGCTATTGTAGTCCACTGCTGACATCATCTGCGCCATGCCGCAAAAATGTCCGCTTCCATTGACACTGTAGAAGAGATAGATGGGCCCCTTGCTTTCGCGTTCCCGATAAGCACTATCCAATCGTTTGTTGCCGTGTTCTGTACTACACCAGATACTGTATTTTATAGATCGGTGGATATCGTCCTCGGAGTAGCTCTTAATAATAAAATATCGAGCTCCTTTAGGGTTCAAGTTAAACTCTTTCGGATTGTACATGTTAGCCGAGCGCAGTTTTTCTAATACAGGGTTATTTTTGCCCACGGGTGCTGCGGCCCCAGCTGCGGTATTATTGTAACCAGCATTGCCGTTAGAGTTGCTTTGGTTATTGTTTGAGGCGCCACTAGTCGTTCCTGAACTAAAAGAATTGGTGGACGCCATCTGACGTCTCGGAGCACTCCAAGTTTGTCTTTGCGGAGGTGGTTGTTTGTTGCCTAAGTTACCGCCACGATTGTTATCCCAGGTTCCAATGTCCATGTTATGCTGCTGCTTGGGGTTCGCCGGGGCCCTTGGGATCAATCGCTTCATAGGCTGGGGTCGAGCTGGTTGGCTGGCAATTGCTGCCCACGAGGTCTTTTTGGGAGCAGAGGACATAGCAGTCTGCATTGGGGGCGCCACATTTCCCGACACATTGCTATCGACCCCTATATCACTAGGACCGTTTTCACCCACGTTCTTATCTCCGCCGATTGACATTCCCTTTAAGCCTTGATCTACATTGTTAATATCGTGGTCGAGTTCTCCGTTCATCATATAGGGGTCGCCACCCATCATGTCCGGTTGGTAATATTCCGTATCACTATAGGGTCGTGCATCTTTCCGCCCTTGTCCTACTGTTCCCCAATAGTCATTGGCACTATAGTCCCAACCGTAAGGAGGAAAACCGAAACTGTTAAACATTCCATTATAGTCATACGTGCTCATCGAAAACATGGGTTGATCACCTCCATTAGACCACGCTCCTTCATTCATTCCCTGTCCCATATAGTTAAAGGACATGGAAGGGGTGAAATAATTGGGAAGGAACGAGTTCTCGGCTACACCTGGACTGGACATGTTACCTGGACCGTAGCTAGTCTGAAAATATACACATATCAAATATAAATACAGTATATACAAGCTGAACTGTTAACCTTGCATGAAGATATTCATTTTGTTGTACTCGACTATATGTGAGACACTAATAAATTAACCCTTTCAATGCTAGACGTAAATCCACTGCCTGTGCTAGACCCTTTTTTTGAGGAAAAAAGGGAGGTTGGAACTAAATGCCAAGCAGTAACTGTGGAAGCTTTTATGAAAAATCTTTTTGTCTGTTGGGATGGGCATGAAGTTGGGCTAAGAGGAAAAAATAGAATTTTGGAAATTCGCATAATAATGTAGTCACGTGACGTCATGGCGGCCATTTTGGATTTCTCATTTCTCACTAAAACTAACACGAAAACGAATTTTTCTCCATGAAATACTTAAAAGATATTGTTTTTTTCACTGGATTTTGATAAAGATATATATAAAATGAACAAAAATATCAATAGCAGCCATGAGCAATGCCGCCACGAACACGCGCATCACGTCTCCCGCTGCCATGACCACGTGCGGATTGCAATACCTTGTTTTTACTTTCACTTTCATCCCCAAGTCCCATATCATTATCAATATAGTCAGTCAATAGATCTACACTTTCGGGTCTCAGGAATTGCCTACGTCTTTTACGATCCAGCAGGCCAGCATTATTATCAACATCAGAATTATTGTCAGAATCTACTGCAGACACAGGGCTATTGTGTTCACATTGGGCTTGTTCATCATGCACGGGAGACATAGCTAGCCATGGGCGGAACGTCGCGCAACAAATCACACACTTCATAATACCAATCACTGTCCTGACTACTATCATTATCAAGTAACTGGAAACGAATTATGTGTATCACCCGCCTCGAAATTGTCCAATAATTCGTTTGAGCATAGAGGTCTTTACCAGTGGGGGGGGGGGGGGAGAAACCAGGGGACCGTCACAAAGAAAAAGTGTTTTTTTTTATTTTGTCGAAGGAGAGAGATGGAGAAATGGGGTTTAACAACCACTTGACACAAACTAGGCCATTTCGGGACTAACAAATGATTCAATTTTATTTCAACAATTTGCTTGTGTGTAGGGATCTTTAGCAGTGGGAGGTAACCGGAGGCCCAAGACATGCAACCCTACTCCTTGTCATGTGCAAGCGAGGAATCATGTTAACCATTCAGCCCCCCCCCCCCCCCGTCAAAGGATCACTACTGGGCTAAATTACTATCATTTTTTAAACGAATTTTTTTCGCACCTAAATACATGAATTTACTAAATTTCCGACAGTTATCTTTGTCTTTCATGTTAAAGCTATCAATGGCTATTTCTAGGGCTTACGACAGCTATTGCCAGAAGGCCCATCGTCAATTTTGAGCCCTGCAATAAATACTTGTATTTTTAAATAGAGAGAAATGGGGTTTAAGGTCTACTCAACACAAACTAGGTCATTTCTGGACTAACACATGGTTCAATTTTATTTCAATAATTCGCTTGCGCATACGAGTCTTTAGCAGTGGGAGGAAACCAGAGGACAAAGAGAAAACCCACGAGGTTGGACAGGCGACCCTAGTCCTTGTCACGTACAACCAGAGAATTGAAACCACGCCAGTTAAGTGAATGATAGACCTTATGAAACAGCGTGCATGCGCTAACCATTCGGCCACCCCTGCCCCAACTATTAATAAAGAATAACAAACCTGAGATGGTTGCAAATAGGCATCAAACTTCTCTTCTTTATCTCTTCCAGGACCATTGGACACTAGATTGACAACAAAAACACACATTTCAAATAGCAAATATAAACAAATTTTTGGATTATTCGTAGGGGTGATGACTTTCTGCAATAACAGAAAAAAAAAATGTGGAAATCGCAGAATCTGGCATTTGGAACAGTGTTACAATCAGAAACGCAAAATCGTTTAAAAGATCATCATTCCAAAAATCTACAATGTGATCATAAAATACACTTATTGCTGATGTTTTATTTTCGAATATGCCCCCCCACCCCCCAACTCAAAAATTGAATTTAGTTTCTTGTCCAATACCGGAATAACTGGTCACTAAGACTAAGAGGGAATTTCTTTATTGACAACTTCTGGGAAAATCTATCTACAGATGCACGAACTACGGCATATTCAGCTAATAAGATGAAATGATCTCACTCAGTAATACAAATTTCCTCTGCAAATGTAGCCAAACAGTTTGGAAATAGACATTACATATAACTGATAAAACGGAAAGTTCCATTTCAAGTAAGGAAATAAAAGAATTCACAATGTTTAAAATGGTATTCCTCATTTTGAGAAAAGGTATTCCCATTTTGTGAAACGGTATTCCCCATTTTGTGAAACGGTATTCCCCATTTTGTGAAACGGTATTCCCATTTTGCTTAAACAGAAAATCATCACCCCTATATTTGTAGAGTAAAATTATTTAAGTAAATGTACCGGTATTTTATTGATTTCATTTTCATTAGCCCGTTTGGTGCAGAAAATAAGGATGATGAACCCCACCCCACCCATTACCGATAAGTTTTCTCCTGCTATACCATACAAGTTTATGTACAATTCATATTTTCAGTCTCACCCTCCCTCCAAAGGAAATTTAAATAAAAGAAATCCAATCTTAATTTGATAATTGAATTTACTGAAAGTGAAACGTAATCACTTTATAAATTGTCATTTAAGTTTAACATTCACAAAATAAATTCAACTTTTATTAAGATTTTATCAAACTAAACTTAGGTTGTCTGTCTACAATTAGCCCCCCCTTGAAAACAGACACAAAGCTAGTAGACCGACATTTTAAGTCTTAAATCGACAATTTTGATCGAAAACACTATGTTTACTTTGGTTATTTTGAGAAGTATTTATCCTGTTTCCATTTAATGGAATTGAAAAGGTTTAATTACGACTACAGAGACCGTACACAGATTTATGTCAAAAATATATATTTTTATGAAAGCTCCTAGTGGAATCTAATATATTTTTCAATCAAATTTGTGACGATTTGATCAAATATTATGACGATTTGATCAAATTTTATGACCTTTTTATGATGTTTTTATCACATTTCAGGCCTTTTTATGTTTTTACGATTATCAAATATTATGACTTTTTAATAACTGCACTGACAGTAAATAACTTATCTATGGTCCATGAAGTAGTGTTCAGCCAGTGTTATGTGGATAAGAACGTCCCACCAGTAGTACTGGTGGTATTAATGGTCGCAGTAATCTTCTCCTATGTTCAAATATCCACATAACATTGACTGAACACTGTCAAACAGAAAATGAAAGAGCAGCAAGCTGGGGATCATAAAATGCCTGGATATTTTCTTATTCACATCCGGGTTTATTAGTATAGAAATTTATTATTGGGAGTAGTGATTTATGGTTAATTGCCCGTCAAAAAACGAAATGTGTTCAAAATCTTGCTGCAAACTTATTAAGCATTGAATGACAAATCACCACTATATTTAAAACAGCTGTTAAAACGATGTGAGAACAACACAAGAACCTTGAGGTCATCGTCAGAAAATAAACTGTTAACTCTGTCTGTGAAATTTGAACTAGGAAACTGAGCTTTCTCATTCTCAGCCCCCTACCTATGGAATAATCTTCCCAAAGAATTACGAATGATTAAATCTGTTGACCAATTCAAACGCGAGTTAAAAACACACCTATTCAACATTTAGTTCTTTCATAGTGCTCGTTAATTGGAAGCGCATTAGAAACTTTAGGGTAATCTTGCGCTATATAAATCTGTTATTATTATTATTAATTTTATATTTTGAACTATTTTTCTTCTCATTTTATGAAAATATAAATGTTTTTGTACTGTACGGTCCCAAGATACCAAAACTTTTTACCCAAAATACCTGTACCAAAAAACATACATGTAACCCGGAATAAAATCTGAGGCGTTTTTACGAGAAAACAAATCGGTTTCGATTACCTATCTCGTTTTGTACACGACTTCGGTCTCGAGTTGGTATTCGAATCGCTGAAGACTGAAGAATTTGAGGAAAAATGGTAAATTTTAAAAATTCATTTTTCTTTATTCTCTTCTTGAAGACACCGCCCAAAAATAAAAACGAGAAGTTGTACCCGTTGACTGTTCCCAAATGCCCTGTATTTGTATTAGGAATGTCCCCGATATTCATATTTCAAAGGCTCAATACCACTCTTGTTGTAACTGAATAATTGAATATGTCCCAATCTTTATTCTGGTCAACAAATTGTACTGTTTTACAATATTTCAATTAATTGATGATACAAATTACATCTTAACACACCTTATTTAAAAAATTTGACTTAATGGTTTGAAACGTCTAACATAAACCTTTTCAAATGTAACTTCGATTTTAAAATATTTTCGAACCCTCTGGACAAGTAAAATAGGATGTAATGGATAATTTGCAGAACAGGTAGAACACTAAAACATCTAGTAATTAGATAAGGATATTATTTATTTTCTGGAGCTGTTAAGTCAGCAAGAGTGGTATTGTCCCTTTAAAGTGAAATTCAAAAGAAAACATCATGTCACTTGTGGGGGATGCCATATTGGAAATCGAATCGCCAATCCAGCAGGCGAGCCATCAATTTGGCAAATCGTTGTGGAAAATTTGACAATTAGGTGAAACTGATTAGACTATTTTTTGTCGTAAATGTGTTTGAAAAGGATTTGCAAATCGATTAGCCATAATCGGTTTCTCGTAATAAGGCCTCTGTACAATGGGAAATATTAAATATATAAGTTTCAGAAAAGAAAAGTTGTGTTTTTGTCTTAGAACAGAATTACAATCGGAAAATGTGAAGAAACAACCCTCAGCAATGAGCATGAATTATGACCATTATGGAGATTCTAAAATTTGTGACCCATTTCTTTAAAGCTTTATTTGAATATGGCCAGTGATAAATCATTTTTATTCAGATCTCTTGTGGACCTGGTACAGGACTACATAGGTTTGACACCTTTTAGTGAAATCCATATCTGGCTGTGTAGTAGTACAGCCATATCAAGGATGTAAATATCGATGATTCACAAGGAAGACAAAATGGGTGTAATTTGTCTTGTCTTGCTGCATATTGTGTTTAGTCATGTAGAACGTTTATTGTGGTGTAACTGCTGACCTCACCCCTCACTTAATACACAAAATGGCCGTTGAACAAGCAAGCCATGATTCAGGGGATAACTTCAATACGTTTCATAACTCAATGGCTAAACATAAAATAGCTTTATGTGGACATTTCGTAAGCTCTACTTAGAAAATTTTGGCATGTGCTAAAAAGAAATGTAATTTAGCAAGGTATAGTGTACAAAGTTGTCAAAACATGATTCAATAATCTTGTCGACATGCCCTCATTCAGACAGAAAGAAGGCGGGAGCTGACATGCGTGTCAAACCGGTACTAGAATTACTTCACTTTTAGACGTAAAAAAGTAGTTACCTTGATTCGCTTGTCCTTTTCCTCTCTAGAAAAATGAAATCACATGAAAAAGAAGAAAAAACAAAATATTAGTACACAAAAAATCGTAAGAAACAGGCAGAATTTGTTGTGTAAATTCTCGAGATGAATGGGAGGGCGCGCGCAAGTCAATCTACACTGATCTACGTAAAGAAAAGTTGAAGCGTGGCTGGGGGCTCCTTTACCTGGTCAATTAAGTCAGACATTACACTATTGTAAACAGTTTATAGTACAAAATAACTAGTCTTTAATAGTCTGCACACACGGGGCTTTTATATAACACACAAAAACAAAATCACAAGTCTGTCAATTTAGTCCTTGAGCGTAAATTATTTCACAGAAATCCACTATCTCCTTCCCCTGTATACGGCTAACAATGGCGGCTACGCATGTGCCTCGCTTCCGCGTGGATTCACGTGACACATGATGACGTCATACATCCTCTATCTTGCCGAAACACGTTGAACTTACTTTTTAGCTACACTGTGGTGAACAGCAATTTACATTTAAACATTTTGGGGTGCTTTAGACTTATTTTCAATTTAAATATACATGATTTTAATAATAAAAAAAACCCACCTACGTATATTAGTATATAATATAATTAACTATATTATACTCCGAATTAAAACTCCGACCGGGCCTTAATAACTAAAATTCATCTTAAAATTTGGAGACGAAGAGGGCCTATATGTAGGGCTACCTTTGCGAAATACACAAAGTTAATCATTTTTAGCCTTTGATCAAAAAACGTGTGTATTCGTCACAATATCCACAGCGATGTACATGTAGAATACACAACCGTACATTATACATAAATCTAGCCCCCCCCCCCATATCCTACAGTTTTGGAGTTTCAATATACAATATTGTATTTTACGGTACGAATGCATGAATGGACGAACGAATGAATGGACGAACGAATTAATAAATGGATTACAAGAAAAAAACGAACGAATGAATGAATTGACGAACGAATGAATGAATTACAAGAAAAAACGAACGAATGAATTAATTGACGAAAGAATTAATTAATGGATTACAAGAAAAAACGAACGAATGAAGGAATTGACGAATGAAGGAATTACAAGAAAAAATGAACGAATGAATGAATTGACGAACGAATGAATGAATGAATGAATTACAAGAAAAAAAAAACAAATGAATGAATGAACATTACCTGTTTATGTGGGGTGTTTCTTGTCCAGATTTGTTGAATATTCTTCCATTCCTTCATGCTAAATATCATATAAATACGTCACTTCACGAGGCGAAAAGAATAAAAACACCGTTTCCCCTGAAATAGCCTATCAGAGAAATTGTACTAAACACCGTACATTTTACCGAGTTGTACTGCGATACCCGGACAAAATATCTTTCTCCCCTTCTCTCTTTGTATAGCGAGTTGAACTGCGGAAACTGGACAAAATATTTTTCTCCCCTTCTCTCTCTGTAGCAAGTTGGATCCTAACTATTTTTATCCGCTTCTCCCTCAATAGGGAGTTGAACTGCGGTAACCGGACAAAATATTTTTCTCCGCTTCTCTCTATGTAGGGAATTGAACTGCGGTATGGTAACCGGACAAACTTTTTTTCTCCGCTCCTCTCTGTAGATTAACGTCCGCTCTCACTGGGGCTGATATCGTAGACAACGGTTCGTGTATCTAAGCAGGAACAATTATATGTTAATTGTTAATTTCTTTTCTTCTTCCTCGATGACATTCGATAATTTGTGATAAACAAAACCTAACGCGGCCAGGATGACAAAAGTACACAGACGAAGGACCACGCCCCTTTTAGGTCAATCAGTGATTGGTCCACCTCATTCATAATTGGGTTTCCCACTGCCGATGAAACGATTTGACTCAAAGCGGATAATCCTTTAAACATTTCTATGCTTTCTTTGTGTGAGAGAAACATACAACGAAAATTAATTAGACATTATTGTCCAGGCAGTTGATTTAAACTACAAACGTTAATTAATTAGACGCCATTGTCCAGTCAGCTGATTTTAATTACTGGCTTAGTAATTAGTTTATTCAACAAGTGTCGTAAATCAGTTGAACCGCCATGGGGCTTAAAGGATAATAAAGCGTAAATCATTGGATTCGCTAGGGTCTTAGTTGGAAACATGTTAAAATATCTATGGAAGAAATGAAATGAAATGAAATGAGTTTAACGTTCTAGTGTTCTGCTCTGAAACAGGGCTAATGAAGACGGGCATACGTCATACAGTGTGATATGAGGGAAATTTTGCCCGGACAGCAACACTACGGCCTGTTCTTTTATCGAATTCCAACTGTCAATGGAACTTCTATGTGCACACCAATTTATACACGGGACCTTGGTTTTACGTCCCATCCGAACGACTAGACAGCTGTCCTCGTCAGAACTTCCGTCCTGCATCACTGACAAGGGGGAACCACACCGGAAAATCTGGATGAAATTTCTCGGCCAATGCATAGATCGAACACCCTTGTCACGTACAACCGGGGAATGGAAACCACGCCACTTTACTCAATGACAGACCTTATGATATAACGCGCATGCGCTAACCATTCGGCCATCCAACCCCCAGGACCAGTTTTTATTACTATTGTTATGTATAGAGATGTTACGTCATTCCCGATGTTACGTCATTATAAGTATACATGTCTTATCATACCTCCTCGAAAAACTTTTTCCTACAGGTTCATGTACATCAAAATGTTGTATAATTAATGAAATATTTAGTTCTTATCAAGATCCCTTACTCGCAACTTGCGGTTTCCTACAATCACAATCTGATTAAATCACAGATCCTATTTCGTTTCATTTTCATAGTTCAAAATTTCGTTTTACTTGTCTTTACTACACTAGGATCTGGAAGAGTTGTTATGAGTGACGTGTTCTGAATGGTGTGAGGTATTAGCCAATGAAACGGTCTGTTGCGGCGAGCTTTAGGCGTGTTTTGCACGGAACTGTGGGTAATCCACTAGTAACATCAATGCTGATTGGTTAATCAAATGTCTAAAATCATAGGGTCAAAAGCCGCTCGTATGACCTCTGACGTGACCTATCACAACAACCGGTCAGATCTTCATGTAGTGTAGGCCATCGAAAGTATAAAAAACGAAACGAAATATAGATCTGTATTTGAATCAGATTGCTACAATCATAGGTTTATACTGTGTTTAGAAACTAAGGGGACTACACACGTATTATTGGCGTTCTACTGTTCTGCTCCAACTGGACTAATGAAGAGAGAGAGAGAGAGAAATGGGGTTTAACGTCCACTCGACACAAACTAGGTCATTTTGGGACTAACATATGGTTTAATTTTATTTCAATAATTCGCTTGCGCGTAGGGCTCTTTAGCAGTGGGAGGAAACCGGAGGACCCGGAGAAAACCCACGAGGTTGGACAGGCGACCCTACCCCTTGCCACGTACAACCGGGGATTCGAAACCACGCCAGTCGACTCAATGACAGACTTTATGATACAGCGCGCGCACGCTAACCATTCAGCCATCCACCCCCCCCCCCCTGGACTAATGAAGACGGGCATACAGTGTGCTATGAAGGAAATTTTGCCAGGGCAGCTGCACTATAGCCTACTCTTATGTTGAATTCCAACTGCCAAGGGATCTTTTACGTGCACGCCAATGTGTACACGGGACCTCGGTTTTTCGTCCCATCCGGCCCCACTGACAATGGGAACCACGCCCGGAAAATCCTGATTAACTTTCTCGGTCAACACAGGGATCGAAAACGGGACCTTCGGATTAGCTAGCCCGTGTCCTACTCATTGGACCACCGTGGCCCCCGCTGTAATTGCATTTTTACCTTTATTCGTCTCAGCAGTTTTAAACATCCTAAAACCACTGTTGCTCCGGATCACGCCGGTTTTTCGTCCCATCCGATCGATTAGACAACTGTCCTAGTCGAGCCCTCCGCCTTGCACCACAAACAGGGGCCAATTAAAATGCCAACTGTGCATGTGATCAGTCAACACAATAATTAGATATTAATTACATATTAATTGATTAGTCTGTAACCACTACACTGCGCCATAATATTGTTACAATTCTTGATATAATTAACATGAGATTACTGGATAATCGTTGTTAATTAAATACATACTGACAGACAGATCTAATAGCTTTTATTATCCAGATCGCAGCTGTTCTGTCTTTATAATTAGTTTTAAAATCGACATTCATTCGATAAATACCGGTAATCTCCGTCCCGTTTTGGGATTTAATCCAGGATATCACTTTAACACATTAAGTAGGAAAGGCTATTTACCATATGAAAGGGCCGAGAAAGTTCATTGGGATTTTCCGACGTGGTTTCCCCTTGTCAGTGGTGCAGAACGGAAGACCTGACAAGGACAACTGTCTAGTCGTTCGGATCGGATGATGCGAAAAAACCGAGGTCCCGTGTATACATTGACATGTACGTAAAAGATCCCTTGGCAGTTGGAATTCAATATAAGAGTAGACCATAGTGCCGCTGCCCGGGCAAAATTTCCCTCATAGCACACTGTATGGCGTTTGCCGAGTCGGAGCAAAACAGCAGGACGTTAAACCCCATTTCATTTAATTTCATATGAAAGGGGGTATAAAACCCGACGTGATATTAAATGAGGGGGGAGAGTGTATAAAACTCCACGTTATATTAAATATGAGAGGGGAAGGGGAATATAAAACTCCACGTTATATTAAATATGAGAAGGGGATATAAAACCCGACTTGATATTAAATGAGACGGGGAGGGTTTATAAAACCCCACGTTATATTAAATATGAGAGGGGGAGGGGGTGTATAAAACCCTACGTTATATTAAATATGAGAGGGGGGGGGTTATAAAACCCGACGTGATATTAAATATGAGAGGGGGAGGGGGTATAAAACCCCACGTTATATTAAATATGAGAGGGGGAGGGTTTATAAAACCCCACGTTATATTAAATATGAGAGGAGGAGGGTGTATAAAACCCTACGTTATACTAAATATGAGTGGGTGAAGGGGTATAAAACCCGACGTGATATTAAATGAGAGGGGGGTGGGGTATAAAACCCCACGTTATATTAAATATGAGAGGAGGAGGGTGTATAAAACTCTACGTTTTGTTAAATACATGTATGAGAGGGGTGTGTGCATATAAAACCCCACGTTATATCAAATATGAGAGGGGGAGGGTGTATAAAACCCCACGTGATATTAAATGAGAGGGGGAGGGTTTATAAAACCCGACGTGATATTAAATATGAGAGGGGGAGTGTTTATAAAACCCGACGTGATATTAAATATGAGACGGGGGAGGGGGTATAAAACCCCTCGTTATATTAAATATGAGAGGGGGAGGTTGTATAAAACTCCTCGTTATATTAAATATGAGAGGAGGAGGGTGTATAAAACTCTACGTTTTGTTAAATACATATATAAGAGGGGTGTGTGTGTATAAAACCCCACGTTATATCAAATATGAGAGTGGGAGGCGGGTATAAAACACTACGTTATATTAAATATGAGAGGGGGAGGTGTATAAAACCCCACGTTATATTAGATATGAGAGGGGGAGGGGGATATAAAACCTCACGTTATATTAAATATGAGAGGGGGAGGTGTATAAAACCCCACGTTATATTAGATATGAGAGGGGGAGGGGGATATAAAACCTCACGTTATATTAAATATGAGAGGGGGAGGTGTATAAAACCTCACGTTATATTAAATATGAAGGGGAGGGTGTATAAAACTCCACGTTATATTAAATATGAGAGGGGGAGGGTGTATAAAACCCTACGTTATATTAAATGAGAGGGGGGGGGGGGTATAAACCCCTACGTTATATTAAATATGAGAGGGGGAGGGTGTATAAAACCCTACGTTATATTAAATATGAGAGAGGGAGGGTGTATAAAACCCTACGTTATATTAAAAATGAGAGGGGGAGGGTTTATAAAACCCTACGTTATGTTAAATATGAGAGGGGGAGGGGATGCATAAAACCCCACGTTATATTAAATATGAGAGGGGGGGGGGGTATAAAACTTTATTAAAATCAATTTTATGTACAGTGAAATCAATAAATAATTATTACATCTTATTATGGTGGTGTCGCGGATATTAAAAGTGTTGTCGCCGGACAATCTGATTAAACCACAGATGTTATTTCGTTTCGTTTTTTATAGTTTAAAATTTCGTTTTACTGTCTTCACAACACTAGGATCTAGTTGATGTGAGGAGTTAGCCAATGGAACGGTCTGCTCGAAACTGTTGGTAAAGCCCTAGAAACGTCAACGCTGATTGATTAATAAATGTCTGACGTCATAAGGTCAAAAGCCGCTCGAATGTCCCCTGACGCGACCTCCCAGTACAACTAGTCAGATCTCCGTGTAGTGTAGGCTATCGAAAGTATAATAAACCTAAACGAAAAATAGATATGGATTTTAATCAGATTGGTCGCGGCTATTAGTACTGTTGTCGCGGGTATTAATACCGTTGTCATGGGTATTGGTAATGTTGTCATGGGTATTAATACTATTGTTTGTCGCAGGTATTAATACCGTTGTTTGTCACAGGTACCGATACCGTTGTCATGGCATCAATCCTGTTGTAATGGTTATTAATAATGTACATCACCGGTATCACATAATATATACAATAACTGAGCACCAAGTTGACCGTTTACCAGACAAGAGTTTACATAGCTAAAACAATGGCTAGATGTGTTTCTTAAGGCCTACTCAAGATTTCGTCAAGGTCGCTGAGATGTAAATAAGGTTAGGGCACGTGATTTTTGGGTAAGGGTTGGGGCTAGGTCCAGGGTTTGGGTTAGCGTTAACTCTGTTTACATCTCGTGATCTTTGAAAAAATCTGAAGATGGCCTTAATAAATAGATCTCACCCTAAAACTATATGTACAGTGTACACAGCGCCATTTGTGTTACCTCAGCTCTGATAAAAGTAATCTAAATTTCAAAACTTGTTTAATTTGATACACCTACATTTTAAATATAAAACTGAATCTAAATGATAGGGATTTAAAAATAAATTTGCAGTTCAAGGCGGCTGTGGCCAGTTTGCGCTGACTGCTCTGCTCTGCGCAATCTGATACTTCCGCGGCCTTATATTAGCAAGGTTACTTTTATCAGAGCTACAAGTAAAAAGTGACTTTGGCTCTGTGTTGATATTAAATAGGATTTATAACAATTTACAGCACCAAGAAACATCAATTCATATCTATGTGTGGGGGAAGAGAGAGAGAGAGAGAGAGAGAGAGGGAGAGAGAGAGAGCACAAACTAGAATGTTCCCAAATCGTAATCTGGTGTGGGTCGATAATGATTTTATGCTGGGGCCCACTTACAACTTTAAATATCAGGCCCCGAATTACAAAGCATTCTCGGACTTAAGTTAAGAATTTACTCAACTTTCAATCAATGTTTATGAGAAATATTTCTGATCCAGAAACACAAAACTTTGCACATAGTTTCTTATTGATGTATTTGATACATTAAAACGACAAAAGTTTTATAAAGGGCTATATTTTAGTTACAATAAGGTGCACAATTTTGAGTAAATTCTTAACTTAAAGATATATTATGTAAGATTTAGATAAAGAGCTAGCCATTCTTGCTATAATAGTTCAAAAATAGATAATGTAAAATGAATAATTTGAAAATTTCATTCAAATTACTCTATTGCGAGCGAAGAAATACGATGCCATCGAGAGTTGATTATGGCTTTAGGATAAGTTAATTAATGTCTAGGTAATAAATTAGATAACATTTCAGGCCTAAATAGACCTGCAATAGGCAGATTTAGCTCTTGCATAATGTATGTTTAAGTCTGAGAATGCTTTGTGAACTCGGGTCCTGGTCAAATAACTAAGACCACGAGAACAATTTGGAAGACCTTCATGAGGATGGAGGGGCAACACATTGTTTCTGCTTACTTCTCTTTTATTTACGACAACTGTCACTACTGGCAAGATCCAAATTATATGAGGTAACATCCTCGTGAAGCCAGCTTCGCATACGGAATAATCCTAGTTTTTGCAAGGATGAGGAAGCAAGCACATACATTTACATTTTTTTGTGTCAATATTTCTCTGTGCTGTAAATCGCTTTACTAGCCCCTGTGCTTTACTAGATACAGCCTTTTTCTGATAGTTTATTTTGTTCGACCTTTAAATGTATCCGTCATAGTGTTAGCACCCATAAAATTACAAATCAAAAACAGACATTAAGTAAATTCCTCTACTAGTCCCTGTGCGTTACTGGTCCATGTGCTGTACTAGTCCCTGTGCTTAACTGGAGATAAAATCCAGCCTTTTTCTGATAATTTATTTTGTTCTGCCTTTAAATGTATCCATCATACTGTTGGCACCCATAAAATTACAAATCAAAAACAGACATTTAGTTGGTAAAATCCTGAAAATATAAACAATCAATTAGTTTGTTGTAATTTGAAGGATATTTTGTCAGGGTTGTGGCGTTTCGGCCTACACTTCACCGAATTACAATCCTGGGGAAGAAATGAAATGAAATCGGGGTTAACGTCTTACTGTTCTGCACCTACTAGGCTAATGAAGACAGGCATGCGTCATGGTGTGTCCACGCATTCCGCCGAATGAATTCGCATGCAATTCGGCGCCGATTGATTCGGCTAATGTGTCTACCGCTCAACAAACACGCGAAGCATTGGCGTGGTTTTGGCCCCACTGCGCGCTCTATGTAAGCTAATAAATGAGCAGAAATATTGTTTCAGAGCTACAGATTTTTAGTGGTTGGATGACCGAATTGTTAGTGCGTATCATAAGGTCTGTCATTGAGTTAACTGGCGTGGTTTCAATTCCCCGGTTGTACGTTACAAGGAGTAGGATCGCTTGTCCAACCTCGTGGGTTTTCTCCGGGTCTAGAAATTTACCCTTAAAGCGTCAGTAAGAAATAAAATATTTTAGAAACACACCCTTTAAGCGCCAAAAATAAATAAAGTATTTTAGAAACTTACCCTTTAAGCGTCAGAAAGAAATAAAGTATTTTAGAAACTTACACTTTAAGCGTCAGACAGAAATAAAATATTTTAGAAACTTACCCTTTACGTGTCAAAAAGAAAGAAAGTATTTTAGAAACTTACCCTTTAAGTGTCAGAAAGAAATAAAGAATTTCAGAAACTTACCCTGTAAGCGCCAGACAGAAATAAAGTATTTTAGAAACTTACTCTTGAAAGAAAGTATTTTAGAAACTTACCCTTTAAGCGCCAGAAAGAAATAAAGTATTTTGGGTAGGTAAACCACCCGTTGATTACATAAGAAGGCTTCAATGATTCCATCAGCGACCTCTTCCGGTAATAACATAGGTAAAATCCACGGAAACCTGCGCATAAAATAATATTTATCGTTTAAACATCCCAACGCTAATTTACATCAAATAAATCGTTTAGGAGAACATGCATAAAGAAACAATATTTATTTTTTAATTTATAAAAACATCCCTCGACTAAGTTAAGAGAGAGAGAGAGAGAGAGAGAGAGAACATGCATAAAGAAACAATATTTATTTTTTAATTTATAAAAACATCCCTCGACTAAGTTAAGAGAGAGAGAGAGAGAGAGAGAGAGTGAGAGAGATATGGGGTTTAACGTCCATTCGACACAGACTAGGTCATTTCGGGACTAACACATTGTGCAATTTTATTTCAATAATTCGCTTGGTCGTAGGGGTCTTTAGAAGTGGGAGAAAACCGGAGGACCCAGAGAAAACTTACGAGGTTGGACAGGCGACCCTACTCCTTGTCACGAAATAAAATGAACTGGGGTTTAACGTCCTACTGTTCTGGTCCTAAACTGGGCTGTCACGTACAACCGGGAATCGAAACCCCGCCAGCTGACTCAATGACAGACCTTATGATACAGCGCGCACCGGTTAACCATTTTGCCCCCCCCCCCACTTCGGCATAAGAAACCGATGTTGGACGAATATAAAGAGAGAAAGAGAGAAATGGGGTTTAACGTCCACTCGACACCAGGACTAACATATGGTCCAATTTTATTTCAATAATTCGCATGCGCGTAGGGGTCTTTAGCAGTGGGAGAAAACCGAAGGACCCAGAGAACAGGAGACCCTACTCCTTGTCACGTACAACCGGAGAATCGAAACCACGTCAGATGACTCAATGGTAGACCTTATGATACAACGCACACGCGCTAACCATTCGGCCATCTTACCCCCCTGGACGAATATAAACAGCGAATATTATCATATCGACACAAAAACTCATATAAGCCTAAACAATTTGAAAGCAAAGGAAATTCCAAAATGACATCATGTTGACTCATAAATGCTTCCCGTTGAAAACAAAGGAAATTCCCAAAAGCTTACTTTGCTTGGCAGCCTTCAAACATGCCGGTGTTTACCAGGTAAGGGCAGATAACTGTTGTATGAACACCCGTCTTCCCTAAACTGTCCAGTTCAAACTGTAACGATTCGTTAAAACCGACAACTGCAAACTTGCTAGCACAATAATCAGCCAATCCAGTCACACCTATCAAACCCGCAGAACTGGCTATGTTTATCACGTGACCATGATCACGTTTCATCATTGTTGGTAAGAAGGCCTTGACAGTCTAAAGTGATAAAATAACACTGCATAGCTTATATATATATATAGAGAGAAATGGGGTTTAACGTCCACTCGACATAAACTATGCCATTTCGGGACTAACATATGGTTCAGTTTTATTTCAATAATTCGCTAGCGCGTAAGGGTCTTTAGCAGTGGGAGGAAACGGAAAAAAACTTACGAGGATAGACAGGCGACCCCACTCCTTCTCGTACAAGCGGGGAATCGAAACCACGCCACTATATACAATGTCATGCCTTATGATCCAATTCGCGTGCCCTCCTGACACCTATCATAATTTTATAAATAATATAATCCCAGTAATTTGCAAATATCTGTTCATTGGTTTAAAAATTGTATCTAGTCTTTCGGATGGGACGAAAAAAAAATCGAGGTACCGTGTAATTCGATGAAAGAGTAGGTAACAGTGCCGCTGTCCGGGCAAAATGGCCCCCACAGCTTAGTCAGTGCAGAAGAGTAGGACGTTAAACCCCATTTCATTAAAAATTGTGTCTCGCACAAGTCCTCCACCCCCTCCCCCGACCCCCGTTTTGACTCGCTACGCTGCCCAATATGAACAATAAAAGTTTACCCAGAAGTGTGCCATGACGTTAACGTCCATTGTTTTTCGCACCATTTCGTCCGAGCATTCGAGAAACTTTTTACCAGTAACAATTCCAGCATTATTAACCAATATATCCACTTGACCCACTTCTGTTCGCACCTGTAATAATACATAAACAATTTGATTAAAATACAGATTTATATTTCGTTTCTTTTTTTTATACTTTCGATGGCCTACACTACATGAAGATCTGAGTAGTTGTAGTGGGAGGTCGCGTCAGGGGTCATGCGAGCGGCTGTTGACCTTAAGACGTCAGAATTTGATTAACCAATCAGCGTTGATGTTTCTATTAGGATACCCACAGTTCCGTGCATCACACACCAAAAACACGCTGCAATAGACCGTTTCATTGGCTAATCCCTCACATCAACAAAAACGCGGGTTATATAACAACTCTTCCAGATCCTAGTGTAGTAAAGACAAGTAAAACGAAATTTTGAACTATAAAAAACGAAACGAAATAGGATTTGTGTTTTAATCAGATTTATACCTAAAGGAATTTACACATAAAACACGGTATAACGATTTCCATGGTAACTAGAAAGTCAAAATTATCCCAGAATAGTTAACATCGCTATTCTTTGACACCTAGAAATGGACACAAATGGGTCGCAACGATAATAATGTATGATGAATGTATATAAACTGATTTAAATTCAATCGTTTCTGTTTTTACTGTAATTCTTATCAGTTATTTTCAGAGAAATACGCGAGGAATCCGAATTGAATGGTAGTCTTTGGCGTCTGGTTATTCCAGTCTACACCAGTAGTACTCTCCCCTGTGGTATGTTTAGCCTCGTTCATCGTGTCGCTTCACAAATGGCACTCGAAAGCATTCTGACACGCGATCCGTGTGCCAATTTTAAAATGTTCATTTTGTCTTAAATATTGGATATCAGAAGCCCATCTGGATTAGATGGCTAAATCTATTTGTTAAGGCCAGCTAAATTTTCGCCAACAGTCACGTGTCCTAACCTTATTTACATGTCAGGGACCTTGACAGAAATTGAGCTGGCCTTAACAAATAGATTTAGCCATAATGACCCGATTACATACATCTCGTGACCTTTGACCAAACTTGAAGTTGGCCTTATCAAACAAATGTTTGGCGCCGTTTTCTCACCTTATCAGCTGTTGCGTAAATATCTTTCTGATTGGACAAATCAACCCGATACGTTCGAACTGTTACTCCTTGTTTTCGTATTTCTTTAGCTGTTTTTTCATTGGCTTCTTTGTTTATATCCCATAATATTAAACGACATCCCAAGTTTGCGAATCTTTTGGCTAACAGACGACCAATACCACTAGCTGGAAAACAAATGATATGGGGGTTTAACGGCCTACTTGTCTGAAGACGAGCGATCGAACGCCATACAGAAATTTTGACCGAACAGCGTGCTGGAAAGTCATTTTATCTCCACACTGTTAGAAATTTATGTAAAATTACAGTAGTACAAGTAGTTTTTGTACCTTAATTGTCGGTATATTTTCCACAATTTAGTAGTTTTACCAAGTCTGGCGTATTTTTACGGAGTTTCGTGTATGTTTACCGAGTTTCGTGTCTTTTTTACAATAAACGGTGATGAAATCCAAGACACATTCAAAATCAGTAAAAATACATTCTTACATACGTAATATTTACAAACTGAACTGAAAATAAATAAGCAAGCATGTAATTTTACAGATCTTACGTTTATTCACATTTTTTTTGTAAATTTACTTTTAGGTTAGAATAAAAGTAAAATTACAACAGTTCTCATTATAATAGTTAAAAACTAGATAATGTAAAGGGGATATGCTGAAAGTCTCTGTCAAATTGCTCCACTCTGAACCGAGACATTAGCGATTGAATTTTAGGCCTTGCATCGGACACCATTACTAAAGTCGGTACGATAAAAAAACATAGTCTCGATTATCCATTTTTGAATTTAATCACCAATGAGTGTTGAGCCCCAGATCGGACTCAAATCCAGTGAAAATCCCACACATAAGATGGCATCAAGAGTTGTTTATGGTCTTTTCATGTTAATGTCTAATTCATAGTTTATATAACATATCAGGTCTAAAGAAAGACCTGCAATAGGCCGATTTAGCTCTTGCATAATTTATGATTAACCTATTGGTAGTTATCGTATTCGGTAAATTTATTGTCTCTTAGCATGCAATTTTACAGATTTTACGTTTGCTCACATTATTTTGTAAACTTTCAAGTTAGAAACATAAGTAAAATTACATCAATAAAAGTATTTGTTTTTACCATAAAATGTTAGGAATATTTACCAAAATGATGTATTTTTACCAAGTTTCTTTCTTTTTTACAATAAACTTTGATGAAATCAAAGGCACAATAAACCCCGTAAAAATACATACTTACATATATAGAATTTCAATATTGAACTGAAAATAGCAAAGCCAGAAGGTAATTTTACAGATTTACGTTTATTCACATTATTTTGTAAATTTACTTATTGGTAAATTTACTGTCTCTTATTTTATTTTAGTATTCCATGGCAACGAACCATTCCTAATACTTATCTTCTAATAGTACTCATTCTAATTTATTAACCATAATATGGACAATCACATTTTGTGAAATTTGGTATATTGCATGTTATGTATATCTAATTTCCTTTATTTATACGATCTATAACGTGTATTATTATTCATCGTACACTAATCAGATTGTAAGTATGTTCATAAATGTATAAAAAAATGTTTTGACTTTCCGGCCATAGGTTGTATTATCTCGTTATCAAGCTCACTTGAAGACGGTTAATTAAACCGATTGGCCAGTGTTAGCTGTACTGTCTCTAAAGCAGTTTCAATGCCTGCAATAGACAGTACCGCAAGCTGACATCTGAAAGCATGGAACCGCCGCAATCACTGACGAGCGGCGGTTTCAACCTGTGTTGGCTTACATGACTAATCTACCAAACAGGATTAGTATTATGTTTTCGGTACGCAACAAGCGGGGTTTTAAATTTAAGCCTCTTATTCAGTTGAGATTTTATTTCTCTTTCGGGGAAATTGTTGTTTACTTAAAAAAAAAAAAGGTGGGAGGGTAAGCGGAAGTTAGTCATTGTGGTTTTTTTTTAACATTTGTCTGTAATTTTTCATTTACTGCTTTTAGGTAAATTTACATTTGGAAGTTAAAAAACAAACTTACGGTAACCGTTCATTTACTGTGTTGCGGTGAATTTACAGGCCAAAGTTAAAAAACAAACTCATAGTTATTTTCTATTTACTGATTTCAGGTAAAGTTACACACAAAGTCAAATTACAGAAACTCTGTAATATTACAGCTGAATGTTTATTTACAGTAAATTTACTGGCAACTTTTGCTGCCAGTAATTTTCATGTAAATTTACCAGATTTTTTCTAACAGTGCAACGTTGCTTATTATATTGAAGGCACGACACTCGGGCGACACCGAATTCAGTTCGGTTAGCCTATCTGAGCGAAATTATGACGTAGCCAAACATAACAATCTTGGTTGAGAAATTAAAGTGCTCAATTGTCCGTCCGGAACAAGCCGGATTGACACAATTGTAACCGAGTGACACAGAATCCTGTCATAGTTCTACTATAGTCGGTAACAATAACTGATTGCCATTTTTTGAATCACTTCCGGATTCTTCAAATCCTTATAACGAATCCCGTCTTCATTCATTTATCCCAATCGGAGCAGAACAGTAGGACGTTAAACCCCATTTCATTTCATATTTATAACGGATCAACCGTTCAGGCAACGTCAAGTTCGACGTGGGGTTCTTGGTTACCGTTGTCTTTAAGGAGGGTTCAGAGAATTTGATAAAATATGTTCAATTTGTAACAGGAAACAATTAGGAAACGAACTACATTTTATATTATTCTGTCCTATACTTAAAGATCTTAGAGCCAATTTCCTACCCACATGGCTAACAAAACACCCTACCGAAGAAAACGCTATCAAATTGTTTAAATGTCAAGACTCAAGCATAGTTCGTTCTCTGTCCATTTATATATGTAAGGCGATGGAACTAAGATCAGAAATCCTGCAACCATAGTGCTCTTTGATAATGCTCTGCATAAAGATAATTATATATACATATTAATTTATATCGAATTATTTTGTAAATTATATTGTTTGTACAAATATCATGTATGTTTTTGATACTGTAGGCATATTGCCTCAAAGTAACTGAATAAAGAATTAGAATTTTATAAAATTAGTAGCTCTGAGACAAAGATGAAATGAAATGAAATGGGGTTTAACGTCCTTATACTGTTCTGCTTCCATACCGGTCTAATAAAGACGGGCATACGCCATGCAGTGTGCTATGAGGGAAATTTTGCCCGGGCAGCGGCACTATGGCTTACTCTTATATTGAATTCCAACTGCCAGGGTATCTTTTACGTGCACTGCAATATACGTCGGACCTTAGTTTTTCTTCATCCGAACGACTAGACAAGACCTCCGTCCTGCACAACTGACAAGGAGAAACCACGCAGGACAATCTGGATGAACTTTCTCGGCCAATGCAGGGATCGAACACGCGACCTCCAGGCTAGCGAGCCAGCGTCTTACCCACTTAGCCAAGGTGGTTCCCGCTCATTTAGGAGTCAAAACCACGTCAATGCTTCCTGGATTTGTTCGTTGAATGTAGGAGAAAGACTATACTCTGCAAGAGCAGCAGAAGACCCAGGCCACGCGTCTGGTATGGAAGGTCCCCGCTTCAGTGACAGATGTCTATTCAGGCCAATGGGTATAACTTGCAATTTAGTTCCGAACCCAGGAGTATAACGTGCACATTAGGTCCGGACCCATGGGAATAACGTGAAACTTAATTCCGGACCCACGAGAATAACGTGCAATTAAGTTGAAATGAAATGAAATGAAATAGAGTTTAACGTCCTACTGTTATGCTACCATACCGGGCTAATGAAGACGAGCATACGCCATACAGTGAGCTATGAGGGAAATTTTGCCCGGGCAGCGGCACTATGGCCTACTTTTACATCGAATTCCAACTGCCAAGGGATCCTTTACGTGCACGCCATCCGAACGGCTAGGCAGCTGTCCTTGCCAGGCCCTGCGTCCTGCATCACTGACAAGGGGAAATCATGTCGGAAAATCCCTATGAACTTTCTCGGCCAATGCAGGGATCGAAAATGCGACCTCCAGGCTAGCGAGCCAGCGTCTTACCCACTTAGCCACCGCGACTCCCTTGTAATTAAGGTTATTGTGTGTAAAAATACGCACCTGCTCCAGTAATAAGAACTGTTTCTCCAGACACATCTTTACCGCGAACACTGGCTGGTATAATCGAGAAATAAATACCCTCCAACCAATAATAAAACACCAAACATAACACCTGTAGACTCTCTAACACTAAATTCAACATGGCTGCTCTCTTCCTGTCCTCGCTACTACAAACTTCCTAGTTGTTATTTATTGAATTTATTCAGGGATAATATTCGCATATGTTACATTGATTTGATATTAATAGTCTACACGAGTAACGCGCTATTCATTTATTACTGTAATTATACTAATAATATACACGAGTAACGCACTATTTCATTAACAACAGTAATAATATTAATAGTATACACGAATAACACACTAGTTCATTTACAACAGTATAATAATATTAATAGTATAAACGAGTAACGCACTATTTCATTCACAACAGTAATATGGTATACACGAATAACGCATTATTTCATTAGTTTAAATAGCCTACACGAGTAACGCACTATTTCATTAGTTTAAATAGTATACTCGAATAACGCACTATTTCATTAGTTTAAATTAATCTCCAGATTTCTTTTCCATCCATTCACTGGTTGAACTCTAACAATATTCTGATATTCTGAAAAAAAAAAGAAAAAAAAAAGGAAAAAAAGAGGTAAACTATTAAAAAAAAAACGAAATGAAATGGGATTTAACGTCCTACTGTTCTGCTTCGTCTAGGCTAATGGAGATGGGCATGCGCGATACAGTGTACTTTGGGGGAAATTTTGCCCGGTCTACTCTTATATCGAATTCCAACTACCAAGGGATCTTTTAAATGCGCTTCAATGTGTACACGAGACCTCGGTTTTTCGTGCCATTCGAACGACTAGATTGCCCTAAACCATGCACCACAGACAAAGAGGTGGGGGCTAAATCTATTTGTTAAGACTAGCTCAATTTTCGTCAAGGTGGCTGAGATTTAAATAAGGCTAAGGCACGTGATTGTTGGCGAACTTGTAGGTTAGAGTTAGGGTAAGCATTAGGGCTAGGTCCAGGGTTAAGGCTAGGCTTGGGTAACGCTAGAACCTGTTTACATCTCGTGTCCTTTGACCAAACTTGAAGTTGGCCATATCAATTAGATCTAACCAGGTGGGGTGGGGTAGGGGGTGTTCGAATAGTTATCGCGTGCGTGTTGGATCAGAAGGTCTTTCAATAAATCAAGTGGCATGGTTTCGATTCCCCGCGCTTGTACGTGAGAAGGAGTAGAGTCGCCTGTCCAACCTCGTGGGTTTTCTCCGACCCCTACGCACAAGCGAACTATCATATGATAGTCCCGAAATTATATGCGTCGAGTCGATGGTACTCTCTCTCTCTCTTAATGGTTTTCCGGCGTGGTTCCCCCTTGTCAGTGATGCAGGACGGAGGGCCTGACAAGGACAGCTGTCTAGTCCTTCGGATGAGACGAAAAACTGAGGTCCCGTATATACATTAGAATGCACGTAAAAGATCCCTTGGCAGTTGGAATTCGATATAAGAGTAGGCGATAGTGCCGCTGCCCGGGCAAAATTTCCCTCATAGTACACTGTATGGCGTATGCCCGTCTTCATTAGCCCAGCATAAGAGCAGAACAGTAGGACGTTAAACCCCATTTCATTTCTCTCTTAATGGGCAGTTAATGATTGAACATTAACGCAAGAGATGGTTTTATGGTTACGGAAGCGAGATTGATAACGACGAGAATATCCTCGACAAAATTCAGTAATTGTGTTTACATGAAATTTGTACCTTGTGGCAATTTGTTATGATGTCGTAAATATAGGGCTAATTTTACGACCTTCACCGATTTCGTTTCTAAAATAAACAAAGGGTCATGTTGTTTGTCTGTCAAGGAGCCGCGATGGCTCAGTGAGAAAGACATTGGCTCTCGAGTCTGGGGGTCCCGGGTTCACCTCCGGTTTTCCTTGGGGTTATCAGTGGGGCTGGACAGAGGGGCCTGACAAAGACAGTTGTCTAGTCGTTCGGATGGGACAGAAAACCGAGGTACCATGTACACATTGGCGTGCACGTAAAAGAACTCATGACAGTTGGAATTTGATTTAAGAGTATAGGCCGCTATCCGGGCAAAATTTCCCTCATAGCACCTTGTATAGCGTACGACCGTCTTCATTAGCCGTTAAACTTTATTTCAGTTCATTTTATTTCATTCCGTTTGAATTGGGGTTTAACGTCCTACTGTTCTTTTCCCACTGGGCTAATAAAGAGAGAGAGAGAGAGAGAGAGAGAGAGAGAGAGAGAGAGAGAAGGAGAGAGAGAGATGGCGTTTAACGTCCACTATAGGTCATTTCGGGACTAACATATGGTTCAATTTAATTTCAATAATTCGCTTGCGCGTAGGGGTCTTTAGCATTGGGAGGAAATCGGAGGACCCGGAGAAAATCCACAAAGTTGGATTAAGACGAGTGTACACCATACAGTGTGTTATGAGAAAATGAAATGAAATGAAATGGGGTTTAACGTCCTACTGTTCTACTCCGACTGGGCTAATGAAGACGGACGTACGGCATACAGGGTGCTATGAGGGAAAGTTTGCCCGGGCAGCGGCACTATGGCTTACTCGTATATCGAATTCCAACTGCCAAGGAATCTTTTACGTGCATTCTAATGTATACACGGGACCTCGGTTTTTCAATAATTCGCTTGCGCGTAGGGGTCTTTAGCAGTGGGAGGAAACCGGAGGACCCGGGGAAAACCCACGAGGTTGGATAGGCGACCCTACTCCTTGTCACGTACAACCGGGGAATCGAAACCACGCTAGTTGATTCAATGACAGAACCTATAATACAGCGCGCTCACGCTAACCATTCAGCCATCCAACGCCCCGGGCTGATTAAGACGAGTGTACACCATACAGTGTGTTATGAGAAAATGAAATGAAATGAAATAGTGTTTAACGTCCTACAGTTCTGCTCCGACTGGGCTAATGAAGACGGACGTACGCCATACAGGGGGCGATGAGGGAAAGTTTGCCCGGGCAGCGGCACTATGGCTTACTCTTATATCGAATTCCAACTGCCAAGGGAGCTTTTACGTGCATTCTAATGTATACACGGAAACTCGGTTGTTCGTTCCATCCGAGCAACTAGATAGCTGTCCTTGCCAGACCCTCCATCCTGCATCACTGACAAGGGGAAGTGTGTTATGAGAGACCAAAAGATATTTAGTGACAAAGACCCTTTTCGTCCAGTATTGAGAAAGTTCCTCGGGATTTTTCAGTCAGATTTACCCTTGTCTGTGATGCAGGTCGGTGTGCGCCTAGTTGTTCGGATGGGACGAAAAAATTTGGATCCCGTGTGGAACATTGACTGCACGTTAAAGATACCTTGTCAGTTGGATATTGATATATAACTAATCGTTCGGATGGGGCAGAAAATTGAGAGCCCGTGTGCAGAACTGACTGCACGTTAAAGATCACGTGACATTTGAAAATTGAAAAAAAAGTAGGCAATAGCGCCGCTGTCAAGGCAAATTTTCTCTCGTAGCACACTGTCGGGTAGTTACTTTAGTAACGCATTCTTACTAAAGACAGTTTCATAATGGCGGATCGATTCAAACGAAACTTGTTTGTGTTTTTGTATCGGTAAATTCTACATGAATTATATTATAAATATGTGTTGGATGTGACAAGCAACGATTCCTTTTTGCGAACAAAGAAGAATCCTGGTGAAAAATACACGGTAAGAATTCCAAAATAGCCTTAGAACCATTCTGATTGAAAAACAGATCCAATGTCGTTTCGTTTTTTATAGTTCAAAATTTCGTTTTATTTGTCTGTACTACACTAGGATCTGGAAGAGTTGTTATATATAACTTGCGTTCTGGATGGCGTGGGGAATTAGCACGGAACGGTGGGTAACGTCAACGCTGATTGATTAATCAATGTCTGACGTCATAGGGTCAAAAGCTGCTGGTGCGATCCCTGACGCGACCTTCCAGTACAACTGGTCAGATCTTCATGAAGTTTAGGCCATCGAAAGTATAAAAAAAACGAAACGAAATATAGATCTGTATTTTAATCAGTTTGTCTTAAAACCGAGCTGGAGGATCTTATTGTCATATTAGTGTATAAGCCTGGGATGTAAAACCCCATTCCACCTCATTCAATAGCCTTGTGATATACACAATCACTCAACGTGGTTGTTCCCCATTATTGCAGGGGGGATCACGTGGCTAAGTGGGTAAGACGCTAGCTCGCTAGCCTGGAGGTCGGGTGTTCGATCCCTGCATTTGGTCGAGAAAGTTCATCCAGATTTTCCGGCGTGGTTCTCCCTTGTCAGTGATGCAGGACGGAGGGGCTGACAAGGAAAGCTGTCTAGTCGTTCGGATGGGACGAAAAACCGAGGTCCCGTGTACACATTGGCGTGCACGTAAAAGATCCCTTGGCAGTTGGAATTCGATATAAGAGTAGGCCGTAGTGCCGCTGTCCGGGCAAAATTTCCCTCATAGCACACTGTATGGCGTATGCCCGTCTTCATTAGCCCAGGTTAGGAGCAGAACAGTAGGACGTTAAACCCCATTTCATTTCATTTCATTTCCCATTATTGCAGGGTGGGGGTTCTGGAAAGGAACAACGACTAGTCGTTCGGATGGGACGAAAAATCAAAACTCCTTGTACACAGTAGGCGGAAATTTGCCTTGATTTCAAACTTCATTCTCAAACTCAAACATACATTATGCAAGAGCTAAATCTGCCTATTGCAGAAGTCATTCTTTAGGCCTGAAATGTTATCTAAATTATTAATTAGACATTTATTAACTTATCCAGACGATAAGCTTGTGATGTTTATTGGATTAGGTTCCGATTTCCTATGCGACTTCCATTCATAGTTTAATCATGAAATGGATAATTGAGAGTATGTTCTTAGTAATGATGATCGAGGCTAGACCGAAAATTTAATCGCTAAAATCTCGGTTCAGAGTGGGGCTCAATTTGACTGAAATTTTCAGCAAATTCCCTTTACATTATCTAGTTTTTAACTATTATAGTAAAAGCTGCAAGCTCTTTATCTAATCGCCCATAATGTATCTTTAAGTAAAGAATTTACTCAAATTTCAATCACTGTTCATAAGAAATATCTTCGATCCAGAAACACAAAATTTTGCACATGCATGATGTTTTTTTATTGGTGTATTAGATACATTAAAACAACAAAAGTGTTATAAATGACTATATTTTAGTTAAAATAAGGCGAACAATTTTGAGTAAATTCTTAACTTAAATCTGAGAATGCCAGTTTGAGCAGAAGACTCGAGCTCCACAATTACGTGGACGCCATTTGAGAGAGAGAGAGAGAGAGAGAGAGAGAGAGAGAGAGAGAGATGGGGTTTAACGTACACTCGACACATAATAGGTCATTTCGGGACTATTTCAATAATTCGCTTGCGTGTAGGGGTCTTTAGCAGTGGGGGGAAACCGGAGAACCCGAAGAAAACCCACGAGGGGATGCCATTTGAATACAGCTAGCCATATTATAAGGTAATACGCAATATATATTTATAATATAAATTTGAA